AGGAGGGGGGGGTTAAGGACGACGATCTCACCGCCCTCCCGGACGGAAAGGAACCCCCCGGTCGCCCTCCTTTTGTTGCCGGAAAGGGGCGAAAGCCCTTCCCCCTTGGAGCTTCCCCGAACCCCTCCCCCACCCGTCCACGGCGGTCTGCGCCGGTAGGCGCCTCTCGCAGCGCGTTGATCCGGTCCTCCGGCGCGCCTTTGAGCTGCGCGAGCACACCTACCGGCGGAGACCGGCGGGGACGGGTGGGGGAGGGGTTCGGGGAAGCGTGCGAGGCGGATCGGGCCTTCCGCCCCATGCACCGGCCACAAGAGGGTGAGCCGACGGGTGGCACGTGCGTCTCGGGACGGCGTGGAGAGCGGCAGGTGTGAAGCCGCGCGCCGTCGCCGAGGCAGAGCCGCATTGCGCCGACCAGCGCGGCCGCCTCCTCGCGCACACTCTTGTCGCGGTGCTGCAGCAGGGCGGGCAGCTGCTTGAGGTGCGGCGACGCGTCGAAGGCGGCCGCGCCACACTCTAGCAGCGCCTCCGCCGACGCCTTGAGCGCCGCCGCACACGTCTTTGGCGCCTTGCTCCTGACGCCCGCCTCGAGCGCCGACTGCACCGGCTCCGCGCCTCCGCGCCGGAGGAGGGAGAGGAGGGCGGCGATCGCCTTGGGCTGGTACTTGCCCGGCGCGTGCTTCTCCATCAGCGCCTTTGCCACCGCGCCCGCCGCCGCCCCCACCGCCTCGGCCGGCGCGGCGCGGAGCCACGCTACGGTCGCGTCAAGCGCACCCTCGTGGCAGAGCGGCGCCCTGTCCGCCAGGAGGCGCGGGATGTGGTCGGCGTGCTCCGCCGCCGCCGCCGCGTCCGGCGGCCCGCTCTCGCCGCCGAGAATCGCCGCCAGCTCCAGGTACGCGGCCTTGCGGACCGCGGGCGCCGTCGCCACTAGGCGGTTGCTGAGCGGCTTGCCGCTCAGGTCGTCCGACTCGGGCTGGGCGTGCTCAGCGACGTTGAAGTCACTCTTGATGGACGAAGGGATGACGTCGTCGAAGCCGTTGGCCGTGGTCACGTCGTTCTCGATCTCCATATATGGCAAGCACACCTCCACCGGTGTATCAAAATGTGCTTCAAGCAGCGCGCGATTGAAAAAATACTTCTCTATTTTTTCTTTTTACGCTCCTTGGGTTGTCTGTGTTCTTTCTTTCTTTCACGCCTCACGGGATCCACCCTTGCCCGGGGGGCGAGGGAACCCGAGCCTGACATTCGCCCCACATAGCCGGTGAATGAAACGAACGCCTCAATCACTGTCTGTCTCCCCTCAACGACTCTCTCCGCACAATGTCGAACGATCCCTCGCAGGGCCTCGAGCAGGACGAGCCGGGCGACGACGAGGACCTCGCGCAGGCGTTGATCCTGCGAGGCACCAAGCTGCGGCCGCGGCTCGGGCAGACTCCGGTGAGCGGAGACTCCGCAGCCTTGCCCCTCCCATATACGGGACTGACACGCCCCACCTTGCATGCGCTGGTGAAGTGGCCGCTGCAATGGCCTGAAACCATGCCCGCTTGTGAAGGCGACGTTTCAGCTCTCCATCCACCACCTACACCTGTCGGGCGTTGGGCTCGTGGGGGACCTCTCGCTGCTGCGCTGGGCGCCTGGCCTGCAGGTACTATACGTGTACGACAACCGCCTCTCCTCGCTGCGCGGCCTCGGCTCACTGCCGCGCCTCTCGCACGTGTACGCCTCCAACAACCACTGGTGAGTGCGCAGCCGCTCGCGTTATTTTTTCGCCAATCCTAGCCAACTCCAAGACTTTATCCGTCACTCGCTCCGAGACGCAAGCACTCAATCTCACCTCGGCTCGCATCCGGTCTCACCGCGCCACGACATGCCCTCGCAGCGAGGAGCTCGGCTTTGAGGCGGGTGCGGCGCTCGAGCACATCAACCTGCACGGCAACAGGATAGGGACGATCACCGGCCTCCAGAACGCCAGCGGCCTCGCCCACCTCGACATCGGATCACAGCGCCCAGCGGAGCCGCCCGGTACCTCCTCCTGCCTGCGCATTGACGTCGATTCTCTCTGGGGCATCGCCCCGTCACTGCGTTACCTCAATGCGAGCGGCAACTCGCTGGGCGACGACGCACTCGCGCAACTCGTCGCGCTGCAGCACCTACGCGTCCTCGACATCTCGGGCAACGAGATTGGCGGCGCGAGCGTGCTAGCGCAGCTCCTCTTCCGCCTCCCGCTCCTCACAGCGTTGCGGCTAAAGGGAAACCCGCTGACCGCACGGTCAAAGTGGCGTGAGGCACTTATCATGGCTGGCGTGGGCCTCGAGGAGATTGATGGCAAGCCCATCGCCACCCACGAGAGGGCCTTTCTGCTTCAACTCGCCGCTAAGCGCGCCGGGATGCGCCCTCAAGCGACGCCGATGGGGATACCCGCCAGGCCGGCGACGACGCCGGCCGTGCCGTCGCTCATCGGCGAAGCCCCACCACTCGTCTCGTCGGGCTCCATGCGGTCGCTGCCTACGAGTGCAGGTCCGTTCCGTATGCGAAACGGAGTGCAGCAGTGACTCACTTGACAAAATATGCGCGCTTGTGGAAACGTGTGCTAGCTCCCGTGCTGTAACCCTATGCCTATCGTGAGCGCAACCTCCGTCTTCGGTGCTTCATGCTTGATCCTTGAAGCTGTGGAGCACCATCCGAGACGGACGTCTCTCTCTCTCGCTTCGTCCCCTTTTAATCGGTTAGTTCCTAACACCTCGCCTTTCGTAAGCGAGAGCCGAGACACCCCAACACGCACAACATACGACGAACGGCCTTGCGAAAGGCACATCAAAATACAAAAAGACATCGTATCGCTCGAGGGCGGGGCGGAGGTCCGCTCTCGATAGGGACCTCCGCTACTCACTATGAGATTTAATCTCCTCTAAATAAAAGGTAGCTACCTTTTATTTGTGTACTGTCGTCCATAGAAGGCGCGCGGCAGAGGCGGGAGGGAGGCGGGGAGATCTCTGGGGGGGCGCGGGGGCCCCCGGAGGCACCGTGCGCCGTGCAGCAGTGCGGAAACGGGGCTCCGGCGCTCATACTCGCTCATACTACCAACTTCCCGAATGAGTACGGTTAAGTAGAGGGCAGATTTGGAGAGATCTCGAGGAGTACATACAGATAGACCCTCTAACCATCAGAAAACTCCGACCTGATCGGTCGTACTGACCGCCGACAGATCACTCCAGACAGCAGACAGGCCGACGTCTGCACGCGGCCGGCCGGGCGAGAGGCTTGACACGATCCGACCCTGCGAGACCCTGACGCTGCTGCTCTAGCTATCAGCCATGGACTGCTGACTGCTGCCACAATGTGCGACCTGTGCTGGCCCACTTGGCGGCCTTCCCGGTCAGTGGTGAGGCGCAGTTCAGAGCTGTCGATGGCGCGATGCCGCACTGGTCCCACATTGGTGACACGAGACCACCAAGTTTGCCGGTCCAAGAGAGAGGCACTGGTGCTGTCCTGAGAAGGTGCGTGGTCCCTCTTGACTGCCCATGCGCGCGAGGCTGTGTAGGCATAGCCTCGAGAGTGCCAGCAGCCAATCTGAGGCAGTTTGTGACGCGCATTGCGTCAGAAGCGTGCACACGTTGGAAGGACACCTTCCTACTGGCCGTACGATCAGGTCGTCACTGAATGCTTGATACTAAGGCCGCGAGCTATGCAGGTGATCAATTGTGCAGCATAGCACGGTCAGCAGCGCCGACAGGCTGTCGCAAGGCGTGATAGCATGGCCGCAAGTATGCTGAATTCCCATGAAACAAGTGAAAATCTCGCAAAAGAAGAAAAAAACATGCCAAAAATCGGCGCCTGCAACCCCATCTCCCCCCCGCATGGATACCCTCTAGGGCCCTCGCGCCCCCCCAGAGGGGGAGATTCTAGCTCGCTCTGCCTCTGGTAGAGAGGCAAGGGTTGAGGGTTGTGAAGAGTGACACTTGAAGAGTGTGTTTGGGTGAGAACAGGCCTGGAAGCTGCTAGCTGGAACACGGAGGACGGGCACGGGGGAGGTGGGTGTGTGTGCTTGTCCGCGAATGGGGGAGGGCACTTGTGGCGAGGCTTGGTAGGCGAGTGGCAGTCGCTAGTGCGGACTTGCTCAGTCGTGTGTGCTCCTTTTTGCTTGCTAATACTGGAACATTGTTTTATTTGTGTACTGGTTGCGAGACGAGGGAAGGCGGGCAGGACTTTGCGGAGATCAGCAGGACGGGGTGAGAAGAGGAACAGCTCAAGGACCCGAGGGGCCTTCCTTGCCCCTGCCGGACGCACTAAAAGACCAAAGTTGAGTCCGTGCATGTCTTAATCCTTGGCATCTCGGCATTGGGTATCAAACCCTGGCGGGCGCAACGACTGCCTTGAGCTCCACGACGACGACGTTTTGCACGTCGCAGCCGTGGACATCGCAGAAGAGTGTGATGTTGCCCGTGTATGTGCCGCGGCCGCCGGCGCCAAGTGTCTCGGTCGGCGCCTTGCAGCTGGGCGGCGGCGTGAAGCCATACGACCACTCCGCACTGGTGTTGCCGCGCACCCTCGTGAGGTTGCCGCCGTCGCCGTCGACCTCGAGTTCCAGCAACTTCGTCAGGCATGCCTTAGCAGCGTCATTCGCATCGCCGACGGTTGCAAAGACGCCGGCTGCGGCCTTGAGCTGCAGCAGGGCCAAGTCGTTGCCGCTCTCCACCGCGTCGCTCAGCACGTCGGCGCAGTCGTACCGCTCGGCCGCGCAGGTGTGCTCGTCCATCGAGTCTTTGGCCTCCGACGGGCGGCAGTCGACAAAGGTCTCGTCGTCCCACTCGACGACCTTACTCGTGCGCGAGAAGCGCACCTCAAAGCCGGTGGCTTGCTGCATGCAAGGCTTCTTGGCGGCGGCTGCGGTGCCGCCCACCGCAGCCGGCCGCTTGATGGTGCCGGTGGCATCACCGCCCGACATCCACGTGCTCATGCTCGACGACATCTGCGCCTGTGCCGTTTTCTGCGCCTGTGCCGCCTTCTGCGCGGCCGCTTCTCCTGGTGCCTTCTTCATCGCCTTGCTGCCTGCCTTGGGCGCCTTGGGTGCCGTTGGCGGCTTGAAGCTCACGTCCACAAAGTAGCAAGTGCCCTTCCGAGTCTCGCCGTGTTGGCGCTTCTCGGCGTCACTTGCCTTGCGGCGCTTAGCGCTCCAGCCGGGGTGCCGCTCGACGTACTTCTTGAAGTCCCTCCAGCAGGGCTGGGTCAGGTGAGTTGAAGGCTTGAGAAGCTCCAATGTCGTAGCCGCGCCCGGAGTTTTGGTGAGCGCGTCATCGAATGCAGCCCTGGCGCTCGCCTCGCGCGCCTCCGCCGCGCCCGACTTCTCCGACCAGTCGCCGCGATTCAGGCCGTCATCAAAACCATCGAAGCCCAACATGCCGCGGAACATCTCCCCGTTTTGAAGCCCGGGCGGCGGCGCGGGCAGCGGCGGCGGAACGTCCGGGTGCGCGGGAAAACAAAAAGAAAAGAAAAGTATTTTATACCGTGGCGTCCCTTCCCATTTCAAATTAAGAAGATTGTCTTTGCGGACCACGGCGCGAGGCGCCGTTCCGCACCGTCGGGCGCGCGTCTCGTCGCCAAAGCAGTACTCGGTGATGGGGTGCGTCTTCCAGGTCGCCCGCCCGTGTGATTTCAATGTATGTGGCTCTTACGTACATTCAAGTTCGCCTTCGGCAACACCGAAGAGCGCGCCCGCCTTGCAAACATGGGCTGCAAGCAACGCGGGTTCCGTGGTCAACGGGCGTTCGACCACACCACCGGCCGGCCAAGGCTACGTCAAGTCACAGCGTGGCCACTACCATGATGGGATCTTCACCAAACGAAACAAGTTCAACCTGCTTCTCCACGAGACATTCGGCGGCGGCTTCTCGCCGCCAGCAGTTGCAAAGATCAACCGCCTTGCGCGCAAGGCTCAACGGACAACGCTCGGGCGTTGACCGCACCGCGTACTCTCCCCACTCCCGCCTCTCATTTGTGTCACACCACGCGGAACGCATCTCCATCGCTTCGGTGAAGGGGGTGAACCGTGCCATCCTCGATCGCCGTGCAAAGCTCGCTTCCGAGCTCTCACGCCGCGCGTAGGTAGGGCCCTTAGGGGCCTAGAGAACACAACCCCCTCTCTCTTTTCTCCCAGTAAGCTAAAAGTACGTACATTCCAGTAGGAGGACTCTGCTGACAGGTTTTTCGCAGGAGCGACCCGAAGGGTTTCTGGTTAGCTTAGCTTTTGGGAGTTCTTGTTAAAATGTGCCACAAAACGGAGGGGAGACTTGGACGCGACGGACGCAACTGGCTGGCCCCACTGTCACACCACAGAAGCTTCTGAGTAGCGCATGCGGCTTCCACACTGCTGCCGAACGACGGTGGACTTTCCGTGGAAACTGGTGCTGGTCACCGCGCTATTCAGGATGCTTGGCACAATGTCGGCCACCCTCGTCTTCCCGTTTATGCCCTTCATGCTTGTCGAGTTTGGCATCCCCGAGCCAGAGGTGGGTACTTGGGCAGGCATGATGGCAAGCGCCTTCTTCCTCGCCCAGCTCCCCTCCGGCGTCTTTTGGGGCTGGCTCAGTGACCGGGTGGGCCGGCGGCCTATCGTCGCCATCAGCCTTTGCGGTCAGGCCTTTTCTCTCGTCGCCATCGGCTTGAGCACTACTGCCGAGGCGTGCCTCGCTGCTCGCATGCTTGGCGGCTTCCTCTGCGGCGCGGAGCCAGCAATTGTCGCGTCTCTCCGGGAGAGCACGCCCAAGCAGCACCGTACGCAAGCCTTCACCTACTCGCAAACTGGATTCTCCGGCGGCGTCCTGCTCGGGCCGACGTTGGGCGGCCTCCTCGCTAAGCCAGCGGATAACATCCCCGCGCTCCGCGGCACCGTCTTCGAGGCGAGCCCCTACCTCCTCACTTGCGGGGCGGCGGCGGCGCTCCAGCTGCTCGGCCTCTGCTTTGTGCGTTTGCTGCCACGAAAGCAGCGCAAGGCCCTTGGCTCGCAGGAGGTCGTGGAGCTCCCCATGGTGGCACCCGAGACGGCGCCGCCAAAGCCACGTCCAACGGCAGAGATTCTGTCATGGGTCCGGTCCAGGGCGCACGGCGTCACGGTCGGCGTGCGCGCCACCTGCGCACATCCCGTCATCGCAGTCTGCCTCACGGACATCTTTCTTATGCACGTGGTGCAGAGTGCACTTGGTGAGCTCTTCCCGCTCTTCGCCAGCAACAAGGCGCATGGCCTCGGGCTGGAGCCCGTCGAAATCGGAGAGGCTATGGCGCCGCTCGGCCTCATGCTCGGCGTCGTCTCCCTCAGCTTCAGCGCCCTCGAAAAGTGCGTCGGCCTCAAGTTTCTCTTCCGCGGCGGCATGCCTCCCTAGAGCGGCTGACATAGGCCTGGGGGGCGGGCGCTCCCAGCCAGCCACCAACCATTACCACCGCCCACTCTTCCACCTGTAGGTATGCTTCTTTTTGGCTCCCTCATCTTCTCGATCCCCATCGTCCTCCCCGCGCTCAAGGCCCTCTCGCGCTCGCTGCTGTGGGCGGGCCTCGTCACCCTTGGACTCCTGCGCCCATGCGCAGGAATGCTCTCGATGAGCGCGATGAGCATCATGTACAACAACGTACTCAGCGCTCACTTTGGACTGTACAATGGCATCGCGAGCTCCGTGACCTCGTGTGGACGTTGCTTGTCGCCTGTGACCGTGGGATCCCTCTTCGCTGTCGGCGTCTCGAGCGCCGGCTCCGCGTCCTTCCCACTGGGCATCTACCTGCCCTTCACCGCGGCCGCCGCTCTCGCCGTCGTTGCTGTGACCATCTCGTTTCGCCTCCCTTCCGAAGTGGGCGTGCGGCCAGAGACGTGCGGCGCAACGAGCGACGAGCTCGAGACCAAGCGCGCTGAGGGGCGCGGGTCTGAGCTGCCGGAGGCGGTGCCAATGTCAGACGAGGACCCTGCAGCAACGCTAGCGACCGCTGTCCGCGTCTCATCACGAGATCAGAGCACGGCGACCAAGGGCGTCGTGGGCGATGACGGCGCTGCCAGCTCGCAGCGTCCAGCGATGGCGGGAGCCGGGACAGCGGGGCCCACGATGACCGCTGAACCAGATGGTGTTGGTGACGCGTCGAAGAGGTGCAGAGACACGTCGTCTTTAGCGTCGTAACTGACGAGCTGCCTTTTAGGATACCCTCAGACCATGTGTAGAGAGTGTGAACCACAGTGAAGGCGAGGGTGAAGCGCGGGTCCGAGAAGGCTTCTCGTCCTAGAGCCCTACGCCGAGGCGCGAGGGGGTCTACAGACTACGTTATAAAGTACACCGCACCCCGCCCTATAGACGTTTCAAAGATTTCAAAAAAAAATGAGCCGCGCCCAGATGGCAGCTGTGTATGTCGGCTGACAGCGCACTAGTGTGTTGGGCCCGAGGTTTTTCTCCAAGTCTCGTTGATGCGAGGCGGACAAACTCCTCCCTGCCTTCGGGCCCCGTCGCCTTCGGGCACCACGCACTCTCACACGCCAATACACGCGCGGCCGGCGCCCCTCATGCCCTTCTCCACGCACACCGCGTGAAAACTGCGCGTACGTCCCCGCGCGCACGCAAACACACGCGTAGCGCCCAGAAGCCTGTGTCATGTGCGTCTGCCCTGTGCTGGCGCCCCATGGCCGTCCCGCGCCGCCCGCACCAGCCACGCGCCCCTCGCACCACCAGAGCAAGCCGCATATCCACTCACGCCGCGACGCGCGCGCCGCAGCACACCTCACCAGCACTACCTCGCCTTTTTGCGCCCTGTGCAGGCTCTGCACACTGCTTCTGGCATCTCACAATCGGCTGTACCAGGACGCGCCGCGAGTACGACGCAGATTCTGCACCACGCAAGGCGCGCACGCACGCACGCACCCGCACGCGCGCTCATCCGCTCAGTCTTCTGCACAGCCTGTCAGCCTGCCTGCACACACAGCATACAGCACCATCAGCCCGCGTGCTCCGCACTGCGCCCCTGCCGCCTCGCGCCTGTCTGCACTGCACGAGGCGCGCGCGTGGCACGCTGCGCGCACGCACGCCCGCACAAGCGCGCGCGCGCGCTCAACCGCTCTCTGCTGCACAGACCGCCAGCCTGCCTGCACACACAGCATACAGCACCATGGGCACGCATACGCCTAACGACGCAGCCCGCACCCCACAACAATAGCCTGCCTCACGCCTCACCACGCCGTCCCGCGCTCACACCGCCAGCAGCCCGATCAGAGAAACTGCAGCGCGCGCCTCTGCCCACTCCTGCAGTTTCTCTGCATTCTGAGACCTTCTCAATCCACCCCGCAGCCGCGCCTCCCCGGGCACACTCACACCGCAGCAATGAAGATGTGAGTCGAAGTATGGGATATCGACCGAGCCCGCGCCTGCCGCACGCAGTTCCGTTTCTTTTTACTGCCATAAGCATAAAAAGAAAAACACGATGGCGAAAATTTCTTTCCTCCTGTTAAACCGCTATGTGCATAGTGCAACAATACGGTAAGCTCGTGCGCATGTACTGCGAGATAGCTAGCCCATAAAATCTTGATGTCAAAACAAAACACTCCCTTGGAGATTACGAATCCTGGCATAGTGTGTGTAGCACCGCCGCCAATGACTGCCGGGGCGTCACACTGACAGCGAGAAGGAACTCACCAGTCCGATAAGGATCAACTGGAAAGCTGAACCCTGGGCTTAGACAGAACGTGGGCGTGGCAGGCTCCAGGGGAGGCCACGCTCTACCCGGGGCGCTAAGGAGGGAAATCGAAGCTGTCGGGCGTCCAGCGAAAAAACTCGCGAGGACACACCGACAATCCCCCCTCCCCGAGGACCGAACCTAGGCACGTAGAGCACGGGTCATCTCGGAGAGAGAAAGGGGAGGGGTAGGGGGGGGATAAGGGAGCCGAGATACGCGGGAGTACCCTGGGAGTGAGAGCTCTCATTCATGGTCGCGAGACCAGGGGAAGCCATCATGGGGAACGGGCACACCAAGGCACTAACTTCATCACTCATTCGCCCCGCATTAGGTAGCGACCCCAGGTTCAGAGCTAGGCTTCCCGACAGGGCAGGGAACCCCCAGCGCGCAGGCGGGGCCCACGGTAGCCTCGTGCAGTACGCGATACCGAGAGCTGGGGGAGAGGCGCGCCACGCCAAGGGGGAGAGAATGGAGGGGGGAGAATATGCGTGCTCGTTTTTCTTCGAAAGCAATTTTTTTTAGTGTGTTGGGCCCTGGATAACCCGCGCGAAACCAGCGCCAACCGCGTCGCGCGCACACAGATCAGGGGGAGAGAAGAGGTGGGGGGGGGGGGGGGGCGAAAACAAATAACCCCGGGTGGCCGCGCAGCGGGCCGCGTGCCCGCCGATCGGCGGCGGCGGCGCGAGAACGGAGAGGGTCGCGCGGTTGGAGACGCAAGGACGCCGCTCAGTCCACCTCCTCGATCGATGCCCCTTCCTCCTCCTCGACGACGGTGGGCCCGCCCGGCATGCCGCCAGGCATGGAGGAGGGCATGCCACCCATGCCGCCCATCGCCTCCGCCATGCCGCCGGGCATCCCTCCCATCATCTTGCCCATGAGCTTTTGCAGGACAGGGCCAACCTATCGGAAGGACCGCGTGCGGTGAGACGCCGCCCACAGCCGTCGCCACTCCGCTGCTCGCAGGGCGGGGCAAGCCTCGGGGTCGTTCATGTACTGCATCGCCGCCATCGGGTTGCCCATGCAGCTCTGCATCGCCTCCATCACCTGATCGCCGGGGGCCCCGGCTCAGAGGAGCGCCGCGCCCCAGCGCCGCGGGCGCGTGAGCGGCCTTTGGCGAGGCGCGTGCGGAGCGAAGAAGCGCACCCGCAAATGGCGCGGTGGGGTGCTGTGGCGGGGACGGGCGGCGACGCCTTTGGGTTGGACATCGCCGCAAGCATCTCCGGGTCCTGCATCATCTGCGCCATCATCGCCTCCATCCCCCCACCGCCCATGCCGCCCATGCCGCCCATGCCTGGCATGCCGGGCATGCCTGGCATGCCGCCCATGCCCGGCATGCCGGGCATGCCGCCCATGCCCGGCATGCCCGGCATGCCTCCCGGCATCCCGCCTCCGCCCGCCGCCTCCTCCTCCTTCTGCTTCTCGTACTCGCGCCGCGCCTCCTCCCTGCGCCTACACGCGGCAGAGGTGGCGGCAGAGGTGGCGGCAGAGGTGGCGGCAGAATATGCGGCTGCAGCTGGTTTGCGGTGGCGTGGTGGCGGTGTGCGGGGTGGCGGTGTGCGGGTGGCGGTGTGCGTGCGTGGCGATGCGCGCGGCTGAGTGTGGGGCGGCGTGGGTGGCGGCGCCTCGCCGCCGCCTTGGCCGCCCGCTCCGCCTCCTTGGCCTTCTGCTTGACCGCGCGCGCCTGCCGGTCGGCGCACCGCTTGATGACGAAGCGCTGGATGCCGTCGACCGCGTCGTCGTAGTCGATCCGCTGCGCGAGGGCGAGGTCCTTCTGCGCCGCCTGAGGGGACGGGCGGTGCGGGTGACGGGACGGAGCTTTGCGCGAGCCCAGCCGGGCCCGCTTGCGCCGCCTCGTAGTCGCCCAGGTACCGCTTTGCCATACCGCGAACCTTGAGCGCCTTGGCCGAGTCCGGGTTAGACTCGAGCGCCTTGTCGCAGTCGCGGATCGCTGCGTTCGGCTTCTTGAGCTTGAGGAAGCAGCTGCAGAGAGAGGAGGGTTAGGGTTAGGGTTAGGGTTCGGCTTCTTGAAGTAGAGGAATCAGCTGGAGAGAGAGGAGGAGCGAGGAGGAGGCGTTGGCTGCAGCTCGGGTGAGGAGGGAGGGAGGGAGGGAGGGAGGGGGGAAGAGGGAGGCGGTGTCGCATATCTGTTTATCTACAGGCGCATCACTCGCCGCGCTTGGCGAATACGAGCGGCGAGGGCATCAGCTTGAGGACAGAGGTGTAGCATTCGACCGCCTGGCCGGCGAGGGGGGGGGGGTATTGGGCGGTGGGAGGAGGAGGCGGGTAAGCGGCGACAGAAGCGGGGCGCCTTTGCGTAGTCGCCTCCGGAGGCGGCCTCGGCGGCGGCCATCTTCATCTCGCCCGCCTTGTCCATGTCGGCGTCCGAGACCTCGCCGCCCGCTGCAACACCCACCTCCGCCGGCGGGTCCGAGTCCGGCGCCATCAGCTCCGGGTCCTCCTCCTCCGGCTCCTCCTCCTCGTCCTCCGAGCCGTGCTGCTCCTTGTCGTGACCGTGGCCATGGGAGTGCGAGTCGTGGCCGTGGTCATGCGACTCGTGCTCGTGCGCGCAGCATCCCGACCCGTGCTTGTGCTCGTGCGAGTCGTGGGCCGAGTCGTGGCCGTGCGTGTGCGCTGCCTTTGCCGCCGGGATCGTTGCGCCGAGCGAGGTGAGGTAGTCCTTGAAGAAGGCGAGGGAGGGCTCGTTCAGAAGCTCTGGCTGCTCTTTCAGGGTTGAAATGAGCTTTTTGAGCGCGGAGGCCTGGGCGGAGTCCATATGGATGCACAAGTGTCTGGAGAGAGAGGTAGATCTACAGTGATGAGCGGGGGACCGCGTTGAGAGTGTCCACAGAGTCAGAGGGCAGGCAGAGGGGCGGAGTAACGAGCCTAACCCGAGCCTAACCCGAGGCTAATCCGGCGCTAACCCACGCTAACCCGCGCTGCTTAAGGGCATACTCCATACACACGTTAGGACGGGTTCGTGCCGGGGGTTAGATAGAGCTCTTCGTAGCGCCGGGTTATGTGGTACCGTCGGGTCTCTATTTTAAGATGAGGTAAACAGCAATAGATCCGGCCCTCAAGCGGCCTAATCGATACCCAGCCCTCACGGAATTGGTCCCTCGTTGTACAGCAATCGATCCTTCACAGTGCCCGGTCCTGCCAACTTGCCGAGAATCGGTCCCCCAGGTCACCTGTGGCGCGAAGCTGATGTCTCCCGCCCTCTGCGCGCCCAACGCGCAGCGGCGGCAGACCACCCTCCGGTTCGAGGGGCGCCTGGGGCTGAGCGGGCTGCCTCCGCCAGAGTTTGGCTCGCCCACCGGCGGGCTGTCACCCTGCCACGGGTCGCAAGCCCTCTGCCGGCCGGAGCGCAGGCTGCGCGGGCTTCCAGCAATTGGTCCCTTGGCAAGCGCGAATCGGTCCCCCTGGCTCCAGGAACTGATCCGGCACTACACCCGGATCTATTGCTGTTTACCTCATCTTAAAATAGAGACCCGACGGTAACCCGTGCTGACAACCGCCGTGCAGCGTGCTGATCCGTGGACCGTGCCGGGTTAGTGTGGCTTGAACCCGGTGGAACCCGCGCTAACCCGCGATTACTGGAAGACTCACCCTGTAGCCCTTACGTAGGGAGAGGGCGCGAGGGGAGAGAGACTGAGAGTGTGGGAGAACACGAAGACGGCGCTCTAATGGTCATATGTCCCAGCCGCAAGAGCCAAGAGCGCCCGCAGATCGGTCCGGGGATTTGAGGACGGACCGACGTGGTTTGGAGCATCCTGTCGCCACAATCACTCTTGAACTGCGGAGCTCTGCTCACCGGTCGCCTCCCCGCCCCGCTCGCCGCCCGCATGGCGGCAGGCCTCGGCCGCCCGGGCGCCGTTCGAGAGGCACCACCCTTCTGTCACGCTGCGCCGCCGCCCTCCCACTGCCACCGCCGCTGCCGCTGCCGCTGCTGGCTTCCTGCGCCTCGGGCAGCGAGCCCATCGCCGCGAGCGGCACGACGGTGTGGCGGGGCCCTCCTGCACCTGCCTGTCCCTGGAGCTGCTGCACGAGGGCGAGCAGGCGCGCTCGCTCGTCACACTCCTTCTGCACCAGGCGCCGCGTGCCCTGAAGCTCCCCCTCCTTCTTGCTCACCAGCGCCGCCATCCTACCCAAGGCCGCCTCCATGTCCTCGACCGCAGCTCCGCCAGCGCGATCCCGCGCCTGAGCCTGTGCTTGCGCATTCGCCTGGGCAGCAGCCTCCGCCGCCGCGGCCGCCTCCGCTGCCGCCGCCGCCGCCGCCGCGTCCGCCTGCTCCATGCGAACCGTAGCCTTCCTCGCCTCCGCCTCTGCTAGCTCCGCGCGCGCTGCAGCCTGCGCGGCCTCCCCCTCTGCGGCAGTGAGCCTCGACCGCAGGCCCTCGGCCTCACTCCTCGCTCTTGCGTCCTCAACGGCCTTTGCCTTTGCCTGAGCGACTGCAGCTTCGGCGGCGCGTAGCCTGTCCGCCAGCTGCTGCTCGTGCGCTCTCGCGGCAACCTGCGCCGCACGCGTCTCGGCGCGCAGCCTCGCCTCAGACGCCTCGGCGCCCTTCGCCACCTCTGCCGCCCGAGCAGCCTCAGCCTCCTTTGCTCGACGAGACTCCTCAGCCGCCGCCGCCCGCTCCTCAACCTGTCGCTGCCTCGCCTTGGCGGCCTCCATCTCACGACGCGCGTCGGCTGCCGCCGCGCTCTCCCGCTGGAGCTCTTGGTCGCGCCTCTCGGCCTCCGCGCGCGCCCTCGCCAGGGACGCTTCAGAAGCGGCGACGCGCTCACTCAGCTGTGCCGCCTCCGCCGCGGCCGCCTCGCGACGCGAGGACTCGATGCGAAGTGTGTCTCGACACGCTGCGTGCGCCGTCTGCTCCGCATCGAGCGCTGCCGCCGCCTCGACTGCATTCCGGGCCTCTCGCGTCCGCTCCGCCCGAGCCGCGTCGAGCGCAGCTTGCGCCTTGGCCGCGCCTTCTGTCGCGCCCTCTGCGGCCGCGGCTGCCTCGGCCGCGCTATCCCGCGCGGTCTCTCGCTCCTGGGCAGCGACGCGCGCGCGCTCTATCGCTGCGGCCTCCTCGTTGCGCGCCCGTGTCGCCATCTGGCGGGCGGCCGCCGCGTCGGCTTCAGCGACATGAAGCGCTTGCGCTGACGCGTGCACCTATTTCCGAGGGGATGGGACAGTGTGAACCCGTAGACGGCGCCCGGCCTTCATCGAAGGCGCTGCACCGCTTCTTGCGCCTCCTTGCTTGCAGCTTGCGCCCTCGCCTCCGCCTCGAGCTTCGCCTATCATGCGAGGGACAAATCTGGGACGTGGTGCTCAGCAACGCCGGCCGGCAATGCCGCGCCGCGCCGCGAGGGACTTCTCGGCGACCACCGCGAGGGAATGCAGGCCCTTTGCAGACTCGCGCTCGGCCGCCGCGAACGCAGCGGTGGCTTCCGCTCGCGTGGCGTCGAGAGCAGCTCGCAGGCTTGGGCCGACGGCCCGGAGCAGCTCGAGGGCCGCTCGCCTCTGGCTGAGCGCGGTCTTTGCTCGCCGCTCGTGGTGCGCCTTGGTGATAGCACAGCTACAGTCGGACAAGGCGGGCAGGAGGAGTGTACAGGCTACGCGGTCTGGCGCCACCTTCGATGAGCTGAGGTCATCGAGCCGAGGCTTCAGCTCAGCGAGTTGGGCATTTGCCTCTGCTAAAGTTGACCGGGCCCGTGACAGCGACGCCTCGAGCTCGGCCTGTCTGTCGCGAGCCGCATCGCGCTCTTGATACCACCTCTCGCGCTCGCGCGACCACTCCTCCCGTTCCCGCTCCCGCTCCCGCGACACCGCTGCGGCAGCCGTTTGGCTCTCAGCCTCGGCTTTGGCCGCCCGAGCGGCCTCGGCTTTGGCATCTTCCAGCTGCGCCTCGGCGTCGGCTAGGCGCCGTTCCACCTCCTCCATCACGGCGAGACGCATAGCGCACGACTCTTGCATCTGTTGTAATTGTGCGTAGTGCGCAGCCGCCACCGCCTTTGCCTCTTGCGCCGAGGCGCCGTCGCCCTTGACGGTTGCGAGCTCTCTCTCCAGCGCCGCAATATGGCGCTTCCTCCGGACCTCTCGGTGCATGGAATTTCCAACCCCACAGAAAGAACATACGCCGTTGTCGCCATCCGCGTTGTCGTCGTCCGTGTACTCGTCGTCGGGCTCCATTGCTGCTGCCGCCCCCCCCGGCGGTAACCGACAAACCGTCGGTCGCAAAAGTACAAAAAATGAAACCCGTTTCACTCGATTTCACAGCGTTCTCCGACCCACGCACCAACAGTCTTTGACATTTGACAACGGCGGTGCGACGCCCCCCCGGGCGCTCCAATTCGCCGAGATTGACCTGCCGGGATGGCGAACAACGCGTACACAAAGGCCTGCAGTCAGTGTGGGTGGGAGCGGTCCTGCCTCCCTTGCCGGTCATGCGACGGCTGCCAACTCTGCACCGCGACGGCGGCCGACGCCAAAGCACCGTCGGCGCCAGCGATTCCTATTCTCCCAAACTTGGCTCCCTTGTAGCAGGCGCGCTGCGACAAATATCGGAGGCTTCTGTTTCGCCTCAAGCAGAAGAATAGCGATGCACGCCGCGCACACGGTGCGACGCCGGCCCCTATCCGCGACGTGGCGATAGTCAAGCGCGCACCCCAAACACTCCCCACCAATGAACTCATGTCCCCCTCCCCCCCGTCTGCAGATTCTGACCGTGGCGCGTCGGAAATTCGATGGCGCGCACGCCTCAGTCCCGTCGCCCCACCAATACCCAGCTCAGGTCCCCCAAACCCCCCATGCCGCTGCAGGTTCGCCACGCCGCAGGAGCTGAGTCTCGCAAGGGCAGAGAGCGAGGTGCAGCCCGACTCGCTGCAGTCCGGGGCGTCTAGCAAGGAGCTGCCACCCCCTCGACCAGACCCTCGCCCCGTCGCCCCGCCGCTCTCGCCTCACCGCGCCTCCCCTCTGCCCCTCCCCCCCCCTCCTCCTGCCTCTCTGTTGATAGAAACACATCTTCATCTCTTCTGTCTCACCCTCTCACCCCCACCCCCCCACCCCTTCCTCTCCCAGGGCGCGGTCCGCAGAGATACTCCACGGCAGTGCCACGGGCCTCCTCCCTCCGCCGCCGCTGCTGGCGTGTGCGCTGGCGACGCAGGTGGCGACGCAGGTGGCGACGCCGCTGCAGCAGCCGCTGCCACTGGAGCAGGTGGCAATGGCGCAGCCGCTCGCGCAGTATGGCGGCGGCCCTGCGACCGCGCAGGCGGTGGTTGCTGCTCCGGCGGCGGCGGACGCCTCGTCGCACTTGTCTTTGCTCTCCGAAGAGCTGCTTCCCGAGCCCGAGCCGCCCAAGCCGCGGGCACCGCCCTTCTCTCGGCCCGTCGGTGGGCGGCGCCCGCGTGACCCACCGCGAGGGCGTACCCTGAGATTTGCGCGAGCGCTCTCCCCTGACCGGCGCGGGGCCTTCGCCCTCCCCCCTCCCTCCCCCTCTTTTCCACAGGCCGGCCTCCGACGGGCGCCGTCTGGAATGAGATGCTTGGCCGGTACGAGGTCGCGGGGCAGGGGCCCCTCTCGCAAGGCTCGCGGGTCGCGAGCACGCCCGGCCTGGGGCAGAGGAGCGAGGCGCTGCCGCCCGCCGCCGCGCCGGCGAGCCAGCTGGTCGAGGATTTGGACGAGGAGGCGGTGGCGGCAGAGGTGGTTGACGCGGTCGCCCTCCCTGCGCGAGGCGGTAGGGAGGCGAGGGCGGCGAGCCTTCTCCGAGCCTTGCCTACGCCGTCCTATAGGTCGCCGTCCCGGCGGGGGACGAGGGCGACGGCAACACGCCGACGGTCCTAGTCGAGGTGACCACGGAGATGCCGCAGGCGGCGCCGGCGCCGGCCGAGCTGGCGTCGCTGCCGCGTCCAGAGGCGGCGCCATTTGCGCCGGAGGCGGCGACGGCGCTGACCCGAGCGGGCGACCGCGAGCTGGTCCCGTCCTGCTGGCCGTCGTGGACGGGTGGTGGCGCTGCAACCGTCATGGCCGAGGTGCCGCCGCAGCCGCTGGCGGCCAGCGGCCCGGTCGGTGCCGTGGCGACGGCGCTTGCGGCGGGCACGGCCGCCGCCACGAGTGCGGGGCGACCGGCGGCCGGCGGCGGTCCCTCTCCGCATGGCGGTGGCGACGCGCGGCCGGGCGGGCAGGAGGCAGGGCAGGGGGCAGGGCAGGAGGCTGGGCAGGAGGCTGGACAGGAGGCTGGGCAAGAGGCTGGCCCCGCGCCGGCCGCCGAGCGGTTGTGGCGCAGCCCGGAGGAGGTTGCGCAGATGGCTCGCGGCATCGGGCCGAGCATCAAGCAGGGCCCGCTCGCGCTCGTCCACGCGGCGCGCCCTGCCACGTCGGCGCAGGTGGTCTCGAGGGGGCAGTGGCAGCAGAGCCACGTCCCGGGCCGCCCTCCGTCCGAGCAGTGGCTGTCAGACGGAGCAGTCTCGAGGCCCGGCATATCCGACTCTGCGCGCGCGGCGCTGCGACTAGAGCAGCAGAAGCGGGTCGGGCTGGCGATGGCGGCGAGGATGAGCGCGACCCGGCCGGAGGCGACCGCCATCGAGGCGGCGAGGGCGGCGGCGGCCGCGGCCGGGCGCGCCGCGTCGATCGTCGGCGATTGCGCGCTCCCCGCGGCGGCGGCGGCGGCCTCTGCGGCGAGCGCCGCCTTCGGGCTGTCACAGCCATGCGCCGACTCGCGCCTCTCCAAGCTGGAGCAGCAGCGGCTCGTCGCTTTCGAGGTGTCGCAGCGGCTGCATGGCCACCCCGGCCCGTCGGTCTACGCCGCGCACCAGGAGAGAGAGAGGGAGCAGCAGCGGCACCCCTCCCCAACACGACCTTCCCACACTGGTCCTATCACCGCACAGGCCAACGCGGCGGAGCGGGCGAGCAACGCCATTCACGCTCGCGCGCAAGGGCGCTTCCTGGCGGCGCAGGCGGCGGCGGCCCAAGCAGCGCAAGTGGCGGCGGCGCAGGCAGCGCACACGGCGCAGGTTTTGGCTGCGCAAGCAGCGCAGTCGGCGCAGGCGGTGCAGGCGACGGCATTCGCGGCGGCGCAGGGTCCCTTCGGAACGACCCAGGCGCCGGCGGAGCAGGCGATGTTGCTCGGCGCCGGCACCAGTGCCGGCCGCCTCTCCTCGCTTGACCACCTCTCCTCGGGGCTCCCGAATCGGCACCAGCGCAACATCGACGCCGAGCAAGAGTGGAATCTCGCAAACGGCTTCAACTCGAACCACGACCACTGCTTGAAGGCCCTCCCCTCTTCACACATCGCCGTCGCCCACACGTCCGGTCCAGCCGGCCATTTCCCTCCCCGCAGGTCGGCCTTTGCACTTGCAAGGCGGCCAACCTCCGGCTGCCCCCGCGCCGGTGCGCCGAGCCCGCAGAGTCGACGGGCCTCACGCCGGCTGCGGCCGAGGTCGAGGAGCCGTGCTGGGCGTGTCGCGGCCGCCACCGGGCACACACTTGCGGCAAGGGTGGCTCCCGCAGCGGGTTCTCCCGGAGGGGCGACCAGGTTTCCTCCGCAGCTTGCGACCCGGCGCAGCCCTCGCAGTCAGCGCTGGAGGCGTGGGACCCCAGCGCTGCCGCTGCGGAGCGTCTCGCGGCGGAGAGGGCGAGGCGGGCGGCGGAGGAGGAGGAGAGGGCTGCGGTGGACGAGAGCGGCGCTGCGTCGGAAGCGTCCGAGGAGTCGGACGAGGTTGTCGTGTGCACGAGCGAGCTCGCGGACGCCGGCGGCGAGGATAGCGCGGAGGCGGTGGTGACGGAGGCGGCGGGGACGGTGCAGCTCGTCTCCGCGCCTCAGTTCTGCGCCTCGGTGCGGTGCCCGTACTCGCACGAGGCACAGCTCAACGACCAGCTTCCGCCGGACGATCTGCTCCTCCTGTGCGACGGGCCAGGCTGCGAGGCGGCTTGGCACCAGCAGTGCTTGGACCCGCCGCTCGCCGAAATTCCGGCCGGCGATTGGTTCTGCCCCAAGTGCGCTACGTCTCGCCCCGCCGAGTCTCTCGTCTCCGCGCCTCAGTTCTGCGCCTCGGTGCGGTGCCCGTACTCGCACGAGGCACAGCTCAACGACCAGCTTCCGCCGGACGATCTGCTCCTCCTGTGCGACGGGCCAGGCTGCGAGGCGGCTTGGCACCAGCAGTGCTTGGACCCGCCGCTCGCCGAAATTCCGGCCGGCGATTGGTTCTGCCCCAAGTGCGCTACGTCTCGCCCCGCCACCTCTCGCAGAGGCAGCAAGAGTGCCGCCTCTGCCGCCAAGACGCAGGCAGATGGGCGGATCGCCGCGGTCGACCTCGACGCGTCGACAATCGAGGGCGACCACGATGGCCGGTTCGTCATCCTCGCCGCGGGCTGCCCGATCAACAAGGTTGAGGAGCTCGAGGCAGCCAAGGAGGCTGCCCCTCGCGGCAGCGGACCGGGCAGCGGCAAGCCGCTTTGCTCGGCACACGAAATTGAGCGCGCCTGCGCAGCGGCAGCCCTCGCCCATCTGCGCACGCCCGGCACCGAGCGCGCGTTTGGGTGCCGCCGGTCTGCCGGCTGCGACAAGATGCGCCCGCACCGCGGCTCGTGCGCTCGCGTGCCTCAACTCCTGAGCTACGATTTGGACCTCCTCGGCTGCCGCATCTGCACCACCGACGTGGACGGGCGGTCGTGGTACGGCCGTGTCATCGCATGGCGGCGAGGGCAGCTCTACGCGATCTACGACGCCAACCCGTCCAACGTCGAGCCCATCGCCTTGCACGACGCGGTCGAGGACGCGCTCGCTTTTGACAAGCTCGACCCGGACGTGAAGAAGCGCATCACCGCAGAGAAGATCGACTTCGCGCCGGAAATCGCCGTCGTTGCCGAGGCGACGGCCGAGGCCACCATCGCTGAGCTTGCGCAGAGCGCGGCGGCGGCGGCGCGGCGTGCGGCGTCTCGGAATGTGCGAAAGCGCAGCCACGACAGCGGCGGCGGCGGCGGCGGCGCGTCGGTGGCACCTGAGAAGCGGCACTCGGGAGGCGGCGACGGCAGTCGCCCCTTCTCTGTCGGCGACGAGGTCGTGGCACGCGGGCAACGTGGCCGGCTCCTCTCGTCTGGGAACGGCTTCTACCAGGTCCAGACGGAGGCGGGCGTCGTCATCAGCGTCCGCGGCCGCGAGCTGTCAGCGGTCGGCAGCGGTGGCGGCGGCGGCGGCGGCAGTTCTGCCGCATCGGTGGCACATGAGAAGCGGCACTCGAGAGGAGGCGACGGTCGCCCCTTCTCTGTCGGCGATGAGGTCGTGGCACGCGGACAACGTGGCCGGCTGTTCTCGTCTGGAAACGGCTTCTACCAGGTCCAGACAGAGGACGGCGTCATCAGCGTCCGCGGCCGCGAGCTGTCAGCGGTCGAGAGCTACTCCTCCTCGTCGCCGGCCCAGCTGACGGCGCCCTCGCCGAGCTTGCAAGCGCCGGCGCCCGCAGATCCGGAGCCGAATGCACCGCCACGCGCTGGCTTTGAGATCTCCGATTTCTCGGAAGGGCTGTACATGGACGGGTGGTCCTGCGGCGAGTGCGGCTTCGTCTTGGTCAAGGCCGAGGCGAGCGAGGAGGCAGTGTGGCGATGGTTCAGCTCCGGGGAGATGGAGGACATCTGCTTCACCTGCCACCCCCGCTTTGCGCCTCGCACCGGGCCGACCCTGGAGCCCGCCGCTGCTGTGCCGTCGGGTGCCGCGTCTGAGGTGTCGCCGAGCGAAGACAGGGACTCGGGCGACGATGAGAGCGGCCTGGTGTGTGCCGACAGCGCGGCTGCGGGCAGCGTCAGCCCATCCACTCCCCCCCCTCTCTCCGAGGAGGGTCCCATCCCGCCGCTGGATTCGATGGGCGCGGCGGGCGCCGCGCGCGCGCCGGAGGAGCCTCGAGCTTTGGCACAGGAGGCCGTGCTGGGTCCGGCAGCAGAGGCGGCCACGGCGATGGTCGAGGGGGTGGCAGAGATGGCGTCGGCAGAGGCAGCGGCGGGCGACCAGCGAAGCGGCGAGGAGGCGGCGGCAGAGCTGAAGGAGCCAGCCGAGTCAGCGTCGTCTGCCAAGCGCGGCAGCCACGAGGCGGCTTGAAGGCTGCTTCGGGCCCCGAGGATGGTCTGGCCAAACTCAGGGCGTTGTTCGGTCTTGATAGGTGTTTGGGGAGGAGACGCCGGCGTCCAAGCGCGCGCACAAGGCGGTGCAGCGCCTCGGCCACAACGACGCCTGGGGGGAGGGGCTAGCCTCTCGCTGGGCCTCGTCGGCAGCCGGCGAGGGCGAGGCCCCGGCGGGCGCGCCGGGCGCGTTTGCAGACGCTCCCTCGACCGACTCGAAGCTCGCTGGCGCCGCTGCCGCCCCCACCGACAATGAGGACGCCGCCGCCACCGCTGCAAGCGGCACCGGCGGCGGCGGACCGCAGCTCCCACTTCCCCCTCGACCACGCGCACCATCTCCGTCGGCGAGGGCACCGCCGGCGCCGGCTCTGACCGCTCCAACTGCCACTGCCGGGGAGAGCAACCGGCATTTCTCCATCGGCGATGAGGTCGTGGCACGCGGACAACGTGGCCGGCTCCTCTCGTCTGGGAACGGCTTCTACCAGGTCCAGACGGAGGATGGCGTCATCAGCGTCCGCGGCCGCGAGCTGTCAGCGGTCCGCGGCAGCAGCGGCGGCGGCGGCAGCGGCGGCGGCGGCGGTGGCGGCGGCGGCGGTGGCGGCGGCGCTGGTGGCGGCAGCGGCGGGGCCGGCGGCGGCGGCGGCTCGAGTCGGTCCGTTTCTGCGGCGAGTCTTCCTCCGGGCTGGACGGTGGAGGAGCGGACGTCCAGGTCGGGCCGCGCGTACAAGGTGTATCATGGGCCCAACGGCGAATACGCCGAGTCGGTGCCGCAGGCGCGCGAGCCGGGTGAGCACCCTCCCTACACCGCCCTTGCTCACTTGCCGAGATTACCGTTGTAGGCTTGGCTGGGCGGACGAATGGGCGGGCGGTAATGCTCATCTGGAGGAGACAATGGTCACGGCGCCCTTGCTGCCGTGCTTCGCTGTCTGGTATGTGAAAGGGCGGGGGGTGCGTGGCGGACACTCACTCTCTGTTTCCGCCACGCACCTCGACTCCTCGAGCTCGAGGGCCAGCGCGCACCTTGTGATCGATCACGTCGAGCGAGAGTCGACTCTTTATGACGATGTGATTGGGTGTGAGAGTAGAGGAAGGTTTCGCAGGAGAGAGTGCGGTTGGTGCCCGCGAAGTAGTGTCCGAATTATCTTTTGCTTCTTGGACTTGGTAACTTGGAAGAGATGGAACGTGTTGCCACTTCTAGTAAGTAGTATATCTATATTCCTTACTAAAACTATCAATGAAGCTAGTAAACAGAATACAGTTGGAATTCATCTCCCACCAAAGCTCGAGCTCGCTGCGTGTGCCAAGGAGCTGCCAGCTGGCCCTGCTTGCGCAATGGGCAACGCAACGGCTTTACGCCGCCGCGGTGACTGCGGTGCCTTGCGAGGCCGGAGAACCAGCCGGAGAGCCAGCGATGCAGGAGAGGTCCATGCACCAACGCGGCCCCGCGCCGTCGGGCAGGTAGGAGCCGAGGTGCGTGCCTGCTCACACACACAGCGTGAAGAAGCGCCATCAGCAGTCGGGCGGGCGAAGGCCGAGGGCGCGTGCCGCGGCGCCAGGCTTGCTGAGGTCTAGCCGAGGTCCAGCCGAGGTCTAGCCGAGAGGTCCAGCCGAGGTCTAGCCGAAGTCCAGCCCATATCTAGCTTCAGCGCGCGCCGCAGCGCGAGGAGACGAGACCAGACTTGACGTCGGTCACCACGTTGGCCGCAACCACCTGCTTGCGCGCACACGCCAGTGGAGAGACGGCGGGCCGGACGCCCCCGCGCTGCGCCATGCCCGCTGCAGTGGCTCTCGCGGCGCGTCCTTTTCCTCGGCCACATCTCGGCTACATCTCGGCTTCACCTCGGCGGTGCGGAAGGAGGGCCAGCCGTGCTCGTCCGTGTCGGCCTTGAAGGCGGCGAGGGAGCGGTTGAGCGGCGCGCGGAACAGCGGCAGCCCGCAGACGGAGTCGTAGAAGGTGGTGACGCCGGCGTCGAGCCTGGAGTAGAGGGCGATGTCCGGGGCTTGGTAGAGGAAGCGCGGCTCGGCGTAGGCGACCTAAGGTCGCAGCTGTCTGCCATCACGGCAGCGTCTCTCTTCTCCATCGGGGCGGCGGCGTGCACGCGACCGTGCGGTTGTCGCAGCAGACCGCCTCGGCGAGGCTCTCGGTTGCGGGGAGCGGCACGGGCACGGTGGGCTGCTCGCGGCCAGAGATGCCGAAACGAAGCTGCTTCTGCACCGCGCCGGAGCAGGTTCCGAATGGCGCGGGCGGCCGGGTGGCTGTGCGAGACGCAGTCGTGGCGGCGGCCGGTGCGGCGGCGGCGGCAAGGGCGGCGGGGGAGGAGACGGTGAGGAGTGGGGTGGAGTTGGGATGGGGGGCGGCCGGGACGGCGGAGACGGACTTGAGCTCGAGATGGACCTTCCCGACGGCGCCCTCGGCCCACAGCTCGACCCTCTGCAGGGAGGAGAGCCTATGCGGTGTGCCAGGAGGGGTCGTGCAGTGCACGGGGTCGTGCAGTGTGTGCGCCTCGAGTGCGAGGGCCACGAATACTGTGGACAACTCCTGCATCCTGCCCGCATCTAGGGAGGGCGAGCTTCTTGGCCGTCAGGCAGGCGGAGGCGTCCTCGGAGCACTCCTTGGTGTGCTCGCCCGTGGCGGGAGACCAGAGGTCGGAGAAGGACGCGAACGGGACAGAGACGGCGTGCCAGCCGTCGCCAGCCGGCACGGAGAACTTGGCCTTGTAGCAGCCGCGCGAGAGCGGGATCGAGCCTCCGCCCGCACAGGAGTATGGCGGGGCCACCGCGCCGGCGGCGAGGCTGACGCGGAAGCCCGCGTACTGCGGCGTGGTCGAGCGGACTTCCAGCTCGAGCGCTCCGGCGGAGGCGGAGGCGGCGTCGGGGAAGGCGCCGTCCGCCGCCGCCTTGATGAAGCCCGGCGCCTGGAGCGATGGCACGTCCACCACCTCGCCATCCATCACGCCAAAGGTTGGCATCACGCTCCTGACAGTGCACAGGAACCAACGTCTCCAGCACTCAAGTGCTCAGCGTGTCAGGCCTAGTGCCGGCGTGGGCACATATGTGTGTTCGCGACTGTGTGTTCGACTGTGGGTTCGCGACTGGTCGGGACACACAGCGAGGGGAGGGCAGTGGAACGCGCCAAGTCCCCGAGCTGCGGCCGCCCATTACGGGATCATTCAGTTCAACAAATTCGTGCGTGGTGGCCTTTTCGCCGTCAAAGGTAACCAGCGGAATGGAGGCGAGCACGGTGGGAGTGGTGGCCGTCGAGAGAACCTGCTTGACAGTGGCGGCGAAGGCGAGCATTGCTGTTAGAGACAAAGGCTCGACACGGCCGACTTCGATAACCGGCTAGCTCGCCTTCGACGGTGCATCCGGCGTGGGGGGCGCGGCTGTTTTCTTTAGTTGCCATTTCTTTTTTGTGTTTCCGTGAAAAAAGAATAAGGGCGGGCGTTCGCGCGTTGCGAGCTGCTTTCGTTGCTGCTACACACCACAATTTCCTCCACGCTGGCGCTTATCTGTGCCATGGGCGCCAGCGCCGTGCCGGGCGTCCGCCGCTCCGCGCGCTTGATGCAGGAGCTTCCTGTCGCAAAGCGAGAGAGGCCAGTAACAGGAGAGAGGCCAGTCGCAAAGCGAGAGAAGCGCAGGGAGGTGCCGGACACTAAGCGCGAGAAGGCCAAGGCGTTCGCCACCGCTGCCCACGCCTCGACCGCTCGCGAGGCGTCCGCCCGGGCGGACGGCGTGGAACTCATCGTCGGGTACGCGACTACTCCTGTCCCTCAGACACTGCGCATCGCCTCTATCGCCACTCTCCCTGCTGCCCTCGCGCCGGATCGCGCCACACCCCGTCCACAACCCGCAGGTGCGACGAGGCGGGGCGGGGCCCTCTTGCCGGGCCAGTCGTCGCCGCGGCCTGCGCCTTTTCGCCGGGAGCCGAACCGATTCCGGGCGTCGGCGACTCAAAGAGCATCGCCGACGAGGTTCCGGGCGCCCAGTAGTGGCAGTTAGTCGACTCGGCCGCGGCGCCGGTAGCCGAGAGCTGCGGTGGCAGCTGAGCTGCAGTGGCCGCGGCGGCGCCTCACCCACCCTCACCCCGGCCTTCCTCTCCTTGACACGCGAGTCCTCGCCCGCAGGCGGAGCGCGAGGCGCTGTACGAGCAGATCGTCGCGGCGCCAGGCGTGGTGTGGTCCGCGCGCGTCGTGAGCGCGGCCCGCGTCGACGAGGTCAACATCCTCATGGCATCGCTCGAGGCCATGAGGCTGAGCATCGTGGACGTGCTCGGCGCGAGCCAGCGCCGGCCGGCGACGGCCCTGGCGTTGATCGACGGCCCGTTCTCGCCCTGGAAGGAGGGCGAAAAGTACGTCGACTTCCAGCAGCCACAGCCGCCGTCCGATGTAGCGCTTCAAGTGGAGCCGATCAAGGGCGGCGACGCCAAGGTGTACTGCATTGCAGCGGCGTCGATCCTCGCAAAGGTGACTCGCGACCGACTCATGCGAAGGTGTGCCGCCGCCACTGTGGGCTGGCGGGCCGCATGCTCGACCTCCCTTCCTCCTCCCCGCCGCTTGTTTCTCTCGGCCACCCCCGCGGTCCGAGGGCCCTTTCTCCGGCGCAGGTACGCAGAGCTGTGGCCCGAGTACGGCCTCGCGGAGCACAAGGGCTACCCCACCGCCAGGCGCTCCGGACCCGCCTCGAGAGCCGCGCGAGCTCCGAGGCCCTCCCGGGGCGCGATGTCCCCCATGACGCCGACTCCCCTCCACCGGGCAGGCACGTGGCGGCGATCGCCAAGCACGGCGCCACCGCCATCCACCGGCGCACCTTCGCGCCGCTCAAGGCGCAGGAGTTGCCACCGCCGTCCGCCGACGAGCTTCGGCAGATCGAGGCCATCGAGGCTGCGGCGCAGGCGAAGGAAGGCACTCCGTAGTCCGTACGTCGCCGGTCACCCGCTGGTCACCACGTCCCGTGGGGGTGCCAGAGCCGAGTGTGATGCGACTCGCAGGCAGCTCTGATGGACACTTTTGGCGAGAGCCGAGAGCCCAATACATCGTCACCGAGTACATGAGTACGTATACTATCTTACTCGAACTCCACGATTTTCTTTCTTTATCCGAATATTTCCTGTTTTGAGCATGTCATGTGCAAAAAAAAAATTGCGTTTTACCTGCGAAAGACACTACTCTCCCCCCCCCGTCACTTGTCCCCCTTGGCGTGGCGCGCCTCTCCCCCAGCTCTCGGTATCGCGTACTTGTCCCCAGACAAGGTTATGGGAGTGGCCATAACAGGTGTTATGGCTGTTATGGCTGGCTGCTCATAACACCCCATAACACCTCATAACACCTCATAACACCTCCATCGCTGTTATGGCTGTTATGCCCACCCTACCATAACACCTCATAACACCTCATAACACCTCATAACACCTCATAACACTCATAACACATCCCACTGGTTGTTATGACAGCCAGCATAACAACCTCATAACAGCTGTTATGTGTCACGGATTTTTCTTTTGGACGCCGCGATAAACCCGGCGTAGGGTAAATTCTTCTTTTTGGAGCGCCCGCCCCGCGCCGCGTAGCTACTACCAGCCAACCATGGCCTACCGGATGAGGATGTTCATGAGCCAGAAGCCCTCGTCGGTTGACCTGCGCGTCTCCGACTTCAAGAGGGTTCCCGGCTTCAACTATGTGCTGTCTGTGTCGGCGGAGGACGAGCACACGTACGACTCGCTGTGCTCTGATATCCGAGAGGCGTGGTCCATCAACGCGTCAAACGGCCTGCAAATCTACGCGTTTCCCGAGGGAACGAAGGACGAGTCGGCGACGTTTGTCAACACGCCGAAGGTGTTTCAGAGCGTCATGTCCGTTTGGTGGTCCCGGCCATCCGACCTCGGCTCGGACATGTGGCTGGCCGTCGTCGAGATTCCGAGCAAGCAGCAGAACGCGCCCCTGTTCGGCACGTTGGAAGTGGCGGCTCCGCTGAGCGTGGCGCACTCAGCGGGTGAGCTCGCTCGTAAGCTCGCGCCCAAGGCGCCAGCGATGGGCGACGGCACAGGCTCAAAGGAGAAGCGCGACCGCGAGGCACCGGCCGAGAAGAAGAAGAAGAAGAAGAAGAAGGCCAAGGCGGCGACGGACGCGGCGCCCGGAGACGAGGACATGGAGGAGGACGAGGAGGAGCAAGGCAAGCTGCGCATGCAGCAGGTCGCCGCCGCGCAGACCATGCTCGACAAGCTGCATGCCAACACCAAAAAGATGCCGTACGTCCTCGCGTCGCAGGGCGAGGGCGACACTCGCCCGGACAACCGGCTCGTCCTCATCCACCGTGCAGCAACGCGTTGGCGCCGCGGCCAAATCTTGAGACCAGAGTCTTTCCGAATTCGAGGAGCGTGTCGTACCGCGACGGGTCAGCTCTCGTTAGCTCTGATTCGAGCCCGAGCGCCTCTGCACAAAAGCGATCGACCGATTGATAGAGAACATGTCGCCGGTTGAGCGCGCCGGTCGAGAGGAGATGCTGAAACATCGCCGGGACCAGGTCCAGCTCGAATGGCAACCTCACACCGTCGAGCCCGGCCTGCTCAGCAGCCTGCTCTAACTCTGCCAGCTCACGTTCGATACGGGTCGGCCCGATCCGGAAAGGAGTGCAGGGCATCAGCAACGCGGAAAGCAGCAACATCCATCGATCGATCGATGAGTCATCCGGATGAGGAAGAGTTTTACAACTTACTCGCTCGCACGACTGGCACGGAGCTTTCGTGCAAGCCCCACCCGGGCGGCGGGTGGACCAAGGGGCGTTCCGCCCTGCTTGCTCTAGGTGAAACGTCTGAAGGGAGTGGCCTCACCCTTCTTTTTGCTCAGCCGCCAACAGCCTTCCGTCGAGGGCCTCTACGCCTTTGGCTGCCTGTGCGCCGCCACGATTCCCAAGCCCCGCCGCGACGGTGACCGCCACTTTGCCGACCGCGGGGATTTCGGCCTCTACCTCGGACCCTCTGAGATCAGTCCCGGGCATGTCGTCTACCTCTTTTCGACCAAGGTGATCCAGGTCGTCGCCAAGCTGCGCGTCTGGGAGGACCAGTTTCCTGGCCTCAAAGGGCATCGCTACGCGTGGTTCCCCAGTGATGAGGCGCTTCCCCCTGACAGCGGCGTTCCAGAGTCAGTTTCCGCCCCGCCGCCCGACCGGCCTGACGCTCCCGAACCTGCTGCTGGTCCGGCGCAGCAGCAGCCGCAACCACAAGGCAGAGCTGAGCGCTCCGTTCGCGAAACCACCGCTAACGCTCGCGGCGATGACGCGCCTGCTCCCGCTCCTGCGCCGCCCTCGACGCCTCCCGCGCCTTCTCCCGCCACTCCTGCCGCGACTCGCTCAGGAGGGGCCACCGTCGAGGTCCCCGTCGAAGTCACGCGCCTCCCACCTCGCGCTACCGAACCCGTCAGGATGCGTAGCCTCACTCCACCTCGCCGCTCAGCTCGCATTCGTGCTCAGCACCTTGGTCAGCTCGCCTGCGCCTTCCTCGTTGCCTTCATCGCCCCAGTTCCGCGCCTCTCAGCCAACATGGCCGCCGCTCTTGTCGCCAACGCCGTTCACGGCGAGTGCCGTGCCGACGACTTCCTCGCAGTCGACAACTCGCTTGGCGCCGTCGACGCCGCCTTCTTCGGCTACGACTCGTCCAACGACACTGCCCTCGTCACCGCCGCTCGCAGCGCTGGCGGCGCCTACTCTGTCACGCTGACGTCCGATCAAGGCGCCCTCCGAGTTCCGAAGAGCTACCGGCAAGCGATGTCGAGCCCACAGGCCGAGCAGTGGCGCGAGGCGATTGCCAAGGAGCTCGCCGGCCTCGTCGCTCTCAAGACGTGGGACCTCGTTCCTCTTGCCTCCGTGCCTACCAGCGCCAACGTGATGCATTGCCACTTCGTTTTTGCCATCAAGCGGAAGGCCGACGGGTCCATCGACAAGTTCAAGGCACGCCTCGTCGCCGACGGAAACACGCAGAAGCATGGTGTTGACTTTGACCGCGTCTTCGCCACTGTTGTCAAGGCTCTCACCATCCGGCTCGTTCTCGCCATTGCTGCCGCGCGTGACTACAACCTCAGCTCCCTCGACATTCGCCAGGCGTACCTTCAGGCCGCCCTCGATGAGGATCTCTACATGCGCGCCCCGCCCGGCGTCAACAACCGCGGCGGAGAGCTCGTATGCAAGCTACGCCGCAGCCTCTACGGGCTCAAGCAGGCTGGTCGTGAATGGGCTCAGCTCCTCTCTTCCTTCCTCGTGTCGTGGGGCTTTGTGCGCTCGACCATCGATGTCTGCCTCTACACCTACGAGAAGGACGGCACCGTCCTGTGGGCTCTCGTCTATGTCGACGACATTCTCCTCGCCGACAACTGCCCCAACTTACGTGCGCGCTTTGTTGCCGACATCTCGCGACGCTTCCCTACCGAGGACAAGGGCGAGCTCGAGTGGATCCTCAACACCGCGATCACTCGCGACCGCGCTGCTCGTTCTCTGACCTTGTCTCAGGGCCTCTACACCGCCGACCTCGTCGCGAAGTTTGAGTCGTACTTCGATCGCTCGCGCTCGCGCCACTTCGACTCGCCGATTGAGGAAGGCCTCGAGCTCTCTCCCGCCGATCAGCCCGTTCTCGGCTCCGTCGAGTACGACGAGATGTCCAAGTTTCGCGATGCGTACATGGCCATCGTCGGCGGGCTCCTTTGGCTTGCGAATATGACGCGCGTCGACATCGCCTACTCCGCCTCGCAGCTCGCTCGGTTCATGACCAACCCCGGCCCGTCGCACTTTAAGGCTGCGATTCGTGTCCTCGTCTACTTGCGCGACACCGCTGACCGCGCTCTTGTCATGCGCCCTGATCCCGTCCGTGGCCTCGAGAGCTTTGTCGACTCTAGCTGGGCGACCAAGTTTTCGTGCTCCGGCGGGATGTTCTTCTACTACGGGTGCCTGTTTCATTGGTTCTCCAAGATGCAGCGCTCCGTCACGCTTTCGAGCGCCGAGGCCGAGTTCTTCGGCGCCATGCTCGCCGCCAAGGAAGTTATCTTCATCCGCGAGCTACTGATCGACCTCGGTTTCATCATCGACACCCCCAGCGTCATCAAGTGCGACTCCAAGTCCGCCGTCGGCATGGCCTTCGACCCCGTCGCATTCAAGAAGACCAAGCACATCCTGCGCGCCGCCGAGTTCCTCCGTGACCTTGTCGCACGCGAGGTCGTCTCTGTCGAGCACCTCCCCGGCGCTGTGATGCTCGCCGACATCCTCACCAAGGCTGCCTCTCGCGCCGTCTTTGTCGAGCTGATCAAGCAGCTCGACACCTTTGCATGATCACGTCAGTTGCGCTCTAGAGGCTGTAGTTAGTCCCCCTTTTCACTGTGTTGTGTCCCTCGCACCCCCGTGCTCTGGCCAGGAGGGGCTGTTCCCGGGGGCATAACTCCCCCACAGCGCAGACGTTCACACTTCCACACCCACAGTGCCCGTCCAAGACTGCCCGTCCAAGACTTGTCTTGTTGGTCCTGGACCTGTCTGTTGTAACTGCTTGATTTTATGTCGTTTCGCTCCATCACGCTCTCGTTCCCCTCGATGCTGGCGTTCGCCGCGCTCCATTGCCTCGCGCGCGCGTCCTCTCTGCCGATGGCATCGTTCATACTTCGACTCACATCTTCACTGCTGCGGTGAGTGCCCGGGGAGGCGCGGCGGCGGGGTGAATGAAAAGGTCTCAGAATGCACAGAGAAAGAAAACTGGTAACTGCAGGCAGAGGCGCGCGCTGCAGTTTCTCTGATCGGGCTGCTGGCGGTGTGAGCGCGAGACGGCGTGGTGAGGCGTGAGGCAGGCTATTGTTGTGGGGTGCGGGCTGCGTCGTTAGGCGTATGCGTGCACATGGTGCTGTATGCTGTGTACTTTGCTGTGTGTGCAGGCAGGCTGGCAGTGTGTGCTCTGTGCTGTGTGCAGGCAGACTGGACAGCGGACTGAACGGATGGCGGAGCGTGCGCGCAGCGTGCCACGCGCGCGCCTCGTGCAGTGCAGACCAGGCGCGTGGCGGCAGGGGCGCCGCGCGGAGCACGCGGGCTGAATGTTCAGAACAAGCAGGGCTGCTGTGCAGACTGTCTGCAAACTGCACAGCACCCCTGCTCGGGTAACGTAGCGCGAGCTCGGTGGCCTGCGCGCGCGGCGTGCCGCCGCGCGCGCCTCGCGGTGAAGCGTCTTGCCGGTCGCGTCGCGCTCCGGTGCGGTATGGTGCCTGAAGAAGGTGCAGGCGCTTGTGCAATGGGCGCAGACTGCAGTGAGAGGTGCACTGCGGCGCGCGCGTCGCGGCGTGAGTGGTCGTGCGCCTGGGTCTGGTGGTGCGAGAGGCGCGTGGCTGGTGCGGGCGGCGCGGGCCGGCCATGGGGTGCCAGCACAGAGCAGACGCACATGGCACAGCTCTGAAATGGCGCTGCGCGTGTTTGCGTGCGCGCGGGGACGTACGCGCAGTTTTCACGCGGTGTGCGTGGAGAAGGGCATGAGAGGCGCCGGCCGCGCGTGGCTCGGCGTGTGGGAGTGTTGGGGTGCCCGTAGGCGCGTGGGAAGGTGCCCGAAGGGCGATCATTTTCGGGGTGCTGAAGGAACTGTTGTTCACAGCTTCGCATGTCATGTGCAAACACTTCTCGGTGACAGTCAGTCCACGGTCTGTTCCCATCGGACTTCGGTCTTCGCAGGCGCGGCGGGCGCGGCGGGGGCGCACATACACTCTCTCACGTCTCACGCCACCATCATCTCCTCCTCCTCCTCTGCGGAAAGAAGGAGGCCCTCGCTCTCGGCAGCGCTGCCGCCAGAGGCTGCGGCGCCACGCGCAACCTGCCTCAACACACTCGAGGAAAAGAGTAGGAGCAGGAGCAGAAAAGCGACCAGGCTGCCCCCGAGAAGGAGCATCTGGTAGTACTGCCGGACGAGCAACGCCGCGTCGGCCTGCGATAACGGGTAGACCGTCGACACCACCGCCCAATGCTGTGCGATCCAGTCGCTCTCTCCGAGCCACTTGGCGCCGCCCATCGTGAGCGCGAGCAGGAAACCGGCAACCACGAACAGCGCAGTGCCCGTACAAATCTCGTAAACTAGAAGGAGCGGCCTGCGGACATTTTGGAGGTCCTCAACGCAAGCTTCCCTGACGGCGGGCGAATCGGCAAGACGGGGAGGGGGATCCCGGCTCTCTGAGATCTACGCGGATGGCCATCGCGTCGCCCTCGAAGCAGCGAGGCCCACGAGGCCGACGAGCAGCAGTGCACCTACAGGCTCAAGCCGCGGACATGTCACGGACATGTCGAAGCCGTGTGCCGACGAGGTCCACCGGGGTGCGCACCCCCGGCAGCAAGCATCGGCACAGCTGACGGGTCTTCGCCGCCGCTGTGCTGCGCGCCGAGAGTCAAGATGGCAATGGCGGCAACGACGGCACCCCCGTGTGCCACCGCCATGATGTTTTGTGCGACCGCGCGCCAGCCCACCAATCGGCCGGCGCAGTAGAGGCCGAGGAGCAGCAAGCCGTCAGAGCAAAGCAGCAGCGTCCCACGCAGCGTCGCGCTCTCGTACACCTGTGCCACCGCGCGCCACGCAGCCAGCATGACATCGGGCGCATCCACCTCGGTGGCAAGATCTGCCAGCACCTCTGGCGGCCCCGCATGCTGCACGCATGCCCAGTATACTAGGGCGAGCGCCTAGAGGGGGAGCAGAGAGGGGGTGAGGGTGCATGGAGGTTTTCATGAGCTTCGGGTCAGAGGGGCAGAGTGACCACTCGCCTCCGTTTCCGCCCGATAGATAAAGTAGAAGGCGCAGAGCAGCGTTTGGCCGAGCGCGGCAGGCAACGTGAGCGAGAAGTACGCGACGGCGCAGAGGCTGTACGAGCAAGCCTAGAGCTCGGCCAGTCTCGGCTGTGCCCGGTCAATCTTGCGCCAGAGCTCGAGGGCGGCTGTGAGAGAGCGCCGCGCGGCCCGACAGAGCGAGAGCGAGCCCGCACGCTGAGGGCACGGACAGCAGCGTCGCCGCGAGGAGCGTCGAGCGCACCGCGTCGTGGAAATGGAGGCTGACCAGCCGTCCAGCACCGACGCTCCAGCCAGTCGCCGGAGCGTCCGCCGCTCGAGAGTCTGCCAGCGGCGGCAGCGGCGTCGCGCGGGCAAGCGCTGGCGGGGGAGACTCTTGCGGCTCACGTGATGAGACATGCGCCGCGTGGTGCCGCTGGGCCGGAGCCGGCGGGGCGAGGAGCCTCGAGGCGAGGGCGGCAACCTTCTTCTCGAGCGCAGCGACGCGTGCCTCCGGCGCCTGCTCAACCGCACTGCCGCCTGGAACGGCGCTGCCGGCGGACCGCGAACTTACCACCTCCAGGACGCCGGCCGGTGTCGGTGGCGTTGGCGGCGGTGCCGATGCTGGTGGTGGCGGTGCCGGTGAATTCGGTGAGGCTGGCGGTGGCGACGGTGGTCGTGGTGATGGTGACGGTGACGGGGGCGGCAGAGCTGGTGACGGTGGCGATGGCGACGGTGGTCGTGGTGATGCTGACGGTGGCGGCGGAGCTGGTGACGGTGGCGATGGCTGCGGGGGTGGCGATGGCCTGGGGCGAAAGACGTTGGTCGTCTCCGAGACAGGATCTGGGTCGCCGCCCCAGTCCATCTCCACAGCGTCCAGGAGCGCTCCGTCCACAGCGGCCGGCTCCCCCGCCTTCTCCTCTCCTCCCGCCCTGGGCTGGTCCACCGCCGTCACCTCCGTAGGAACCTTCGCCGCCACTACCGCCGCCACCTCAGCCGCCTCCGCCGCTACTGCCTCAACACCAATCTGCGCCTCTGCCCGACCCTCCCTCTCCGCACCCACGACTCCCGATTCAGTCAATCTCGATTCCACTCTGGCCTGGGCCGCCTCTGCCAATCCTGCATCCACATCCGCATTCCTTGCCTCTGCAACTCCTGTTTTCACCCCCAACCGAGATGTGCTCAATGACCTCCTGCCCGCTTCAAATGGCGGTCGACTGCTGCACTCTAGGGACGCCGGGTCGATCGGCTGCCACCTCCCGTTCACCAGTTGGTAGCGGAGCGGCGCGGCGACGAGCGCAGCTGGCAGGAACAGCACGCCTAAGCCATATTGCAATACCCTGACCTGAGAGAGGTGCACTGTGAACGTATCAGAGTGTCGCGGAAGCGTCACACCGATGAGCAGGCCGAGCTGGAGGAGTGCAGTCGTGGCGAGGCCGAAGCGAGGCCAACAAGAGTCGGAGGGACCGCATGGCTGGCTCGTTGCGTGCTGAACGCAGCCGGCAGCCTTGCCGCGTGCCGCACCGAGAGGCGTGATCGCTGTTTGGGATTTGAGTGCCGGGTGGCCGGCGGGAACGCTGGAGATGATTTGGCAGCCCAGGAGACTGCCGGGGTTTTCTGCGTCCCAGCTCGCCGGCACGATTGTCTTCGTCACGACACTGCCGCTGGCCTCACACACACGCACGGGGACGGAGGTCCCCACAGATGACGCGAGGACCGGCTGCAAGTCACGGAGGTGCCTGGCGCCACCAAGGCTGAGGATGGCGTCGCCGAGAATGAGGCCACCCTTGCCCGCTGGCGTCTCCTTGGGAGGGGTCGCCGTCACGTACGCAAACGCGCGGTCGGGACGTGCCAGCCGCATGCTGTCTCGATGTGTGGACGGCGGGCGCTCCTCGCGCTCCCAGAGTTCTCTTCTCGGACGCCTGCCCCCCCCATCTCGGCTGCTCTTGAGACCTCGCGTGGGATTTGATTTCTTCATCCCCCACAACACACTCGCACAACAAGCCGAGCAGAGAGCTCCCGTCGCAGCCTGCCCTGGACATATGCCCACGCCATCGTCAATCTCACGACCCCTTCATATCCGGCCGCGTCACGCGTCTGCGACGCGCCGCTGCAGCGCTGCCACCTCGGCACGCGCCGCCGCTAGCGCGTGCTTTGTCGCCGCCAGCTCGGTCTCGAGGCGCTCGTTCTCGTTGCGGTACCGCTCGACGCGCTGCTTGGCCTGCCGATGCAGCCTCTCGGCGATCGAGGGCGCGTGCTCGCCGCCGTCGCGCAGCTCCACCTCAGCGGCGAGGTCGCGCATCGTCTGCGCCTGCTGCCGCACCTGCGCCTTGAGCTGCGCGATGCGCGCATTCTGCGCTGTCACGACGCCGTTGCTCCCCTCCCCGCCCGTCCGGGACGCCGCCTCCTCCTCGAGGGCCGCGAGCTCACCGCGGTACACCTCGCAGCACGTCAGCAGCGCCGCCTGCGCCGCCTGGCTGTCGACACACAGCGCCTGCTCACGTGTGGCGGGCGGGGGTGAGCGGATGCGAGGGCAGGAGGGCACGCCGCGTACGCACCCCCCCTCCCCCCCCCCCCCAAAACACACCCACACACCCACACACCCACACACCCACACACCCACACACCCACACACCCACACCCAAAGCGGCGGCGGCACGCCTGCAGCTGCGCGAAAGCCGCCTCCGCAGCGACCTGCGCCCCCTCCGCCGGCCCGCCTGCCGCGGCGCGCACCTTCGGCTCCGGCATCGCGGCCGGCTGGTGCCGGGCGTGGCCGTTGGTGAGCGGCGGCGGCGGCGGCGGCGAGTCGTCGCCGCTCCTCCCCGAGGGCGAGCTGTCCGACGCGTGCCCACGAGAGGGGGACGGCGGCGCGGCGTCCGCGAGGTCGGCCAGATCGCTCAGCCGAACGCTCTCCTAGGGGAGGCACGGCACAGGGAGGTCGTGTCATGGACGCCTCCGGGTCGGCCACTCCCTCAAGACGCGCGCTCCTCCTCCGAGTAGGGTTCCGACGGAGGCGCGATCTCGTCGTCGTCGTCGCCGCCCTCGTCGTCCTCCTCGTGCCCCCTCCACGCCCGCTGCCTCTCGCTCGCCTCGCGCCAAGCCGCCGCCTCCGCAGCGGCGACCGCCGCGCGCGCCTCGGCGGCGGCCGCCGCCGCTTGCTCCTCCGCCTCTATCCGTCGCAGCTCCTGCTCCTCGATCCGCCGCTCCTCCTCCTCCTCCGCCGCTGCATCGACCGCCGCGCGCGCCGCCGCTTCGGCCTCCTCCGCCTCGAGCTTGGCGCGGACCTTTAGAGGGGGGGGGGGGGGAGGGGAAGGGTGGAGGGAGGAGGGTGGTGGAGGGTGGTGGAGGGAAGGAGGGTGGTGGTGGTGGGTGGTGGAGGGTGGTGGAGGATGGTGGAGGGGGAACCTCCTCCTCGAGCCTCAGCTCCTCGGCGAGCCGCTGCCGCTCCTCCTCCTCGATGCGCGCCTCTTCGATCGCAGCCAGCCGCGCCGCCTCCGCTTCCTCGGCCGCCCGCCGCTCCGCCGCCAGCCGTTCCTCCTCCTCGCGCTTCAGCGCCGCCGCCGCCTCCTCGACCGCGATGCGCTCCGCCTCGATGGCGGCCAGCCGCGCCGCCTCCTCCGCCTCGGCCGCCTCGCGGACCGCTCGCTCCGCCTCCTCCGCCTCGAAACGCGCCAGCTCCTCCGCCTCCAGCCTCAGCGCCTCCTCTTCCTCGAGCACCGCCTGCTTCTCGGCGCCGCGGGCGAGCAGCTCGCTGTCGACGCCCGCCGCGGCGGCGCGGCCCATCGCCTCGCGCATCGCCTCTGCGTCCGTGAGCTGCGAACCGATCACAGTCTCGAGCGCGCACGCCGCGTCGCGCCGCTCCGCCTCGGCCGCCTCGGCCGCCGCCTCAAGCTCCTCCACCCGCGCCGCCGCCTCGGCCAGCAGCGGCTCCCCCTCGCCGATGGCGTCGACCGCCACCATGCCGAGCGCGCGCGCCGCGTCTGACGCCTCTTGCAGCGCCCCGATCGACTCGCCCGCAATCGCGGCGCGCAACGCCTGGCGTGCCGCCTCCTTGCGCGCGAGCGCCGCCTGCTCCTCCAAGGCCACCAGCTCCGCCCGCGCCTCCCTCAGCTCCTCCGCATCGACACCCGCCTGCTCAACGTCTGTGCTGTGAAGAGACGCCCTCTCCGCCCTGCCCGCCCTCCCCCCGCGCCGACGAGCGCCTCCTCCGCGTCCTCGATGAGGGCGGGCACCCGCTCCACCTCGGCGCGCGCGAGAGCCTGCTGCAGCGCGTCCGACGCGGCGCCGCGCGCTGCCTCACGCTTCGCCTGCTCGAGCGCGATCCGCTCGCGCGCCTGCCGCGCCATCCACAGCTCGTGCGACGGCACCGCCGCCTCCTCGGCCGCGCCGATAGCCGCGTCGAGCTCAGCGGCGGCGTTGCCCTCGACGGCCTCGCGCAACGCCGCCAGCGCGGCGACGCGCTTCGCCTCCCGCTCCTCCGCCTCCCGCTTGGCCCGCTCGGCGGCCTCGGCCAGCTCCTCCAGCTCAATCAGCCGCGCCTCGGCGAGGGAGACCTTGGCGGGCTCGACGTCAGCTGCCGCCGCAGCCTCGAGCGTCGTGCGCAGCAGCTCGATGTCTTCGCCCGCCATCGCGGCGCTGAGGGAGAGCGCGGCGCGCGCGCGCTCCATCTCGCGCTTCTCCTCCTCGGCGGCCAGCTCGGCGAGCCGCTCGCGTGCCGCGTCGAGGCCGACGACGGCCGCGTCTGGGCCGAGGCCCTCTGCCTGCCTCACCGCCTGCTCGAGCGGCGGCAGCTTGTCCGCCTCGAGCGCCGCGGCGAGGGCGGCGCGCGCCTTCGCCTCCGCCGCCTCCTGCGCCTCAGCCTCCTTGCGAAGCCGCTCCTCCGCCGCCCGCCGCGCCTCCTCCTCCGCCTTGGCCCTGCGCTCCGCCTCCGCCTTGGCCTTTTTCTCCGCCGCCAGCCGCTCACGCACCTTCTTGCGCACCGCCTCGAGGCGCGCCGCCTCGGCCGCCTCGGCCGCGGCGCGCTCTTCCGCCTCCTTGCGCTCCCTCTCCTCGGCCTCGAGCCGCTTCGCCTCCGCCTGGAGGGGGGGGGGGGGTGAGGGCCGGGGGCGAGGGCAGCGGAGGTGAGGCCGGGGGCGACGGGAACGAGGCGACGGGAACAGCGTGGCGGGTGGTGCGAGGTAGGAGGTGGGGAAATGGGCAGGGGGGCGGGCGCCTCCGCCGCCGACGCCGCCTCGTTTGCCTCGCGCCGCAGCCGCTGCTCCTTCTCGATGGTCTGGCGGATGCGCGCGCGCTTCTCCTCCTTGCTGAGCCCGGCCAGCTCGCCCATCTCGGCTTGCTTTGCCGCCTCGGCCGCCTTGAGCGCCTCAGCTGCCCGCGCCGCCGCTGCCTCGAGCTTCACCAGTGTCGCACGCCGCTCCTTCTCCTCCGCCTCGCGCGCGGCCGCCTCGCGTGCCGCCTTTGCCGCCTCCTCGTGCCGCTGGCGCTCTGCCTCACGCATCGCACCCAGCTCCGCCCGCGTCGGCGGCTGCGCCGGCGGCGGCGGCGGCTTGTCGCGAAACAGGGGCTTGGCGGACGGCGAGACCCCGTCGGTGGCGTCAAAAGGGACCCACGGTTTGCCACTGTCGCCGAACGGATCGCTCGACGCCGCCGGCGGCCGCGGCGGCCGGCTGCCGTCGCGACTGCCGCCAGAGGCGGAACGGCTCACCGCCGGCGACGCGGACGCGCCTGGCAGCGGTGGCGGCGGCGGCGGGCACTTTGCTGAGACGATTGGGGTCTTTGGGCCAAAGAGATCGGCGTCGAGCGGCGCGGGCGCGAAGCCGGAGCCGGAGCTGCCGCGCGCGATGCAGCCGCCGTCGAGCGACGATGGCGCAGGCCAAACGGCGGCGGCCGTGGCGAAGGGGTCGGACGGTGACGACGGGAAGAAGGAAGCGGCGGCGCGCGGCGAGGATGCCCCCCCTCCTCGCTCCGCAGAGCCGAGTGAGGAGGCCGAAGGCGACTTGCCAATCCCGCTGCGGCACGACGAGCGCCCCGACCCGCCGCCGCCGCCGCCGCCGCCGCCGCCGCCGCCGCCGCCGCCGCCGCCCCCGAACAGGTCGGAGGCCCAGCCCGCGGGCGGATCGGCCGAAGGCGTGGGCGGGTGGGGGGGAAGCGGGTGCAGCGGCCCGTCGACGTCGCGCAGCTCGCCCGACGGGAACTTGACAGTGTAGTAGTCGCCACTCGGGTCGTCGCGGTGGATCGCCGTCACGGTCACCGTCTGGCTGCGGTAGAGCGCGCGGCTGCCGAGCGCGATCGCCGCAGGCGGAGCCGGCGCCGCCGCCGGGACCGGGGGTCCGGAGAGGAGGTCGAGGCCGAGCAAATCCGAGGAGGGGGCGGAGGAGGGCGGGGTGCCGCTGCGCCCCCGCTCCGACGCCGGCGGCTTGGCGGCGGCGGTGGGGAGCCGCTCGAACGAGAGCGCCTGCCGGGAAGCGTACCGGACCGCCGAAGGCGGCGGCGGCTGCGACGCGGGCGACGGCTGCTGCGAGGCGGCGTGGTGCGACGGCGGAGCGGGTTCGTCCGGCTCGAAGAGGGGTGCGGCCTGAGGGTGCGGTGCAGCCATCTGCTGCTGGACCTGCTGCTGGTACCGCTCGAGCTGTGCCGCCTGCGGACATGTCGCGGATGTGTCGCGGACGTGCCACCGCCGACAGCGGAAGCGGGCGCGCAGCCTCGCCTCGCGCTGCTGCCTCTCAGCGGCGGCGGCGCGGTCCGCCTCCGACGCGGCGGAGGCGGAGGTGACGTACCGGCGCACCTCCATCTCGAGGATCGAGCCGGCATCGCGGATGAGGTTGCGCACCTGCGAGGGGGGGGGAGGGGGGGGGGGGCTCTCAGCCGGCGGAGGAAGGACCAGTACGACAGGGTCGACTCCATGTTCGCGTGGCTGGAGGAGTGAGAGCGTTGGAGGTGCACGCCAGAGCGGTAGCCCCGGCCGACGGCAGGCGAATGCTGGCGACGCGGTGAGTTGTGGGCGTGGAGTCCGTCTCAGCGGGCGGGCGTGGAACCCCGCGTGTGTCTCCGGCCGACGCTGCCCGAGAGGGATGTGCGAGGGGGTGTGCGAGGGAGGGCCGGCTGCCTGCGGAAGCGTCAGCTGCTCGACCTTGCGCCGCTGCAGCGTGACGAGGTAGTCGCGCTCGCGCAGCTGCCCGCGGTCGTCGGCGACGTCGGTTGGGGCGATCACATCGAGGTAGATGCCGCACTCGTCCTCGCGCACCTGGATCTTGAAGCGCCTGCGGGGCACGTGTCGTGGGCGCTGCGGTGAGAGGAGTGGGCGGGATCGGCACGCACGCGCGCGTGTGTGCGTGCGTATGTGTGTGTGCGTGCGCGTGTGTGCGCGTGTGCATGCGTGCGTGCGTGCGTGCGTGCGTGCGTGCGTGCGTGCGTGTGTGTGTGTGTGCGTGCGTGCGTGTGTGTGTGTGCGTGCGTGCGTGCGTGTGTGCGTGTGTGTGTGTGTGCGTGCGTGCGTGCGTGTGTGTGCGAGAGAGAGAGAGAGAGCGTGTGTGGGGGCGGGGGCGAGTCTCGGACAAGTCTTGGGCGAGCGTCTCATATATGTATATCTCGCCCACCCTTGCGAGTCACGCAGCAAGGACGCCTTGGTGCGGACCCAGTTGCCGCCGCCGCCGGCCAGCGTTGCGGGCAGGGGCAGCTCGGGCGCCTCGTACGCGTCGAGTGAGCCCTCGAAGATGCACGCGTACCTAGCTCGCGCCGCGCGGCGTGACCAGGCGCCGCGGGCGGGCTCGAGCGGGTGGAATGCAGGTGCAGCGCGCACTGTTGCAGCAGCAGCCCCACGAGCCGAAACTCGTTGCGCAGCAGCGCGCGGCCGCGCTCATACGTCGGAGTGATCATCGCGGTCCAGACCTGCGGCGGTGTGGCGTGGGGGCGCATGGAGGGCGTCGCAGGCAGGTCGGCGGAGGCGAGGGCGGCGGCTGGCTTGGTGACGGCGGCGGCGCTCCTAGGGATGGCAGCGGCGGATGGTGTGGTTGGTGGTGGTGGTGGTGGTGGTGTGGGTGGTGGTGGTGGTGGCGGCGGCGGCGGCGGCGGCGGCGGCGGACGTGGTGGTGGCGGCGGTGGTGGTGGGTGGTGGTGAGACCTGCGCGAGGGCCTCTGCCGAGTTTCCTCTTGCCGCCGAGCGAGAGGCGAGCGTGGAGAGGAAGCGGAAGAGGCGGTGGAGGACGGTCTGAGTCGACTCTGGCATTCCGCCGAGCGTGTCGCGCACCTTGCAGCGGGAAGACACGCGCGTCGGTGTGTGCGCACAGGACCGAGCAGTGGGTCCGGCGCATCGCCACTCACACAACCACCGGGGATGCGTGTCCTTCTCAGTGCTTGCTGGAACAGAGGGATCTATTTCCGCATCCAGGGGACGCACTGAGGCGACACGCTCGCCGTACGGCTCGATGTCGACCGCCGCGCAGAGCGCCTCGTAGTGAGGAGGTCCGACCAGCGGCTCGGGTAGCGAGCGGATGTAGGCAGCGAGCGAAGCGGCGGCGAGCTGCGCCGAGCCGCGGCAGACGGCGGCCACGTCTCTCGTGCGGCCGCTGCTCAGCGAGCCAATCACGTCGTTGAGCTCCCTGCAAGCGCGCGTGTGGGCGCGATCAGCCGCCGTCCCCTCAACCCGGCGGCAGAGGTGTGGCGGCGGCGAAGGCGCTGGCGGCGGTGCGCGAGAAGGAGGAGCGCGGCAGCCGTGAAAAGGGCCGCCGCTGCCGCGCGGCCGTGCAGGGCGCACCGGACAGTCGGGTCCCCGCCAAAGAGATCGTCCGTGGAGAGCCCGGCCACCTCGAGGTACGAGATGAGGAGCTCGACGGCGGCGGGTATCTTCTCACTGTAGACATCTTCGTCCGGCGGCAGCGGTGGCGACTCGTACACGTATTCCTCGCGCATCGGCCTCGCCTTTAATGGAAGACAGCGGAACGGACTGTGAGGGCAAGGCTGTGCGAACGGAGTGGGGGACTGGAGATGAATTGTGCCGCGCGCACCAGCGCCGCAGTCGTAGAAGTCTTGTCTCTGTGTAGAGCTCTACAGGTACTCCTTTCGAAAAGAGAAAACGCGGCGCTTCTTTCTTCAAACCGAGGCAAGCCTTCGGGGTCACTCCTCCTCGCAAACCCTGCCAGCTTTCCACCTCGGCTATGTTCGTATCTTCAAAAGAGCCACGTGCACACCGCGTCGAACTCATCGGCGCGGGCTCTCTCGGCTAGGGGACCGCCCCAGCTTCGGCTGAGGGCTGACAAGCTGCCGAGCCCAAATCACTGTGACAGTCGTGATTTCTTGTTGGTTCTCAAATATCTCTCTCCGTGCACACTGCGTGCACATACATTAGAAGAGAAGAAGAAAATCCACTCTCACAGTGATTCGGGCTCTACATTGGAGAAGAAAGAAAGAAAGAAAAGAAAACAGACCACAAGGATGGGAGGATGGCACGCCGCCACCACACAGGGATTTTAAGGAGAGGGGTGTGATGCGCTAGCCGTCGCCCACCCTTGGGCGTCCGCCTCTTCCTATCTCTCTTCGCAGTCTCTCGCAGATTCTCGCTGCGACCTACATTGGAGAGAGAGAGAGAGAGTGCGGGCATTGGAATTCTTGTGTAGACACTTCCTCTTGTGTGCGCGTCCGTCCCCGCCGTGCCGTTGCGCTCTCGACCCACAATCCGCAGCGAGTCCGCCCGTCCTCGCCCGTCCCGCCACGCCTGCGTTGGCCGACAAAACGCTCGCCGAAATGGCGAGCAGCAGCTTTGTCAGCAGATGCTGCACAGCATACACGGTCAGCGGGGCCGGTTATATGAGCCGGATCGAGGGCACCTACCTGAGGACGTCAGACGATCGGTACACAAAGGCCTCGGACAGCACCTTTTACCTCCACCGCATGGACAGTGGCGAGTGGAGCCTTGTGCGGAGCAAAAGCGGCAATACGTACACCTGCGCTTGGACGGGCAGCTCAACGGATGAGTGCCCATCCTCATCCGGGTGGCTTGTCCAGTTCGGTGCCACGAACGAGTACCTTCCCGGAATGACTCCGGAAGAGTGGCCCTCTATGTCGGATTCGCTCGCCATAGATTGCGGCGCTCCGCCGGCCTCTTCCCCGCTGCCGCTCTCGCCCTCTCCCACGCCGCTCTCGCCCTCTCCCACGCCGCCAGCCTCAAGGGAGCTCGCGTCGCAGACTCTGCTGCCGTCCGATCTCAAAGGACGGGCAACGGCCGATCAGCCACTTGCTTGCCTGGCCTGCGACGCGGGAGGCGACTCGGGCGGGGCGGCGCTTGTCGACGGGCGGTGCATGGAGTGGTGCAGTGAATGGGGCTATTGCGGCACCACCGTCGACTATCAGGACATCGACTGCCGCGGCTGGAGACCATCACCGCCGCCGCCACCAGAGTGCCCAGCGTGGTGCCCCGGCGGAATGGGCTGGGAGACCGCCTGCCAACTTGAGAATGGCTCATGCGCAGCCTGCACCGTCGAATGCAACACCCCGCCACCCTCGCCGCCACCCTCACCGCCGCCGTCGCCAGTTCCGATGCCGCCACCGTCGCCCCTGCAGTCGCCACTGCCGTTGCCTCCGCCGCTGCCACTGACCCAACCGCCCTCGCCACTGCCGCTGCTACCACCCTCACCCTCGCCACTGCCGCTGCCACCACCCTCACCCTCGCCACCGCCGCCCTCTCCAGCGCCGCTGCCGCCGCCTTCGCCTCTACCGCCGCCGCCGCCCTCGCCCTCGCCACCACCCTCGCCCTCGCCACCGCCGCCCTCGCCCTAGCCACCACCTTCGCCCTCGCCACCGCCGCCCTCACCCTCGCCACCGCCGCCCTTGCCCTTGCCACCGCCGCCCTCGCCCCCACCCTCACTGCCACCACCACCGCCACGGCCGCCGCCGCCGCCGCCGCCGTCACCAGCCCTGCCGACGCCGCCGCCGCCGCCGCCGCTGACGCCGCCGCTCCCGCCACCGCCGCTGCCGCCGCCTTCGCCTCCGCCCCCGCCGCCTCCGCCCCCGCCGCCTCCGCCCCCGCCGCCTCCGCCCCCGCCGCCTCCGCCCCCGCCGCCTCCGCCCCCGCCGCCGCCACCACCTCCACTATCGCCGCCGCCTCCGCCTCTGTCGCCCTCACCGTACCCGCCGCCGCCGCCATTGACGACCGCGCTAAACGAACCCGCCAAGGCTGGAGATAAGACGGTCCGCCTGGAGGAGGGCGTCTTCGAGCCGGGAGACGAGGTCCGGATCGACGAGGGCGACTCAGCCGAGCGAAATGCGATCGTGTCGATAGAGCCGAATGTGCACGCCCGAATTCTGACGCTCGAGCCCCTGAAGATGCAGGAGGGCCTCCTCTCGGAGGCCAACACTGCCACGCTGAAAGCCCCGCTCGCCGCCAGCCACCCGGTGGGGACGGCTGTCATGAAGGTGACGCGCAACGCTGCGCCGATTGAAGTGGACCCGGAAGGGGGGGGCATGGCGGGGGTGATTGCAGGTGCCGCAGGCGGCGCCGTGGCCGTCATCGGGGCGGCCATCGCCGGCGTGATGTGGCACAGGCGGCGGACTGAGCAGAAGAGGCAGGAGCGGATGATGAAGACGCACGGGCAGACCAAGGTGTCGAGTTGCGGGGTCCGATAGACGATGCAGTAGCGTGTGGAGATGTGTGCCTCACAACGCCCGTACCCGACCAGGTGTGGGTCAAGGACCCGGCGCAACCTCTCGGCGGCCTGCGGACGACCGACATGCCTCTCTCCTCGCGCGCGACCTCGATCCGAACGACGTCGATCAGACGGGCGCAGGCAGCGAGTCTCGCCTCTGTCGACGTCCACAGCAGCCAGGCGTCCTTCCCGATCCGCCCCGCTCCTTCATGCGCGTCGCAATCCTCACAGCAGCTGGAGAGCCAGACGTCCTTCCCCCTCCGCCCCTCGGCGCCAGCCCCGGCAGCCTCGTGTTGCAGCTCCATGGAGCAAGCGCCACTAGAGCTGCAACACATCAGAGGGGAGACACCGCGCGACCAACTCGGTCCGCTACGACCCTCGACCGCCTCGACCGCCTCCCGAGCCTCGCGGGACCCCACCGACGGTAGCGACACGAGTGACCTGGCATCGCGATCCAACTCGATTCGGCTTGGAGGGAATCTACACCAGACGATGTGAGTTGCCCTCGGCTCTCTTACTCCCTGTGCAAGCGCTCCGAGTAGTTAATTATCCATGTACCTTAAGGTGTACCGTGTTAGAGGTTAGAGCCGTAACGGCTAACGCGTAAGTGCTAAACACAGTGTGATATACACCTGATACACGTTTCACAGCGGGGGTCGCCAGAGCCAGACCTCCAGAGAGTCCGCAGTCGGAGACGGAGTCGCAGTCCGCCGCGGAAAGCGAGAGGTTGCTTTTCCATGTTTCGTCTAACGGTGGAAATAGGATTCCCCGCTGCTCGCGCAAATCTCCCGCTTAACCCACCTGTAACATTACACTAAGGAGAATTGCTGTGCTCTTTTGCTTTCTCTAACGTATCACAATGCTGCTCTTGCCTCTATACGGCTTTACACGAGATAGTAGACGGAAGGCATTCAACCCCAACAGGGACACCCTTACGCAGCCCTGGCCCCCGGGTCGATTCGGAGCACCCGATCGGCCTGCTGCGGCATGGCGTATATGACGCCACTCGGCGCAATCACACCGCCCTCCCACTTCTCGGGGGAGGCGCCGCACGAGTCGCCGCCCGAGAGTCGCAGCGTCGTCACCTCGAAGCTTGGCGAGATGCGCAGCACGGCCGGCGCGTTGCAGGGCAGGCCGTAGATGGCGTTGTCGCGGCCGAGGAAGCCGTTCTGCCACTTGTTGCCTCCCGGGTAGCTCGGGCCGATCAGGCTCACCTGCTCGTCCTCGGGCACGCCCGGCGCGCAGCAGATGTGGAGGGTCCGCCCCGTGTCTGAGGGAAAGCAGACCACGTCGCCGTTGGCCGCGGTGCAAGCGCCGCCCCACTTGTACTTTGTGTCGGGCAGCACCATCCCAATCTCGCGCACCTGTGAGATGGCACGTGCACGTCTCTCACCAGGCAGCAACCTGCATCTCTCACGCCAACTCTCGGCCCACCTCGTCGCTCCCGACCACAATCTTGAGCACCCGCCGCGCGTGCGCAGGCACCCCGTAGATGTTCCCGTCGCCGCCGACCGCGGCGCCGTGCCACTTCCAGCCGCCGCCCGGCAGATTGCCTAGTAGGGTGCCCGTCTCGCTGGCCGGGTCGAACTTGAGAACCTGCAGGACGGTGCACAGGCGGGTCACGTCTGGAGGGAGGTCTCGCTCGCTGGGTCAGGCTCGGAGCACCGCCGAGGCGCAGTTTGGCACGTTGTACATGCAGCCGTCCTTGCCGAGCAGCGAGCCGTACCACTTCTGCTTGCCCGGCCACGGCCCGCCCACCAGGCTCACCTCGCCGCTCGCCGGGGCGATCTTGAGCACCCTGTCCGCGTTGCACGGGCAGCAGTAGAGGCTGCCGTTGGCGGCTCGGACACCGCCGTGCCACTTCCAGTGGCCTTGCAGCGCGTCGGGGTCGCCGAGCAGATCGATGCCGCCCGCGCGGTCGATGCGGAGCACCTGGTTGCCGTTGGACGGCACGCCGAACGTGTCGCCCGTCTCTGGGTCGAGCGCGCCGCGCAGCCACTTGAATTTTCCGCCGCGGATGGCCGAGAGGCCGCGCAGGTCGCCGAGTCGCGTCACCTCGTCCGTGCGCGGGTCCACCTTGAGGACGCACTTGGCGCTGCCCGGCACGCCATAGATGCAGCCGTCCGCCGCCAGCTCGCCGCCGAGCCACTTGTCGATGCCGGGGTGGCTCCCACCAATCAGCTCGACCGTCGCCCCATACGCTGACGGGCACTCGGCGGCGGGCGCAGCGGCATTGCTCTCGGGCGGCGGCTGCGGGTCAGAGCGGCAGGGCATGGCTAAAGGCAAAGGCACGGGAGGATTTGGCTATTTGCCTCATGGGTGCCGCAGTCACAATCCTGCAACATGCCTCCGATCGTGAGCAGTTCAGCTCGCAATCCTACATCTCGTAGGACTATGAGCGGCTGCGCTCACAATCGTACCAAAGATCCAGAGAGAGATTTTCAATACCACAACTCTAACACTCACACGTCATTTGGGGCCTGGAGCCTGTTCACGCGCGCGCGAGACGTGCAGATCCAAGCATGGCTAGCGCAACGAGGGCGCCCCCCAATCGCTCCAGCCGCGAGCGCCTGTGAGCGCGCCGCCGGGAGGGTCTCCTCACAATTCAAGGAGGGGCTCTTGCGCAGAGTTGAAAAAGAAATTAAGCGGTGCTTTCAGAAAAAGATCGAAAAGAATTCAATTAGGCGCGCACAGGGGCGAAAGCGTGTGAGACGAAGCAGATTGCCTTGCATCTACTAACCCGCATCCAGGCTCCTCCCCTCATCCCCCACCTTATCTGACGTCCTTGCCCCCTAGCACACGCACGCGCCACCACACGAGTGCTGCCAGCACGCGAAAGCCTGGTTGTGCGGTTCGCGGTGCAAAACGGGCGCAAAGGCTTCCGACCATCGCGTACCTGCACTTGCCTGCACTCCTCCCGCAGGCGCTCGGAAAATGGCCCTCTTCATGCTCGCCGGCTCCGCTGAGGCACGTCTCCCTCCCGTGGTGCGATATAGCCCCTCTCCTTGCTGAGGCCTCAGCCTCTCCGCGCTCAGGCGCTCCTTTGCCCGCCGGTTGTCCACCGCCCCACCGTGTCTCGCCGCGCGAGCGAGTTTGTGATGATGCCCAAATTCATCAAGGATCTCTTCGGCGGCGACAAACCCGAGGCGGGCGACAACCCGTTCGAGACTTTCATCAACATGGTGCAGGGCAAGACGGAGAAGAAGGCCGAGGAGGCCAAGGCGGCGGAGGCGCCGGCATCAGAGGGCGAGCCCGCCGACGAGCCCGCCGCCGCCGAGTAGTGTGGTTTTGGCGGCCTTAAATGCCACACAGCGACCTGTCCATGCTGCCAAACGAGGCCAACAGCGGGCAGTCGTACCCCGTACCGCAGCCGTTCGAGTGCATGCACGGCGATCCCTGCACCCTGGCCGTGTCGAGTACCGAGTCTGCGAGGCGCACCAGCGTCCGCGGCCCAACCCCCCCATGGAGCATAGGCTGTGCACACTCTCCATGGGGCCATGTTTAGTTGTGAGAAAGGAGAAATTTTGTGCAAGCTTGTTTGAGCAGCTGCGCGCCCGCCGTGCGCCGCGGCCCCTGTGTGCATCAAACGTTAACTTTGGGCCTAACAGTTGCACTATTGTTGGCTAAAATCCTCAACGTTGTTCAAGTGTTCTCCCCAGCCCAAGCTGTTACTGTTTGTTACTGTTGTTACTGTTGCTCACGCTATCCTGTGCAGTCAGGGCAAGTGGGGGCGCGGGGGGGTGGAGTGCCCAGCGTCTTTACACGTTTACCCTGGGATTTCTCTGCCCAGTCCGGGGGTGCGTCGAACCTTCCATCACCCTGGGAACGTCCGGGTGTTGGAAGATTACTTTTTGTTACTGTTGTTCAGTGGTCAGCAAGCAGAAAATGCCAAAAAAAACCCGGGTAAACCCCGAAAATACCTGGGGTTTCCCGGGTATTTTCGGGTATTACCCGCAGCCGCACTGGACGCTGGAGATCGTCGTGGGTCACTGCCAGGCCTTCCTTATTGTTGTTCAGCCGGCCTAACGTTAGCTACTGTTGTTGGGGAGCCCCACTGTTGTTCTGTTGTTTGTTACTGTTAACACTAAGCAACACTGTTCAGCTCTTATGTTAACGTTTGACAACCCTACTGTGCAGTACCCAGTAGCTACGACTACGAGGAGTTGTCAGCAGATCTTGAGCAAGCGGGAACCCCGAGGATTCGGTGTCGCTCCTCATCGCAAACCCTGTCAGCAGTCCACCCTCAGGTATGTTGGTAAGAGCCGTACCTGCTTCGTGCTTGCGCACAAATAGACCAGCTCACCCCACCGGCACCGCGCGAGCCGACTTGGACTTCTCGCCTTGGCCTTCCTTTGGGCGAAACTTTCTTTCTTCGCGCCTGTGCATTCGTTTTTGGAACACTTCAAATTGTGTATTGTCAGTGCCAGTGCGCGCCGTGGCACACTATGACTCCCGTGCCTAGAGAGAGTAGAGTAGAAAGAAAGAAAGAACACAGGCGCCCAACCAAGGGCCTAGTGAAGTGAGAGTCGAATGAAACATTCTTTTTTCGCCCCACACTCTCTCACAACTGTGGTGTAACTTGAGCACTTACTTGATTGAGCACTGGAAAGGGTCGATTCCGCGTTGTACGGGACCCCTCGATCGTCTCGCCCTCCCTCACTGGTGTGTTCATGGGGGGGGGGGGGGGGGGTCATAACAAACACGGAGAGAAATCGCCTCCCTCTCCTCCAGGCATTCGTGGCATCCTATGCCGCTATGGGTCGTCCAGAGTATCGACCTCTGGCTTGTCAGCCGCCCCACCGAGGGCACCATGAAGTACAGCGATCGCCACCTCGCTGGCCTCTCCGCAAGGCCCCCCGACCGCGTCGAACTCATCGGCGCGGGCTCTCTCGGCTACGGGACCGGCCCCAGCTTCGGCTGAGGGCTAACAAGCTGCCGAGCCCAAATCACTGTGAGAGTCGTGATTTCTTGTTGGTTTCCTAAAATCTCACCTGGCAACCCTGTCTGCACGTCTCGCGCGCGCGTGAACAGGGCTCCAGGCCCCAAATGACGTGTGAGTGTTAGTTAGAGTTGTTTGGTATTGCTCGCTCATACGGGAGCGCAGCGACCTGAAACGGTCCGTCGACAAATTCGAAACGCCCGCCGAATTCGAAACGTGCGCCGCTCCCGCCGATCTCCCGCTAACGGACCTTACCCGCCTGTAACCTCTCTTTAAGGTATTGCTAAAAATCTCTCTCTCAAACACGGTTGGTGTAACTAAACAACGAACAGAGAGAGAGAGAGGATTGCCGTGCGCGCAACTAAACAAATAGAGCACACGTCTCCCGGAGAGACAGATGGGTGACGCACGAAGTGTGTCACACGACGCACGAACAGTGCGCGCCAAGTAAGTAATAGTAACCAGCAGACATCTCCAGATAGATGGGCGACGAGAATCGGAGAAGGACTGCGAAGAGAGATAGGAAGAGGCGGACGCCCAAGGGTGGGCGACGGCTAGCGCACCACACCCCTCTCCTTAAAATCCCTGTGTGGTGGCGGCAGCGTGCCGTCCTCCCATCCCTCCCTTGGGTTCGCCGTTTTCTTTCTTTCTTTTTAGCTGGGCGACGCACGAACCCGAGGCACAGCAGACAGAAAGAAAGAAAACAGACAACCCAAGGGAGGGATGGGAGACGGCACGCCGCCACCACACAGGGATTTTAAGGTAGGTAGGTATATAACTACGTCGGAAAAAATCTTTTCGCGGACTTCTCACCACGCCGAAGCGACACGCCTTAACCGCGAGCTTGTTGCCTGTGGTAAGGGCGTACGCCCTAACCTGTGGCTCCAAGTTGGCATGTTCTCGCGCTTTTCGCCCAGGATCGCCCGCCGCGCCGCGGGCGCTGTCCTCGGCGCGGGCGGATGCGTGTGCGCGCATGCCGAGGAGGCCTCCGCTTCCAAGCGCAGGAAGCCGCGAGCTGCCAGCGGCGGCGTCAGCGGCGAGTTCACGGAGCAGCCGCGAGTTGTGCGCTCGCTCTTCGACCATTCCTTCTTTGGCAAAGAGGTCGATGTTCTCGGCGTTCCGGTTCGGGCGCACGCGTCTGTCTCGGACGCCGCGGTCGTTGTCGCGGCCGACCGGCTCTCGCGGATGCTTCGGCACATGCCGACCGCCGTGCGCGATCGCCTCGCGCGGAGAGGCGCCTCGTTCCACGTCATCGGAATCGGGCAGGGGACGAGCGATCTTCCCGAGCACCGGCACATGAAGGGCGTGGACGGCGGCTATACGGGCGAGAGGGGCGTCACGCTCGACCAGCGGACGCGCGGGATGGGCGGGGTACAGTCTTCGTGCGGCGAGGAGAACCTGATCGACCTCGACTCGGACCCGCGGTACAAGGGGTGCGACATCCTCACCCACGAGTTTGCCCACTGCATCATGGACGTCGGCTTGCCCCCCGCGCTGCAACTCGCCATCCGAGAGACGTTTGACACCGCGGTCTGCGCGCACGGCCGGTGGACGCGACCTGACGGCTCTCGCGCCTACGCGGGCTCGAACGCGTCTGAGTACTTCGCAGAGCTGACGATGTGGTACTTTGGCACCCACGGCGAGTTTGTCGACCGCGCGAGCTGCACGCCCCCACCCGGACCGGGCGAGACGTAGCCGAGACGTAGCCGAGACGTAGCCGAGATGTGGGCCGCCGAGAAGGCCCGAGGCCCGAGATGTGGGCCGAGAAGGCTCGCGAGATGAGTGGCGCCGGCGTGAGCGGGAGCAGGCGGTCTCGCGGCGTATGACCCGGAGGGCTTCGCGCTGCTCGCTGCGATCTACAGCGGCACGCACCCGGCGCTGGCAGACGCAGACCCGCCCTCGACACGGCTCGCCCCGATCGAGGCGGCGGCGCGGGAAGCGGAGCCAGGGCCTCCGGTCGGCGGACCTTTCCGGGAGCCTTCTCGGAAGCTTCGTGTAGGCGAGTGCGGAGGAGCCGGGCCCGGTCTCGGCCGACGGGGAGGAGGTCTCGCTTGCCCCGCGTGTGCTGCTTGGGCCCTGCACTCTGCCTGCCTGCCTTGGTGTGGCCTGCCTCGGTGTGGAGATGCGAGGGGCTGCCCTCGCCCTCTGCCCTTGCCCCGCCACGCTGTGCGTGCGGAGAGGTCCGCCCGCCGGCCTGCCTTCCCAGGTCGAGGGCGAGGTCGTCACTGTCGAGTTCGACAACCGAGGCTGCGACTGCGAGTGGAGCCTGTTTTGGATCACACCGCAGGGGGAGCGGCGGCAGCACGGGAGACTAGATGCGCAGGACAGACCCGCGTCTCCCGACTAGCGCTCGAGAGGACACGTGTTCCAGCGGTCTCAGTCTGTATTCGGTGTAGTCGTAGCCCTTGAGCTCACGTGACGCGGCGAATCCACTGAGTGAGATGGACCGTTGTGTTGATGGCGCACGTGCACGTGTCAGGTACGGCACGGTGCCCGCCGAGGGGACGCTGCTCCAGCAAACCTTCCCCAGCCACGTCTGGCTGCTCGAGCGCTCCACCGCCCCTTCGACCCGGCCGCAGCCAGCCAAGCAGCGGCTGCACTACGCTGCACCCCGCGACAAGGTGAAGGTCTGCCTCGCGACCGTGACGGACGACGCCGGTTGCCGTGTCCACTTCGCCGACCGGGGACGCGCCTCGCCAGACCCGGAGCTGGGCCGGCCGCCGTCCACGCCCAACGGCACCGTGCCCTCTCGGCAGCCCTAAGTGGCTAATGTGAGCTAAAAAAAAGTAACTATCATATGTTTATGTATTAAATTATAATCATATTTGCTGCGCCGCGAGTTTTTTCTCTAGACTCTTAAACCGCCGCCGACTTCTCGTGGCTTCTCGCACGCCGCTTCGCAGCGAACGTGGACGTGCCACCTCCAGGGCCGGCGCCGTCAGAGGATCGGCCGCCTCGCCCACCCTTGCCCTTACCCTTACCCTTGCCCTTGCCCTTGCCGCCCTTGCCCTTCCCCCCGCCGCCCTTGCCCTTCTGCCCGCCGCCCTCACCCTCGCCGGTCGCCTCCTCCTGCTCCTTGCTCTTGCCGAACGGGTCCGACTCGGCGACGAACCGCCGCAGCACGCCCATGAGCCACGCGGAGCGGTTGCGCACGCCGCTCAAGTTGAGGCCCGCCATCTCAGCAATGGCCGCCTGCACAGCGCCGGAGCGCGCGCACCGACGAGTCACGCGGCGCGTCTCTCTGGCTCGCCTCCAGGCCCGCTTGGCGTGACCCGGCCAGACCTCGGCCATATCTCGGCAATGTCTCTCGGCCATCTCTGTCTCGGCGCACACCTCGGCGACGGGCGGCGACACAGAGAGCAGAAACTCGACCGCGCGCTCGTCAAAGTCCTCGCGCGTCACCTGCCCCTCCTCCGCCTCGCACGCCGCCGGGAGAGCCTCCTCGACGAGCTCGCGCACCTGGGCGGTGGTCGAGGCGGCGGTCGAGGCGGCGGGGGGCGCGGGAGTGGGCAGAGGGGCGGCCGGCTCGGGCATCTCTCAGACGCATCGGACGCATCTCGGACGCATCTCGGAGGTGTCGGACGCATCTCGGACGCATCTCGGAGGTGTCTCGGAATTTGTCTGGGACGCTTCTCGGAGGTGTCTCACCTTGCGCGACATCTGCGCGCCCTGCTTCTCGCGCAGAAGGCCGATCCGGCTCTGCCGCTTCTCGCACGCGGAGCCTCCGCCGACCGTCCGCTCGACGTTGATGCGCCGGCCGTAGAGACACGAGTGGTGTAGCCGCAGGGCAGAGTGCACCTGGGTTTAGGGTTAGGGTCAGGGTCAGGGTCAGGGTCAGGGTGAGAGGCACGAGGGGTGTAGCTGCAGGGCAAGAGTGGGACCTCCGACTCGGAGGAGAGCTCGACAAAGGCCATGCCGCGCGAGGCCCCGCTCTCGCGCTCGGTGAGGAGCCGCACCGACACCGGCGGGGCGCACACGGCCAGGAAGTGCGCCTGCGCGCGGCAGGTCAGGCGAGGGCTGGGGCCGTGGCTGGGGCCGTCGTGGCTGGTGCGGCTGGGAGCGAGGCCTCGACGTCCTTGGCGGTGGCCTTGTACGGCAGCTGCCCCACAAAGAGCGTGCAGGCCACGCGAGCACCGCCGTCGGCTGGCGCCTCCTCGTCCGCTGAGGAGGCAGAGGCGACGGCTGCTGCGGGCTCCTCCTTGACTGCACGCTTCTTTGCCCGACGCTTGTCCGCGCCGCTGATCACCGCCGCGGCCTCCTCCTTGACTGCACGCTTCTTCCTCTTCTTCTCTTTTGGCTCCTGAATCTGAGTCGGGTCTCCCGCCTCCTTCTTCTTCTTCTTCTTCTTTGTGGGCGGTAGGTTTGCATCTGCGGAGATTGCCTCGGGCGGCCGCTTCTTCTTTCGCTTTTCAGGCTTACCCGCACGGTCCAGGCTCTTCTCGGTCATATGAGAAGGCATGCTGAGCGGGCTGCGGCGTGCGGGAGGCGAGCCACTGAGTCTTCCGCTCTGAATTCTTTCAGCGACCGAGTATAGTCCGTGCCTCCGCCACCGCGCCTCGTGCCGAACCGGCAGAAGAATTTGCCGCAGATTCTAATGGATCCTCGCAGACGAAAGAAGAATTGTGCCGCACCCTCCCTTGGGTTGTCTGTTTTCTTTCTTTCTTTCTTTGCTGCGTCACAGCGAGAATTCTAATGGGATCCTCGCAGAGGTGTTTTCTGAGCAATGACGACCGTCGGTCAGTGCATGCACGGACCGCGGAGTTGCCCCTTAGTTAGTTAGTGTATGTATGTATCCCCGCTCCGCCCTCTGCTCCGCCGCTCCGTCCGCCGCTCCCTTCGCTGGACGCTGCGGTTGCTGACTGCACTCCAAGTGCTCCAAGTGCTGCTTCAAACCGCCCTGTCGCGGGAGTGACCCCATCCAGAGAGATGTATGCGATCGAGCCCGCGATCACGAGACTCGAGAGCCACTAAGCCGACGACATTCAGGACCTCGCCCAGCCGCTGGAATGGTCCGCCTCCACTCGACGCCTCCCACCGTTCGCCCTGCCCGCCGCCGTCAGCGCCGCGCCCCCGCCGACGAACACGAGCGGATTCGGCATGTGGTGTGCGGCCGGCCCTGCGCCACCGCCACGCTCCCGGTGGTGTCGGTTAGCCTGACGCAATGAGACACGCTCCGCTCCAAAGCCTCCCGAACGTTCGATTCGCGGATTCGCCCCGTAACGTCTAACCGCCCGCCGCGCGGCCTGACTCACTCATCAACACCTCCCTAACCCGTAACGTCTCTAACCGCCCGCCGCGCATAACTGACTCCTCATCACCTCCCCCTTAGCCTACCAACATGTACATGCACATGCAGGAAGGTGAAGAACAGTCAGGCTCGGACTGGACACCAGCGAGTGGGCATGCCCGGGACCTAGTGCGTCGGCCTGGAGGTTTTCGTCAGGACTTACTTCGGGTGCCCGCAAACGTCTCTCAATTGCGGGCGGTTGCACACACTGGTCACTGCTTTGATCCCCCCGCATAGACCTGCACATATGTCCGCCGCGGCGCAGCCGACTTTCGTGCACGGCGCGTCGCGCGTTTGGGTGATTGAATCAGCGCGGGGCTCTTGCAACCGGCGGCAACCCGCATCTGCAGCCGAGAGCGACAGTGACGAGGCCGAGGACGAGCTGCCGGGCCACTCGCTCTCGTGCTCACTCTCCTGCTCCAGAGCCAGAATAGCAGGTTGGGCGATGCTGCTCCAGCCATCGCTGAGGTGCACCTGCGGTTCGACTGGCTCGCCGAACCACAACGACACTGCCGGCCTTCTGCAGCGAGATATCAGAATCTGCGCTCGAGGTCCTAGTGCATCTCCTAAGAATTGATAGGGAGGTGAGCAGCCGCCCTCGCCATGAGCCTGCCGCGCCCGGCTAAGCCCGGGGTGCCGGCTAGTCCTGTGCGATGCGGCACAGCCACCGAGCCCAGAACCGAGAGGGCGCTACCTGTTATCTCGTCTCTGATTGGAGTTCTACGTGGGTCAGATGAGGACGTGTCCAGTGCCTTCACGTGAGTCGATGTGCCCGCGCCGGGGAGTGGCATGGCTAGCTCATGCGCGTGTTTGCGCATGCAACCCCGGGTGGTTTGGAGGAACGGCGGGACCGATGCACAAGTAGGCTAGTTCCAGCGTAGTCGCCCCGGTCGCGGATAGCCAGGCTGTCCTGTCACACCTGCGGTGGGGAGTGCCGAGACTTGCCAAAAGGAGACAGCGTGTGTCTGTGGATTGGCCGTTAATAGTGCTGCATAGTCTCCACTGTGCGCTGTGAACAGAGTACCGTACCAACACCTCTCTCAGGACCCCCGGGAGAGCGGCCGCACACCCGGCTCGGTGACCCGCTGCTCGGCTGCTCGGTGCTCGGTACCCCCCCTGCACATCTAAAGCCATCCCCCTGCTGCTGGGGGGGGGGGGGGGGGGGGGCATGGCTTTAGATGTGATGTGCAGGGGGGGTACCGCGAGCGGTGATGTGTGCAGCCGCTCCGGACGCATGAGGCATGTCCGGACGGTGCGGCTGCGCGCCTGGGGGTGCTGCCAGCAACCCCAGCGAACCAACCATCTCTGATCTCACCGCGGGGCGAGAGATTGAGAGCGCCGGGAGTGCGCGCCGAAGTAGAAACATGGCGCGGCAGCCGATTTCGGCGGGCGTCGCATCGACCTAACGTGGCGGGGGCAGCGGCCCCTATAAGCAATAAGGGCGCGCCGCACGCCGCAGCGGCAAGGTCGCTGTGCCTGTGCGTCCTTTCCCCCTTCTTGGCCTAGTACGATTGCACCATCGATTTCGCTGTCCGGGTCTCGGCCGACTCGCGGAACGAGGACAACGTCAACGAGGATTACGGACGTGCGACGACGTACCCACATAGGGGGTGTCGACTGCCGACCCAGGGGGTCGGGGGTTTAAGTGCGCGGAACTTGGGGCAGCAACATCTCCTCCTGCAGCCTGTGGGCGGGCTGTCCCCCTTTCCCCAACTGTTTTCAAAAATTCGCTATACCCCCACGATAGACGGCCGTCCTCGTGTAAGGAAGTCTCCTCGCTAGCGCGGGATGTCGGCCCTCAACGCCAGGGACAAACTACTCGACGAGAGCCAGGCCAGGTATGAGGGCGGTCGCTCGGCGCCGGGCGCGCCGCGCCTGCAGACGCTCACAACCCTCTCGATGGGAGTGCTGGTCGGCGCAGCTGCTGTCCTCGGCGCGAGCCGCTTCACCTCTCCGGCAGCCGTCACCATGGCTGCGGTTCCGCCGGCCGACGGGCAAACTTCGGAGCTTACTGGAGCAATCTCGACGCTTCACTCGCTCGTGAAGGACCTGCAAGCCGAGGTGGGAGACATGAAGCGGCAGGCGGGGCTTCGCACCCCTCTGAAGGCAAAGCCAAAGGCCAAGGGCCCGGCCACGATTTCAGAGATGACGGAGACCTGCTCGTGCTCGGCCGGCGGCCCCACGCCCTGCGTCTGCCCCGGTGCCAAGGGCGGATCAAGGCTCGTTTACCCCACCGATGACTACACGAACTACGAGAACGGGACCTATGCATCCCCCTATGGCTACCCACCTCGCGACATGATCGGCTACGGAAGAAATTACACCACCTTTCAGCCCAAGTGGCCGGGCGGCGCGAAGCTTGCGCTGAGCTTCGTCATGAACTACGAGGAGGGGGGAGAGAACTGCGTCCTTCACGGCGACGAGTTCTCGGAAAATCTTCTCTCGGAGATTGTAGGGGAGCGCAAGATTGTCGGAGAGCGCAACATGAACATGGAGAGTCTGTACGAGTATGGCAGCCGGGCGGGCTTCTGGCGCGTCCACAAGCTCTTCAAGGAGCGGGGCATGGTGCTCACCGTGTTCGCCGTCGCCATGGCGCTCAGCCGCAACCCGGACGTCGCCAAAGCTATGGTGGAGGCGGGCTTTGAGGTCGCCACCCACGGCTACCGCTGGATCGACTACCAGAACGTGCCCGAGGAGGAGGAGCGCAAGCACATCAAGGCGGCGGTGGAGATTCAGAAGCGCGTCGTCGGCTACCGGCCGATGGGCATCTACCAGGGCAAGCCGAACGAGCGGACGCGCCGGCTCATCATCGAGGAGGGCGGCTTCCTGTGGGACGCCGACGCCTACAGCGACGACCTGCCCTTCTGGAACTTTGACGAGGGCAAGCCGTGGCTCATCATCCCGTACACGCTGACGAACAACGACATGGTCTTTGTGCGCGGCGCGAACTTCCCCCACGAGGAGGCCTTCTTCCTTCACCTGGCGGGTGCGTTCGACCAGCTCCTGAAGGAGGGCCGCGAGGGCACGCCCAAGATGATGAACGTGGGCCTGCACTGCCGCATTGTGGGCCAGCCCGGCCGCGCGATCGGCCTGGCTCGATTCCTGGACTACGTGAAGAAGCACGGCGACGAGGTCTGGGTCACGACGCGGACGGAAATCGCCAAGCACTGGCACAAGCACCACTACCCCACCAAGACATCGGGATGGGAGCAGTGGGGCTAGTGGCGTGATCGATCATGGGCACGGGCAGCGCGATGACCGGCCCGGCCCACCCCCAGCTCGCACCAGAGCGGGCGACCGAGGGGACCCGGGAGTGCCGTCGCATGCTTTCTTGTGCGATTGATTGAGGTCCGGCGAAAGTCGTGGATGAGATTAGGACTACGGATTCGTAGTTCTCCCGCGCCCCTTTTTGGTTTCTCGAGATTGTGTTTAGTGACAGAATTTTACAACAAAACTCTCTCGCACAACACTGGGCATGGGACTCTGGCGCGCGCACTAGCACTTCACTAACACCAGGTATAGAAAGAAGAGGGACCGGCCCCAGCTTCGGCTGAGGGCTGACAAGCTGCCGAGCGCGCCCAAGGATCTCTCGGTGAGAGTCGTGATTTCTTGTTGGTTCTCAAATTTCTCTCTCTCTCTCTCTCTCTCTCTCTCTCTCTCTCTCTCTCTCTCTCTCTCTCTCTCTCTCTCTCTCTCTCTCTCTCTCTCTCACTCAGGTATACTACGTAGTGATAGGAAATAAGCCCCCCCTCCGGTTTTTGCCTCGCTCCTCCACCTGGCGCCAGCCCTCCAGGTGTGGCGAGGGGGGCGGGGCAGGTGGCTTGGAGGGGGCCGAAGCCACCTGGTGCCACCCGAGCGCTCACATGGCCACAGGCGGCGTTTGTTTGGAATCTACTCCAGGTGCTTTTTGCACTGTTTTGCCCATTCCACAGGCGGCGTAAGCCATCTGCTCCAGGTGCTTTTTGGACTGTTTTGCCCATGTCCAGAGGCGGCGTAAGCCATCTGCTCCAGGTGCTTCTTGCGCACTGTTTTTCCCATCCATGTCCACAGGCGGCGTAAGGCATCTGCTCCAGGTGCTTTTTGGACTGTTTTGCTCATGGAGCAAGTGGCTAAAGCCACGTGAGTGAGTGAGTGCACGCACACACACACACCACCCTTAAGCCACCTGCTCGCAAGCTAGAAAAAAGAAACCGCGCCTGCTGCCGCTGCTGCTGCTGCCCAGCTCCCGCGAAGCCAGCCCCGCGATCGCTCTCCCTCCGCCTCCAACAGGCGTCGCGGCGTGCCTCGCCGCCCCGGTAGGTCGCCTCACTCACCTGTGTGCGCTGGCCGGTGACGGCACCGTGCTGCTCTTGTCTTCCCCCGCTCAACCGTCGCCGCGCGGCCCGCTCGCTCCACCGGTGGTCGTGCAACGGATTTCCTTCCCATCGCAAGCGGCTCCACGCACGGTGGCGTGCTCCCGTGATGGAACGTTACTCGTAGCAGCGGGTGGCAGCTCCATCTCTCTCTTTGTCGTCTGTCTCGAGGCAACGCCTCCGATGCCTCTCTCCCTGCACAACGCTGCCGCCGCCGCCGCCGCCGCGGCGGGCCAGTTCCCACATGCCTCTCTTCGCTGGCGTTCGCCGCTCCGCTTCAATGCCCAGGCCATTGCAGTCACTCCGTCTGCGGGCTCCGGCGTCACGGCGCAAGGCCTCGTCGCCGTCGCCGGCAGCATGGGTGTGCTGCTCGTGCAGAGCGGCGGCAGTGTGGGCAGAGGAGACTCGCCCTCCACCACAGCAGCGGCGGATCCGGCGGGGCCCGCCCCTGAGGCGGCAGCGGAGCCTGCAGAGGCGATGGCAGCGGCGGCACACGCGGGGAAGGAGACCAGCAGAGGAGCCTCTGCGGAAGCCACCGCACACGGCCTGCTGCTGCGGGCGTGCCAAGCCGTCTGCCGGAAAGCTTCCCAGAACCTGCTCGGAACGTTCCTGTAGGCGGCCGACTGCTGCTCACGGGCCGCGCTGTCGGTGCCGTGGCGTTTGATGCCTCTGGCTGCCGCCTTGCAGCGGCGACGATGGACGGCGCGGTGTACTGCTTCGAGATGACGTCGACAGCCGCGCCGGCGCGAGCCCGCCCCGCCGCGTCGGTTTGCGCGCGCGCGTGCTGGTGCGCGCGGCTGCCGCCGCAGCTGGAGCGGCCGTGCTGCGTCGCCTTCTCGCCTCCCCCGCCACAGGCGTCGGTGCGGATCCCGTCCCGCCCCGCCCTTCCGCGTGGGCGAGAGGCTGGAGAGACTTGCTCTTCGAGACCTGCTCTTTGAGACTTGCTTGTAGGCGGGGCGGGGGAGCGGCTGCGGAGAGCGGCTAGCGCTGGTTGGGTGGAGCGGGCACGTGGCGCTGCTCGCTGCCTCGCCGACGGAGGGGCGCGGCGAGGCGGCGGCCCGCGGCCCTAGATGCGGCACTCCCTCCCCTCCACCTCGAGACCTCGAGACGACCCGTGCCTGCCGCACTCGGAAGGGGCTGCCGCTGCAGCCGCTGCGGCTCTGTCCCGCTCTTGCCTTGCCGCGAGGCGAGGGGGACGCGAGGCCGTGCTCCCCCCCCCACCCTTCAGCCCCCCGACTCGTGCGCCAGGCCGGCGACGCGAGCAGCGACGGCGACGGCGCGGACGCCTCCGCCCTGGCGTCTCCAGAGAGCTGGCGCACCCCCCCCCTCCCTCCCCCTCCCCGAAGCCCCGCCTCCTCTCCTCCCTCTCCCCACCCTTCGCCCCCGACCTGCACCGCTGCAGGCGGCTCCTCGCCTGCGACGCCCCGCCCGAGCTTGCGCTCGGCCCTGCCCCGCCCGCCGCCGCCGGCTCGGCGCACCTCGCGTGGTGCGAGATTACCCGAGATTACCCGAGATTACCCGAGATTACCCGAGATTACCCGAGATTACCCGCCCGAGAGGACCTGAGAGGACCCGAGAGGACCCGAGAGGACCCGAGTGCACTTCGCGTGGCGCGGCCTCTCCGCGTGCTGCGAGAAGTGGCCGCAGTAGCGCCCTCGCGACGCCTCGCCGCTGCGCCGGCAGGTGCTCGTCGCCGCATGCGTCCCGCCTCTTGCTCGCATCGCACCGAGCCGCCTCCGCCTCCACCGCCGCCTCTGCCACCGCCGCTTCGCCTCCGCCGCCGCTCCGCTTCGTGCGGGACGGCGCAGCGAGAGGCTGCGGTGCGGAGGAGCTGCTTGTGGCGGAAGAGCTGCTTGGTGGCGGCGCGGTGTCGGGCAGGCGGGTAGAAGTGCCCCGGGTCGAGGTGCGGGGCCTCTGCATCGGACTCGTTCCGGACGGGCCGCGCCGGCGCGGGGAGCTGGGCGCGGCAGCGGAGGCAGCCGCCGCAGCGCAGGCGAGCCCACCGCCGACGGAGCACGAGGGGTCGGCCAACGAGGGGGAGGTGAGATGGTGACCCGAGATTACCCGAGATTGCCCGAGATTGCTACCCGAGATGGCCCGCACTTTCGCACATCTAGCCCACCCCTCCTCTCCACCACAGCCACCGCCGACCCCACCGCCACCGCCTCCACCCCCTCCGCCGTCGCCTCCGCCCCCCGGCTGCAGATCCCGCCCACACCTGGCCTGCGTGCCACCCCTCCCCCAGCCACCCCCAGCCACCCCTCCCCGTGCCACCCCTCCCCCAGACACCCCTCCTCGAGGTCGTGTGCTGGCTCTGCGCCGACGGAGCCCTCCACTGCCACCCGCTCTGGCCTTTTCGCCCGCTCGCCCCACCCGCTGCGTCGCGCGGGGCGGCGGGGCGGGGGGCGGGCGGGCCTTTGGGGCTCTGGCCTTCGGGGGGCAGCGTGGCTCGGCTGCTGCCGTGCGCCTTCTCTCCTCGTGAGCTGCTCGACGCCGCCGTCCTCTCCGTCCGCCAGAGAGGAGGCGAGGCCGGAGGAGGAGGCGAGGCCGGGGGAGGAGGAGGAGAGCGAGAGCAGGGCCTCGCTTGCGCGCTCCGCGTCGACCACGCGGAGGCGGAGCTGCCCGAGGTGTGCTCGAGATTCGCCGAGACTCGCCGAGATCCGCCGCCCTCCCTTGTCCCTCTCGAGCCCCACGGCTCGCCAGGCGAGCTCGGAAGCGCTTCTCGAGTGGATGCTCGGCGAGGAGCACCGCCGGAGAGGGCGGTGCAGCCGGGCATGCGAGCCGCTCGCCGCCCGGGCGGCGGAGGGGGGCGAGCCGGAGGGGGGAGGCGCGGCCCCGCTCGTCGTGCTGGGCGCGCGTCGCGTCTCGCGCCGCCTCGGCTCCACGCCCCGTCTCTCCTCTACTCTGGCCGCCGCTCTCTTGCAGGCGCGTCGCACCTCGCCCTCCTCTCGGACGGACTCGTGCAGCACCGGGCGAGCCGGCACAGCCCTCTCCGCGCGGCCCTCGCCACCGGCGCCACGCCTCCGCTCCCCCGTGCTAGGAGCGGAGGCGAGCGTCGGCCTGGGCCTCGCGGTTGGTCGCACACCGCGCAGACGCGGCCGCAGTCGTGGGCGAGCGCTGCTCCTTCCGCCATCGCCCCGCCCGCCCCACCTTGCTCCACGCTCGTCGCCGCCGCCCCGTCGCAGGGGACTGGCTGCTCCTGCTCGACGTCCCCACCGGCGCGCTCTGCTCGTGCCCGCTGGCGGCCGGCGCGGAGCAGGAGCAGGTCTGCGCACCGCTGCCATCTTTGGGGGCCGACATGCGCGCCATCGGCGGGGCAGCCGCCCGCTGCCCCCGGATGAGCGCCGTGCTGCCGGACGCGTCCCACGGACGGCGCTTCACGGTGCTCCGCGCCGTGCTTCTCTCGTCGCCAGGCGGCGGCGGCGGCACGCGCGCTCGCTACTGTCTCTCTCGCGGTCAGCTGGACGCCGGTTTTTGGGGGGGGAGGGGTCGCCGCACGTTTGTGACATGGCGGCGGCGTTCTCGCATAGGAGAGCTGGACGAGCGCGGCAAGGTCGTTTGGATCCCCACAGAGGGTCGCTCCGGCGACCGCCCCGCACTCCCCGACAGTACGATCTTGCGTGCGCCGTGGACGTGGGAGAGCGCCCCGTGGCCGGTGGGTGCGTGCGACGGGACGCTTCTCTTCGAGCACTCTTCTCCGGACGAGGTGGAGGTGGAGTGGACGTGCTGCGACGCCGAGACACAAGCGTTTGCTGTGCTCGCAGGCAGCATGCTGCCCAGTGGGCTCTGCGGCGCCGAGGCGGTGCGCGAGGCGACGTCGCTGACTGCTCATATCACGAGCCGACGCGGCCAGGGCAAGGTTGCAAGTAGTAGCGCGACCTGAGCGGAGATGTGGAGCTCGTACTGTTGTAACTCGTCGGTAGAAAAGCCGTAGTAACATTGAGACGTTAGTGCTTAGTCGGCAAAGTGGTAAGTGCATGATGTTGATGAGGACTTCTAGTAAGCACTGCACCTCAAAAGCTCTATCGTTTATTCTCTGTTGTCGCGGGGGTTCGTAGCAACACACCCGCACACAACGATGCATGTGTCTAGTAATCGACGATGCACGTGACGCTGGTGAAATCGCTGCTCCGCGCGGCCACCTCGGTCCTCGCGCGCGGCTCTCTCGACGCGAGAGGGTGGCGCACCGCGCCCCTCTCGGCTGCCACCCGCGCCGTCTTCGGAGCAGCAGCGACCCCCCCCGCCTCACCCCCCCTTCCACCACCCCCCTTTCCCCTAGACCCCTTCCCCAGACCCCCGGAGAGGAGCTCACTCCTCCTTGGGCGCCGGAAGGGCGCGGAAGACGACAGCGAGCGACGAGCCGACGATGGCCATCCAGACGACAGAGACGGCCGACGGCACGCGGACGAGGAACTCGCCGAAGTGGAGCTTGGCGAGGAGGAAGCCAAAGGCGGACGACTTCATCGACGTCTCGATGGCGACCGTGCGGCAGGTGGTCTCTGGGTAAAACTTCTTGAGCCCAAAGTAGGAGACGGCGCCCCCGACGACGTGCAGCAGGAAGGCGGTGGCCTGCAGCTTGAGGCCGGCGGCGAGGATGGGCGCCTGCGGTGCGGACACGCCCAGAGAGAAGGGGGAGTCAAAGGGGGAGTCAAAGGGGACACGAGGCCGTGCGGTGCACTCGGAGCATCGCGTGAATGCAAGGCCCACCGCCGAACACGCTGCCGCGCTGCGGCGTGGCTTGCATCTAGGTGGTGGGCGCCGAGCACTGGGCGACAGCGGATCCGACGAGGAGGATCGTCGACAGCACGCCCACGATGGGCGAGAAGGGCTCGACCTTCTTGACCGCCTGACGGAGGGGGGGGGAGAGTGGAGGGGAGAGAGAGGCGGGGGGGGGGGGGTTGCCTTGGGGAACTTAGCGTTCAGGCTCATGCCGAGTACGATCGGCAGCAGGACAACCTGCGGCGGAGGAGGGACGGAGGAGGTGGTGGGCGCGTCCCGCTCCTCCGGCGCACGCACCCTCGCCACCGTGCGGCGACTCGGGCGGAGCCCCTGCGCGCCTCCCTGTTCCTGTCCCCTGTACAGGAGCTGCTGGAGCTAGCCTCGGCACTCCTCGCCGCTACCCGCTTGCAGGAGCGGCGCTCTCAGGGGAGTCGCGAGTGGCCGAGGAGCAACTAGGGACTCGAGGCACGCCGCTACGATCTCGGCTGCACCTCGGCTACACCTCGGCTGCATCTCGGCCGCATCTCGGCCGCATCTCGGCCGCATCTCTGCCGCATCTCTGCCGCAGGACCTGGATAGTCGAGACTGCGACACCGGTGGCATCGACGGGCACGAGCGTGCCCAGGAGGAGCTTGCAGAGCAGCGGCGTCATGAAGATCGCCCCCAGGGTCGTCACCGTCGTCATCATCACCTATAGGAGCGGGCACCGCCCCTCTGCCGGCCGGCGCCACCGGCACGGCTCCCGCAGCGAGTCGCTCGCAGAGAGAGCGACGTCGCCCTTGGCGATGTAGGTGCAGAGGTTGGAGGCCTGGCCACCGTTGATCGAGCCGACCAGCACCATACCCGCCGTCAGCGCGGGCGTCAGCCCGAACGCCTTGGAGAGGCCGAGCGCGAGGAGAGGCATGAAGCCGTAGCAGCCGGCAAAGCCAGTCAACATGACTCCCGGCCGGGTGAGGACGCGCTTGAAGTCGTCGATGGTGAGGGTGATGCCCATCGAGAGCATGAGCATGCCCAGCAGGCCGGTGAAGGCCGACGTCGGGATCCCGGACAGTGTGGCCGGGCGGAAGAGACCGAGTAGCGCAACAAGAGCCGTCCAGAGCGGAAACAGGTTCGAGAAGGAGTCGGAGAAGGTCTGGAAGGCCGAGCGCGCCGCTGGCTCGATCGGTGCCTCCGACTGCGCCGTCGGATCGATGGCTTCAGCAGTCATGAGAGCAGCGGCGACACGCCTCAACTGCGGAGCAGCGAGCGGGAGCGACGGCGAGGCAGCACCGCGGAGCGACGGGCGCATCGCCACATGCGCATGCAGAGCACTCACACCCGCGAGGGAGAGCAAGAGAACAACCAGTCGTGCTAACATCGCGGGGCGTCACGCGGCTGTGGCACCGTGCACGCAGAAGCCTGTCGACACCCTGGAGCGGCCGAGGCGGGAGTTTTTCTTTTTCTCCTTTCAAAACCAGAGAGAGACGGCACTGACTTTTTAATTTTGGAACAACAATTAAAGTATTAAGTCAAGAAGGCTAAAGATTTGCCCTGGATTCTGCTGGATTTGCCCAGGCTGGCCCCCAGCGCCCAGGCGGCGGGGGACGGCCACCCACCCACAGCAAAGGCGAATAAGCGGTTGGGTCGGAGCGAAGAGACCCTCGCGCGTGCGCCCTCCCCTCCGTTCGTCGGCCGTCGGCCAAAGCACGGCGGCGCATATACGCCCCGACAGTTTTGCTGTCTCTGCGCAATGTGGGGCCGCAGTGGCGGGCGGCGCTGTGGCGCGATACTTCGAGCTTCGCGCTTCTTCTCCGCGGCGTGATCCGAAGCTTTTTCCGTCGACGCCTTGCGTGAACCTGCAGAAGGCGGCCGAGACCACCACTCTCTAGCAGCTTGCTGCTCGGGGGCGTTTCGTGCTTTCACGCTCCCACTGCTCACTCGTCGTGCTGTAGTGGGCCCCAGTTGAAGTGCGTCCACACATCGATCTGGTACTCGGTGACCGTAAGCAAGAACTTGCAACCTGCAACGAGAAGCGGGAGCCTGTTGGGAGATGCACTCACACGATGGTATGCACTCACACGGTCGTTACGCATCTAGCGGGCGGGGCCGTAAAAGATGCAGAGCCCAATGAAGACGTACCGCACCACCGCCCAGTTCCCTGTCCATGCCGGCCGAATTCGGCCGGCTCCGCCCATCCTCAGTCCTGGATCAAGGACTGGACGGCCAATCACCGGCTGGCCAATCACTGGCTCGCGCTCCGCCGGCTCGTCAGCAGGGACTTGGACATACCTGACAGAACAGAGGAGGTGCAGGCGCTCTCTTGCCGCTGCTCTCTTACACACTTACACTTGCACACACACACACACACACACACACACACACACACACACACACACACACCACCATCACAATTGCGCAGAATGTGCACTGCCTTCGCCACGCAAACTTGTCGAGTTGGTGCCAGTGTATCGGGATGTGGTGGATGATCCCATGTGTCATGGTCCGCTAGTTAGGCTGTGAAGATACGCAGCGTACGTTGCGCTTGAGGCCATGTGCGCCCGGGGGGCTCGTCGCTTCGAAGAGCAACTTGTGTTCCTTCGCCACTTTCGCGCGAAACAAACTTCTTCTTTTTTCTTTTTCCGGCATGGTCTCGCTGCGATGGTGCGCCGCCTGCCCCGATTGCAGCGGTCCTGGAGCTAGAGGCGTGCACTGGCTCCACCAGGCACCAGCCTTACAAACGACGAGCGGCGACCGAACGAACGCGACGCCGAGCGAGGGCGGGCGGCTGGAGGCGATGGCGGGGGTGGGCCTGGCGAGGCCATCGGAGACAGGGCTGAGGAGCTACCAACATACGTGTGTAGGAAGGTGAAGAACAGTCATCAGATGAATAGAGATTGCGAGCGGGGGAGGGGGGGGGAGAAAACTTGCTCTCGGCGGCACTCCAGCTCGGGCCATCGGCACGCTCTCTAGGCGGTCAGCCTTTGATGAAACATGATTTGGCACGGGTCGCAACGCTCCAGCAGGCGCCTCCTCATGTTGCTGGCATCGGTCGCCGGCCTCATTGCGTGCTCATTGTTGGCTGGGTTATCACTCCCGCGTCAGCTCGAGGGCACCTCGCAGGCTCAAGGTTCCCAGCATGCAATGTGTGCCAGCCGCCTTGTATGTAGCGTGAACCCGCTCCTTTGGATCCCGTTGCTTCAAGCACACTGCGATTTGGAGCAATGTGTGGGCTGCGGCGGCCCAGGATCCAACGGAGAGGACTGCGGCGACAGTCGAGCTGTGCGAGGCACGGGCGGATCTCTGTCGGTTGTGAACTGGGCCGAGACAGCCCTGCAGGCCTTCATCGTGTACTTCAAGGAAGACCACAAGTCAATGGAGGCGGCGCTGGTAGACCAGTTTCGGCCCCACCTTTTGACCAGCTGAGTCGTGAGTGGGTGCAGTGAGTCTCGGTCGTCTTGGCACAAAAGCTGTGGAGCAGGCCGCAGAGCTGTGTCAGTGTGTACGTTACAATGACGCGATGCACGAGCCACTCATGGCTCACGCTCGGAGCGGGACACAGTTGTTCTTGTTGGGCACACTGTCCCTGGCTCTACACGCTACAGAACAGCGCCCCTATGAGCCTATACGCGCTCCTCTCGACGGTACACAAACATAATACGAAGACGGCTTTACACACAGGGGGTCGCGTCCCCGTCACGGCGGCAACGCAAGTGGAATTGGCTGACTGGACGCCTCTGCACCCCGAGCAGCCTGGACTGTTGGCCCGGCCGCCGTCGACGCGCCGCTGCCCTCCTCCTCGCTGCCTCCCGGCTCGCCGGGCGCCACGAGCAGCTTGGAGGAGAGCATGCCCCGCGGCGAGTCGTCGAGCAGCTGGTCCCTCGCCTCGGATCCCAGGAACGCGAGAGCGCCGAGCACGAGCGAGCCGGCGCATAAGCGAAAGACGAGGGCCCAGTCTCCCCTCGTCGAGGCGAGCAGCTGGCCCGTGGCAGTGTTGCCGACGATGCCGGGCAGCGAGGCTGCCGTGTTGCTCATGGCGAGAAGCAGGGCGCCGTGCCGCCGGCTCAGGTCCCCAAAGGTTGCCCAGTACCCCGCCGAGGAGCCTAAGCACAGAAGAGTCGCGCTGTCAGAGACAGACAGAAGACTACGTCATAAATGTCCGCAAAAGGCGCCGAAGCCGGCCATCCCGATGGCGACGCTCAGGCACGCCGTGGCCGCGACAATCGACCCTCGTGGCGCGGAGCTGCCGCCGCCGCAGGGCGCGACGCAGCTCAGCGCGCCGAAGCCGGCGGCGCCGCCGAGCAGGCCGGCGCTGTTGATGAGCTTGCGAGTGCGGGTGGGAGAGAGCCCGCGCGCCTCGAGCCGGTCGGCGACGACGCCCGAGGCGGCGCTGCACGCGAACAGGGCGACGTAGGGCGCGGCGGATGCGGCGGCGAGGTCGGCCGAGGAGGCGTTTGGCCAGGTCGTGTGCAGGAACTTGTCGATCCAGGAGAGGCCGATGTAGAAGGTCCAGTTGTAGAGGCAGTGGCAGGTGGCGGTGCAGAGGAAGGGCCGATTCGTGAGGATGGCGCGCCACGGGGTGACGCCCCGCGCCACCTGCAGGGAAAATACGAGAAGGGTTCGAGAAGGTTCTTGAGAGAGCGAGGGAGGGAGGGAGGGAGGGAGAGGGAGGGAGGGAGGGAGGGAGGGAGGGAGGGAGGGAGGGAGGAAGAGAGAGAGAGAGAGAGAGAGAGAGAGAGAGAGAGAGAGAGAGAGAGAGAGAGAGAGAGAGAGCTGTTGCGCGCCTCAGGCGGGCGAGACGCGTGGATGAGGGCGAGCTCCTCCGCCGAGATGCAGCGGTGCCGCGCAGGGTCCGAGGTTGCGAACGAGGCAAAGGCGACCATCCACGCCAGTCCACACGCGGCCGAGACCAGGAAGACGCTCCTCCACCCCGTGGACGCGAGGAGGAAAGGGCCGAGCAGCAGCATCAGCACCGTGCCGGCGGGCTCGCCCGTGGTGATGAAGGCCCAGCTCGACGACCGCTCGCTCGTCGGGATCCAGACGCTCACTAGCTGCGCCATCGACGGGTAGCAGCACGCCTCAGCGCAGCCGACGAGGACCCGGAGTGCAAAGAGCGCCGCAAACGCACCGCGTGTGAAGCAGCTCGCCGCGCTTGCAAGCGACCAAACGGCCACGGCCGCCGTGAGGACGCGGCTGCCACCGAAACGCGACGCGAGCCATCCCGCGGGCGTCTGGAAGGCAAAATAGCCGCAGTAAAAGGCGGCGAGCATGCGCCCCTCGGCCGCGTCGGAGGAGAACATGGCGCCGATCGCAACAGAGACGTTCGTGCGGGCCATGTAGAGGCAGACATCACCGAGCCAGAGGAGCAGGATGAGGGACTTGCGGGTTGAGAGGCGCGGCATGGCAGCGCCCGTCACCCCCACTTCCGCCGCGAAAATGCATTTTCGTTTTTTTCAATGAACACTCAATTTATGCAAAGCGGCTAGGGATGAGGCCACAAAAGAGGCGCGCGAGGCAAGGAGGAGACGCGGAGAACTGAGAGACTGGGACGACTGGAAACAAGAAGACAGTGAGCCACCACAGGCGTCGTTGGCGCACATACTGAGCGGCAGCTGCGCTGGAATAAGGAAGAGGCGCGTCACTTCATGCGGAAGCTCGACAAACACACGGCGAGGGCGACAGCAATAGTCGAACGGGCGGCGCCGGACTCAAAAGACACCGCCACATTCCTGAGACGCGCGAGGGCAGCCTCCTTAAAGGCAATGGGGTCTATCTAGATTCGGAGCGCTCGCCGAAGGGGAGTACGACAAAATAGCGCCCGTGATTGCCTGCACGCTGCCCGCACTCACGGACCCCATACCCGAAAGAAAGAGAGGGGAGCTCGCAGGAGAGGTGACGGAGTGAACTACAGGTAGTGGGGAAGGCAGCCTCGACTGCCATACAGACATGGGTGCGAAACAACGACAAGACCAAGGCACGGGCAGAGGAACGAGAGAAGAATATAGGGTGGATAAAGCGCCTGTTCACGGCATGGAGGGTGAGCCACGCCGAACGTACTGAACGTAGAGCCGAGTCCCGAGCGGAAGGAAGAGGGGGAAGACGCGACTCCGAGGAGGACGAACCAGTGGAAATCCCGTTGTCAGCCGTCACGATGCACCCGAAGGGGACCCCAGCGCCGGCATCAGCAGTGAAGGCACAAGTGTTCGAAGAGAGAGTGGACCTGAGCAATGATATGACTGGGTGGCAAATGATAGCAGTGGGCGTCAGAAGACTCGTCCTTGCTCGAGGAGAGCTCGATAGACTCGAGGGGCCAGGATATGCAGCGAGGAGGGCGGAGCTGCGCCGAAAGGCGCAAGAAGCAGCGAGAACAAGGGACCGGCAGGCGGCGGCGTCGCAGGACGAGGCAGACGAGAACAACGCGACAGAGGAGGAAGTGACAAGGGAGAGAACGACGAGGGTGGGACGACCGCGAGGTGGCATGAAGGTTGCAGCGAGAATCGGCGAGAGACTGCGAAGAGAGATAGGAAGAGGCGGACGCCCAAGGGTGGGCGACGGCTAGCGCACCACACCCCTCTCCTTAAAATCCCTGTGTGGTGGCGGCGTGCCGTCCTCCCATCCCTCCCTTGGCTTGTCCATTTTCTTTCTTTCTTTTTTTCAATTTACGTAGGTACTTTTAGCTTTCTGGGAGAAAAGGGAGAGGGGTTGTGTTCTCTCTCTCAATGTACGTGGCTCTTACGTACATTCCCGTAGGAGGCCTCTGCCTTTTTGTGTTCACTCCCATCCCTGTCAGCAGTCCACGTACTTTTAGCTTACTCTTGGTATTTGCTATCTCTCTCTCGGTCTCGGGAACATTCGAAGACATCGTGAAAAAGGAAAACGATGAGCTCACTAGCTCTCGAGGGGTCCCGTACCACGCGGAATCGACCCTATCCAGTGCTCAAGTGCTCAAGCTAGAGCTCACACTAGAGGCCGTCATCGCATTCGCCTTCCTGCATCCTTCCACCTTCCTGGTACCCAGCAGCGCTGGCTTCTGACTGTCGTTGCTGTCTCTCCCTTCTCGACTGTATGAGAGGTTGCTTGTGCGTCTTGGGTCCGGGGTTGTGTTTTTGTGTCGCACCTCAACCTCAGACCAGCGCCCAGCGCCATCGGAGGTATTTTCTTCTCAATAACAAGGCTGTGTTGCATGTCTGACTGTCACTGTGCTATTTCGGGGCCCGGGGTCGTGCGTTTATGTGAACGCCGCCTCCACCTCCGCCTTCAATCTCAATGTCCCACCCCCCTGCGCGCGGGCCTTCTAGGCCCGCGGGTAGTCTCCCCCCATCCCCAGGGCCTCCAGGGCTCGCACCTCAACCTCTCATAGACCAGCGCAAAGCGCCATAGGACGTATTTTCTTGTCAATAAGGCAAGGTCTGTGAAAGGAAAACGTGTGGAGGCACACTCCCGCGACAGCGGCGCCGACATCGACCGCACACATCAGCCACGTAGCTCCAAAGGTGCCCTGGCGCCTACGTCATGGCCGCTGCGGCCGGAGACGCGCGCGGTTGCACCTCGGACGACCGCGGCGGCGATGATCTCGAGGCGGCAGTGCGAGTCAGCCTCGTCTCTGCCGAGGAGGCGGGGCTGGAGGAGTCGGACGGTGTGGCGTTCCGCGACCTGGCGCCCGCCGACCTCCCCGCGCTGCGTGAGCTGCAGACGGCCCTCTTCCCCGTGCGGTACAACGACTCGTTCTACGAGCGGCTCTTCTCTCCGGGCTACTTTACGCTCGTGGGTATCGATGCAGCGCCGCCGAGCGACGGCTCGTTTGAGGGCACGGCGGTGGCCGGCGGCGGCGCCCTCGTCGCCGTCGCCTCGGTGCGCATCACCAGCGACTGGAGGGTCGCCTACATTATGACGCTCGGCGTCGACCACCGCTACCGCCGCCGCGGCCTCGGCGCCCGCGCGCTGCGGCTCTGTCTGCGCGCGACGTGCGAGCGGTCTCGCTGCCAGCTGGCGCAGCTGCACGTCAAGTCACTCAACGAGGCGGCGGTCGCCTTCTACAATAGCATGGGCTTCCAGGCCGACGAGGCCGAGGGCCACGCCGGCCTCTGCCGCGCGCACTACCTGATCGAGGGCGAGCCGTACGACGCCTTTGCGCTCAAGTACGACCTGCGCCCGTTGAGACGAGACCTCGGCGAGGAGGAGGGCGGCCCGTACTCGCACTACGGCTCCTCTCTCTACTCGTGGGCCCAGTCGACGTGCGAAGGAGGATGCGCCATCCTGTGAAGCGCGTGGCCGTGGACGCTGGCGGCGGCCGGGGCGCGGGCCAGCCGTCGCGTGCAGCGCCAGCGGCGCGAAAGAGATCGTATATTTACCGAAAATCTCGTGTGTGTGTCACCCGGGACTAGTCCACAGCGCAAGGGACGCACAAGGTCTGGGGCCTACACGGCTTTACGCCTCGACCACGACGCTCTCGCCGTCGTCCGCATACCTGCCGCCGGCGAATCGTCCCTCTGCGCGCTCGCCCACCAGCGAGTAGGGGCGCGCCTCGACGATGCGGACCGGCACGAGCTGCCCCTTGAGCTCGTCGATGTCGCCCTCGAAGAAGACGGGACAGCCCTGCGGGTTGCGCCCCTTGACCTGCGCCGGGTGGCGCTCGTTCCGCTTCTCGACGAGCACCTCCTCGACGCGGCCGAGGTAGCGCTGCCGCCGCTCCAGCGCGTGCTCGGCCGCGAGCTCGTTGATGCGCCGCAGCCGCTCCTTCTTGACCCCCTCCTCCACCTGGTCGCCCCACACCGCAGCCGGCGTGTGCGGCCGCGGCGAGTAGGCGGCGGTGTTGATCTGGTCGAAGCGCACATCGCGCATCAGCTGCAGCGTGTTTTCGAACTGCTCCTCGGTCTCGCCCGGGAAGCCGACGATCGCGTCCGCCGTGATGGCGGCGTCCGGCAGCCTGGTGCGGATGTTGTGCACGATCTCGCGGTACCGGGCCGCGGTGTGGCCTCGGCCCATGTCGCGCAGGATGCCGTCGTCGCCGGACTGGAAGGGGATGTGGAACATCGGGCAGAGCGCCGGCACCTCTGCCACCGCGTCGATCACGCGCGGGGACATGTACCTGCGTGCGGAGAGGACCACGTGTGCGTGTCGTTTTCCAGAGCGCTTGGAGTCGGAGCACCGGGTGGAGAGATCGGAGGCCGGCATGTCGAGGGCATGTCTAGGGCATGTCGAGGGCATGTCTAGGGCATGTCTAGGGACGTCGGTTACCGCGGGTGGGACGTGACGAATCGCATCCGCGCGAGCCCGTCCACGCCGCCGACGTCGCGCAGCAGGTCGGCGAAGGACTGCTTGGGGGACAGGTCCGATCCCCACGAGTCGATGTTTTGGCCGAGCAGCGTCACCTCGCGGTACCCCTCCGCCACCAGCGCCTCGATCTCGGCGCGCACCGCGTCGCGCGGGCGCGACTGCTCCGAGCCGCGCCTGTTCACGCCGCAGCGGCTGTGAAGAGACCGCGCCCGCGCCTCGCGGGGGACTGCTCCGAGCCGCGCGTCGTCGGCACGACGCAGTACGTGCAGCGCTCGTTGCAGCCGTAGATGACGTTGACCCACGCGCAGACGGTGGAGGAGCGCTGCGGCTGGGTCGGGTCCTCCATGATGTGGGTCGGGGCCTAACACGCCCAGCCTCCCCTCGCCTCACCTCGGGGCTGCGCCTCGCGCCTCCTCCTCCTCGATGCGCTCTCTCTCGCCGTCGCGACGATCTGGTTGCCGTTGAAGACTCCCTCGAGCAGGTCGCCGAGCCGGTTGGCGTACTGCGGCAAGGGGGGGGCGAGGGCGGCGGCGGTAGCTGGCGCGGAGAGTCTGGTCGGCGGCTTGGCGGCGGCTTGGCCGGGGCTGGGCGGGGGAAGCTTGGCGGGGGAGGTGGGATTGCTTGGCGCGGCGGGGGGGGCAGACCTGCGGGCCCATCACCATGTCGATCTCGGGCACCCGCCTCAGCAGCGCCTCCCCCTCCTGCTGCGCGACGCAGCCGGCGACCACGATCGCAAGGTCCTCGCCCGCGCGCTTGCGCGCCTGTGGGGAGGCTCGCCGGAGGCTGCGAGAAGGTTGCCAGCGTTGCGAGAAGGCTCCGGAGAGGGAAAGTAGTCTTGAGAGAAGCCGTGAAAACGCCAGTGGGGTGGGCTGCGGCAGAGTGAGGGGAGGGTGCGGGGAGGGAGAGGGTGCGGGGAGGGAGAGGGTGCGGGGAGGGAGAGGCTGCGGGGAGGGAGAGGGCGCGGGGAGGGAGAGGGTGCGGGGAGGGAGAGGGTGCGGGGAGGGGGAGGGTGCGGGGAGGGAGAGGGTGCGGGGAGGGAGAGGGTGCGGGGAGGGAGAGGGTGCGGGGAGCGGAGAGGGTGCGGGGAGGGAGGAGCACCGCGTGCGGGCCGAGGTACGAGTAGACCTTTGCCTCGGCGTGCTCGCGGATGGAGCACGTGTTGAGCACAACCACCTGCGGTCGGGGGGAGGGGAGGGAGGGCCCGAGGTGACCCGAGAGGACGAGCCGACACCCGACATGACCCGACATGACCCGAGATGAGCCGAGAGGACTGACACTGCACTTCACCTGCGCCGGCGTGCCCTCCTCCGCCCGCGCAAAGCCGAGCGAGCGCAGCTGCCCCTCCATCCGCTCCGCGTCCGCCGTGTTCATCTGGCAGCCCATCGAGTCCATCGAGTACCTTGCGGACGCGTCGCGACGCGTCCCCAGGAGGCGGGTGAGCCACCCAAGGGCGGTGGAGACAGTCAGTGCGGTGAGGGGGGACGTGTCTCGGAAATGTCGCATACCGCAGCTGCGCGCCGCGCCCGCGCCCAGAGTTGCGCCTCAGCTCGCCGCTCGCCTCCGCGCCCTCGCCGCCCCCGCCGCCGCCGCCCTCGCCGCCGCCGCCCTCGCCGCCGCCGCCCTCGCCGCCGCCGCCCTCGCCGCCGCCGCCCTCGCCGGCCGTCAGCTGCCGGAAGCTGCGCGCGTCCTCGCGCGAGGCGCGCAGCAGCCGGATCAGCGGCTGCGGAGAGAGGCCAGTGCCGGGCAGCCCCTTTGTGCGCGGGTTTGAGTCGATCATGAGGGTCTGAAAGACGTCCACCACCTGGACGACGTGCCAGCCGAGCGGCGTCTCGCCGAGGAAGGCGTCGCCCGGCTTGGTCGCCATCGCCGCCTCGCGCAAGTTTCTCGGAAAGTACTCGTCGAGGTGCTCGTCCTCGATCCCGCTCCAGCCAACCTCGCCACCCTTGTCTCGCGTCACCGCGCAGGTCGAGAGGCGGGCGAGTTCGTCGAACCGCGCGCCGCCGCCGCGCAGCTGCTCGCTCAGCGTCTCCGCCATCTCGCGCGAGTCCACGACGATGTGCCTCACGCGCACCGCCGTCACCGCGTCGCTGCGCGCCTTGTTGACCGCGCGCTTCCACTCGACGGTCTTGCCGAGGGCGAGGTCGGCGAGGGAGCGGCCTGCCGCCACGGGAAGCTCGTCGCGTCGCAGCTTGGCCCCCCCGGCCGACCCGGTCGCAGCGAGCCGCTGCAGTATCATCCGGTCTGCTGCTTCGTCGCCCGTCAATCTTACTGCCTCCTCTGCCGCCAGCCGCGGAGGAGGAGCCCGGCCGAGCCGCTCGGAATGAACGGAGTCCAGCGGCGGCGGCGAATTGATCCAGGCGGCGGCTTGGGTGAGGTAGAGCAGCATATGTCACGTGTGTCCCCGCTGGACTGGCCCGGCCCGCGCACTCACCTGGAGATCTTACCTTATATTTCCCCGCGGCCGGTTTTCCGTTTCGCGGCGACGGCACAGGGTCTCAAAGTGATACCATGCCCCTCTCGGCAGAGCAGCAGCGCGAGCGCCGCGCAGCAAAGCGCGCTGCAGAAGAGGCAGCTGGCGTCTTCCGTCGCCGACGCGGCGGTCGTCTCGCGGCAGGGCATGTGTGGGACGAGCAGACTGGCACAGCCGTGCCGCAGGCGCCGTGCATGGTCGACGGCGAGTCAGGGGAGGAGGGTGAGAGTGTGCCTCCCACTGCTCGGCTGGCTGTGCCGCGCTCCGAGCGGCGATGGTCAGACCATCGGAATGCGGCAAAACGTGCGAGGCGTGCTGCGGCGGCGGAAGCAGCGAAGGAGGCGGCACCTCCTCCGCCTCTCACCTCCTCCGCCTCTCACCTCCTCCGCCTCTCACCTCCTCCGCCTCTCACCTCCTCCGCCTCTCACCTCTTCCGCCTCTCACCTCCTCCGCCTCTCACCTCCTCCGCCTCCTCACTCACCTCCTCCGCCTCTCACCTCCTTCTCCTCACCTCCTCCAAGAAGGTGAGCGAGGACACCGAGAAGGTGATTCCGTTTCGGGCGACGGCACACTCACCGAGCTATCCGGGCGGGGAATCATGTCGGCGAAGGCGGGCTCTGGCGTCTCGGTGATGCGCTCCGATCTCGACGCGTCGACCTCGACGGAGGTGGACGCGCACGAGGCGCAGTGGCGGGCCGGCGTCAACCGCCAAGCGCGTCCAGACGCCGCTTCGCAAAGGCGGCGTCATTGGCTGCTGCAGCCAAGCGGCGGCGGATAAGGACATGAACAACATACCTGCGCAAGCCGTCGCCCGGGCGGCCGCAGGCGGTGCCATCTCAACCCACTCTCGGCACCGCTGCACGTGCGTGCTCCCTCTCCCACCCAACTCGGCTCCACTCTCGTCCACCCGCGCCCACCCCATCATCTGCTCTCAGGCTGATTGCGGCGTGTGTTGCGCAATGCCGAGCCACCAGACGCTGGCCAGAGCATGATTGTGATGCCTCTGTCTGGGCCGGGGGGGCGTTCGACAGCGCGCGAGGCTGCCTCCCTGCCCTTTGCGACGCTTGCGACCACTGCTGAGTTGCATGCAGTACAGAGTAGCAGTGGTGGGGAGGGCTTGCGCCCCCCCCCCCCCCCGGGCAGAATGGTAAACTCGTGTCTACTCACCTCGTCGGCTCCATCGGCTGCCTCTCCTCGTGCGCCGGCTGCCTCTCCATCCAACCGCTTCTGCGTCCCCTTCTCTGCCCGGTGCTCGCGTGTCGCGATGTCGCTCTGCCGAGAGGGTCATCGCCGGCGTAGGCGGAGCGGCGGGCCCTTCGTTACAGAGACAACAATGACATTTCACCCCTCGGGCTGTTGTTGCAGACAGAAAAACAAATTTGGCGCGCGTGCGCGCAAGGTCTGCTAGTCGCGCAAAAGACTCTCCTGCGCAGGACCGCAGCTAGCCCTGGCCCCTGCCTACAAACACCCTCCATCCGAGCCCAACACGCGACAAATAGTTACCACTCTTGCACACAGCTTTGGAGCCGGCATCGATGCCGCCCCGCCCACTCCCACCGCCCTGCCCCGCTCTATTATCGCGCGCCACATTCCTCTCTCATTCCTCCGCTCGCTGCCACCGCTGTCGCAGCAGCCTACCCCTTCCCCTCTGCCGTGCGCCTCCGTCAAAAGTCAATGACGGCTTGCTGCATGCTGCGGACGCGCCGCAGCACCTCGGGGCACGACGGGATGGGGTTAGGATTGGGGTTAACAATAGTGCTAGGATTTAGGGCTAGGAACGGGGTGAGGATGAGGGTGAGGGTGAGGGTGAGGGCGAGGGTGAGGGTGAGGGTGGGGGTGGGGAGTGGGGGTGAGGGTGAGGGTGAGGGTAGGGGTGAGGGTGAGGGTGAGGGTGGGGGTGGGGGTGAGGGTGAGGGTGGGGGTGGGGGTGGGGGTGAGGGTGGGGGTGAGGGCGAGGGTGAGCGCCTCTGGCACGAACGGGCGCTTGGAGGCGTCGACAGTGAGCATCGCCTCGATCAGGCCGACAAAGGGCGCCGAGTACGGGTGTGAGGACGGGAACTGCGCCGGTGCGATCACTCTCAAGTGCGAGCACTCGACCACGCGCTGCACATTGTCCTGGAAGGTGCACTCGAAGGGCGAGTAGTAGAAGGCCTACGGGGCCATGGACATGTCCGGGACGTGCCGCCGAAGGCGCTCCAAGGGCGAGCGGCAGAAGGCCATCGCGTAGAGCGTGGCGCCGAGCGAGAAGACGTCCGTCCGCTCGTCGATGTCGCCCTGCGACGGCGTGTCGAAGAGCTCCGGCGCGCGATACGGCATCGAGCAGTTCTGGGCAGCGTCCTCCTGCAACAGCAGCGCCTCGGTGCGATTGCTGATGTGGCGCCGCGCCGACGCGACCGAGCCAAAGTCCATCAGCACGGGCACGTCCCCCTCCGACAGCAGGATGTTGGCCGGCTTGATGTCTCGGTGGGCCCACGGCGGCGAGTGCGAGTGCAGCGCGAGCACGCCCTCGCAGACCTGCGCAAAGAGGTGGAGCGCCCGCCCCTCCTCGAGCCGCTTGCCGCCCTCCATGAGCCGCACCGCCAGGTCAAGCAGCGTGCCGTCCGGGTAGAGCGGCATCAGCAGCCGGAACTCCTCCGCGCCGCTCGCCGTCGAGACGACGGCATGGTCGATCAACGGCATCAGGTTGGCGTGCTTGAAGGACTGGTGCACCTGCACCTCCCAGCGCGCGAGCTCCGACGCCTCGGGCAGCTGCGCCAGCACCTTCTTCAGCGCGTACTTCTTCTTCTCGTCGTCCTCGACGAGGTACACGAACGAGAAGCCGCCCTCGGCCAGCAGCTTGACGACGCGGAGGTTGCGCTCGTTGACCTGCATCGACTGGGTCGAGCAGGTGACGGCGCAGCAGAGCGAAGTGACCCACGCGTAGATGCCGCTGAGGACGTCCGCAACCATCGCGAGCGGGCCGTACGCCGACATATGTGTGGATTGTCGTTTGCGCCGTGGTGTGCCGTGGTGAGCGTCAGGCAACTTCTGGAAAAGAAATAGTGCGCGGCTTGAGCGGACTTGTGAGCCGGACGGCTTTCATTTCTCTCTGCGTTGTTGAGCCAGGACTCAACATACTCGTTCTGTTGCCGTCGCAAACTGTCACTCCCCTTTCTCTCGGCCGGGGTGGGCGCGCGCGGGGGGCGGCGGGTGTGCGGGATGTCTGTGGGCCCGAGAGCGATATGCCATGTCCGCCTTGCGTTTGTTTCATAACATCGAAGGCTAAGCTCAAAAGAAATAAAAACCCCGCTGGAGAGCGGTTGCGCATCCCTCCGGGGGCCCCTCTGCGCCGGGGAGGCGTTGTTTGTTGTGTTGTTGGAGGCTAGGACGCAAGCGTCCGTCGCCCTTTTCAAACTCGGGGCCCACTCCGCTGCGCTCCGACCCGAATTTGGAGGGCCTATAAAAGTTTAAGGTGTTGCTGCGCAAAAGGGGTCGGACACAGGGCTCAGGGCTGAGGGAGGGTGTAGAGGATGTAGAGTGTAGAGCGCTGTAGAGCTGTAGAGATGTAGAGCGCTCTGGAGCGCTGTAGAGCTGTAGAGCTCTACATCCGCCGCGTGACGATGCGCCTCCGTTGTAGAGCGATGTAGAGGCGTTTTTCCCCCCCCCCCCCCACCTCCCCTCCCCCCTCTCCCCCCACCCCCCCACCGCCCCGGCCATGCCAAGAGCAAAGATCGCACCCACCCGCTGTCTCTTGCAGGCGAGGAAAACACAACTCGATGGGGTTGCCCCATCCCGGAGTGGTTCGATTCCACACAAATCCGAGACGGTGATGGATGCGTCGTACGGTGGTCTCATGCCCAGTGAGGTAGTGCATCTGGCCACTCCTGATCCTGCTGAACAAGCTCCTCTTGTAGCTCGATCGGTCACACCGCCATCGCCGACGGGGAGAGGGGGGACGACACTGCTTCAGCAGCGTGCACCTCGATCCTGCACCGTGTTTGTTATGACCCCCCCCAATGAACACACCAGTGAGGGAGGGCGAGACGATCGAGGGGTCCCGTACCATGCGGAATCGACCCTATCCAGTGCTCAAGTGCTCAAGGCGCTCTACAACGTGAAATCTCTACAACAAACTCTACATCATAAGCGGCGAACGAGGCACGGTCGCTCTCCGACATGAGGCGCGTTGCACTTGCCAGTGCGGCCCTGGCCTTCTGTCTGCCCGCCCAATGGGTGGGAGGTGCCTCTGCTGCTGTGACATTCCTCACGGCTGCGACTGGCCGGCGCCTCGGCGCGTCAGCTCGGCTCGGCGTAGTGATAGTGGCCAGCGCAACTCGCCTGGACTCAACGCTCAGCCAGGAGCTCCCGCACGCGCTGGCGCGAGGCATGGGCATGCAACGCGTCTGAATGCTCGCCTCGCCTCGCGCAAATGCGACCGTCCTCGCAGCCGACAGTCCACCGCCTGCTAAAGAAGCACTGCGACGAATGCGGCACCGGCGACACATAGCAGGCTGGTCATGACGCAGTTATAGGGTGTTGTGTGCCGTCGGAGTGACTCTCTGTGTGTCAGGGATAGTCAGGGCTGTCCATCAGAGCTCCAGTAAGCTCGGAGACACCCCACATTAGCGCGGCTCGACCTCTTTGAGTCACTGCCTTCCCGGCGGTTTGGCTGTAGAGCCTCTACAACAAACTCTACAGCAAAATCGCGCTCTACATCGCTCTACAACGGAGGCGCATCGTCCCGCGCCGGATGTAGAGCTATACAGCTCTACAGCGCTCTCCAGCGCTCTCCATCTCTACAGCTCTACAGCGCTCTACACTCTACATCCTCTACACCCTCCCTCAGAGCCAACCCGACCGACCCCCCCCCCCCCTCGGTCTGTGCTCCGACCGACCGGACCCCCCCTCCGGTCTGCGGTCTTCCGCGGCCGTCGACCGGACCCGCGGTCCTCGGTCGGTCTGCGCTGGGCGCTCAACCCGCAAACTCGGCCTGTTGCTGTTCACTACAAGATGACGCTCGTATTAGCCACCCTTTATGTCTTGCGCGGTCAAAACCCTGCAGATGGTAATGCGGGAGGTGCCGAGCTTCCCGCCCTTAAATTATTTTAACACGGCTCCAGTGGTGTACCTGTGTTAGTGCCAGTGCGCGCCAGAAATGCTAAATTCTTTTAGTGGCGGCTGCCGATAGGTGTACATGAGGCCGGCGCCGTTCCTCCTGCTGCTCCTCCCGGCTCCCTCCCTCCAAAAAATCAGCGACGGCGTCGCCAAGCTGAGCTCGCAGGATACGGAGCAGTACCTCACCAAGTTCTCCTTTTCGCCGCGTGTGGCGTCGCTGCTCAACATCTCGTTTCACGTGGCGGAGCGAGAGTACTTTGACCGGCACCAGCACGAGCTCACGCTCTGTCTCTACTCGGACACCGATTGGCCCCGCTTCCGCCGCGCGATGACCAAGGGCTCGCTCTGCTCCGAGAGGCAGCGGCTGGCGTCGTGGTCGGCCAAGGTGCAGCCGGAGGTGACCTACCGGCCAGGCACGGGATACCGGCACGACTTTGACTGGGCGGGCACGCTCACCGCGCCAAAGGGGCGTGCGCACTACTGGTACGCCATGCTGATGGACTGCTACCTCGAGGAGTACGACGCCCACCCGCCGCCCCTCAACTACCGGCTCATCTTCATGAACGGTGGCGCGCTCTCTGTGGCGCGTATGGACAGTCTCTCTCAGCGCCACCCAAGCTCGCACGACCCCTCCGAACGAGTCGCCTCCCAGCCTCCTTCTTCTCTCCCCGCAGGCGAGTCGCACCTGCCTGCGGACGAGTCGGGCATGGCGACCATCAACGGGCTCGCGCTGCTCGGCATGCTCGCCCACGGCGCGAAGACGCAGAAAGCCGCGCGGCGATAACAGTTGTGCTGGCGAACAGGCATGCTCGCCTACGGCGCGCTCTACTTTTTCTCGCTCTACTCGCGCTTCGCCGAGCAGCGGCAGCTCGCTGCGCCCCGCCACCGTCGTGTCGGCACGTCTCTTTTCACGGCGCCCTTCTTTCTCTCGGTGTTAGGCAGCTGCACCTCATCACCGTCGTGTTTGCGCTCGCCTACGCGCTGCAGGCCGCCTCGGTTCTGTGCGAGCTCTGCCACTTGCGCGCCTTCGCCGCGGACGGCAAGGGCTTGCGGTGGCGGCACACTTGGCTGGCGCTTGACTTTGGCTCTGGCCTGCTGCAGTCCATCTCCGAGCTCTCGATCTCGCTGCTCCTCATCTCGCTCGCCTTCGGTTGGACGCTCGGCCTCGAGTCGCAGGAGCCGCTGGCGGGGCTGGGTGGCAAGCTGCTCGAGGGACTCCACCGGCCGGCGAGGTCTAGCCGAGATGTGGCCGAGACCTAGGTGAGAGACCGAGGCGAGAGACAGCCGACAGCCAACAGACGGCCGACAGACAGCCGACAGACGAGAGACGAGAGACAGCCCGCGATCTCCCCACCCCTCCCTCCGGCGTCGCATCCCCGGCCTCGCTCGTCGCGAACGGTCAGGCGCGGCTGCTGCGCGGGCTGCAGTCCCCTTCCGTCTGGCTGCTCAGCGGCATCGGCGGCGCGCAGCTGCTGCTGCAGGCGGCGGGCCGGAGGTACGAGGAGGACTTCAACCACTTCCACGACCACGAGCACTGGCCCGGCCTCGCCCTGCTCGCCATACGGCTCGGGCTCTGCGCCCTGTTCGCCTTCGCGCTGCGCCGCTCGCTCTCGCTCGAGCGGCAGCCCGAGGTGAAGTGCTGGCGAGATAGCACCTCAGCCCCGCTACTGCGTCGCCTGCGTTTGGTGTCCTCCGCCGCCAGCCGGGAAGGCCAGGTAGGAGATTGCGTGAGGCGGACCACGTCAGCCGTCTCCGCGACTCTCCTAGGTCGCCTCCTTTCTGCGGCGGCTTCTCGTGTACGGCCTCTGCTGGTTCCTCTGCCTGCCGCTGCTCGTCCTTCTGGCGGCGCTGCTGCCGCCGTACCGCCGCCACCAGCTCGTCGCGGGCGGCGCGATCGTGCTGCAGGCGGCTGCGCTCGCCCGAGATGCGCCGAGATGCGCCGGGATGAGCCGAGATCATGCTGCAGGCGGCTGCGCTCGCGCTGCTCTCGCGCCTCTTTGTCACTTCGTCCGAGTTTTACAAGATCTCGTCGCTCTCGCACCTCGGCTTCTCGCTCGAGGGAGGGCCGGGGCTCGGCGGAGGCGCCTCTCACGCACACTCGCACACGCGCACACGCGCACACGCGCACACGCGCACACGCGCACACGCGCACACGCGCACACGCGCACACACGCACGCATACGCGCACACACTCACGCATGCACGCACGCACACACACACACACACACACACTCACACACACACACACACTCACACTCACACTCACTCACTCACTCACACACACACACACACACACACACACACACACACACACACACACACACACACACACACTCACACACACACACACACACACACACACACACACACACACACACACACACACACACACACACACACACGCATCACACGCACACACGCACACATACACGATCACAAACTCACCGCTCACCCACGCACACTGGCCTTGCACTTGTGAATGCCGTGGGCTCCAAGTCTAGCGGAGACGTTGACCTGACCTCACCCCACCGCAGGCGCCTCTCGCCTCAAGGGCAAGCTCTGCGTTGACTGAGCGGCGCCCTTTTCGCTGTGTCTCGCGGCAGCGGATCCCGTTACTCAGGCCACTCGGGGGGTAGGAGGGTGGGGGAGGGGGGGCGCAGCCGGGGAGGGAGGAAGGGGAGGCGAGCGGCCCTGATGGTGCCGCCGAACGCAAACATCAAATACCTCGCCCCCCCTCCCCGCCACCGATCGCGCGCATGTCGCACAGGGTGGCGGCCTTCTTCGCTCTGCGCGGCTTCCGTTATCGATTTCCCTCTTGTGTGGGTCGCGCCAGCACAGCGAGAGGAGCCGAGCTGTCAGACGCGACGCGAGAGAGATTCTGAAGTGTCGGCGGAGAGAGAGGTCAAAACTAGGGCGTAGGGGGGCGCGCGGGGGGTAGCGCTACACATGTACACGATGTGCAGTGCCAGTGGGGCAAAAAGAGTGACAAGACACAAGAGACACGAGTCTCAAAAAAGAGACGAGAGCGGAGAGAGAGCGTGTTAACCCGTTAAGAGACAACACACGTGAGAGTAATTTGAAATTTCGAATTCAACTTATGGCGGCAGGGGCACACTCGAGACCTCTCCTCACCCGGTCGCATCGAGCATGACGCTCTCCACGTTTGAGCTCGCGTCCTGCTCGAGCATCGCCACGCACGCGTCCGCCACCGCCCGCGGCGCGAGGAACTTTGACGTGTCGACCGACGGCGCGCCCGCCGCCGCAAAGCCGCGCGCCGCGTCCTCCCACCACGGCGTTGCGACGCCCGCGGGGCATACGAGGCCGCACTTGACGTGCGAGTGGCCACCTGCCTTGAGCTCGGCGCGCAGGCTGAGCACGAGGCCGTTGACCGCGTACTTGGTCGCGCAGTAAGGCGCGGCCTGCGCGCTGGGTCGCGAGCCCATCACGCTGGACGTGACGACAACCTGCGACTGCCGGCCAGCCTTGAGCGCGGGGAGGGAGGCTCTGAGCCAGAGGAAGACACCGCGCACGTTCGTGCGAAACATCTGGTCGAAGCGCTCGACGTCGAACTCCTCCAGCGGGTAGCGCCCTCCGCCGATGCCGGCGTTGATGCAGAGGCCGAAGAACGGCACGCCGTCGAAGAACTTCATCGCCTGGTGGCGCAGAGGCAGGGCTGACGCTCGAGCTTCAGGCAGGTGGCAAGTCGGGTACGGGCCTCGTCAAACTGCCGATTGACGGTGGGCTCGTCGCCCGTGTCGCCCGACGAGTAATGGATGCTTCGAGAGCCAGACGCTTCGATCGACTGCACCAGTGGCGCCAGCTCCGTCTCGGCCAGCGGGCGAGTTCCCGTGACATAGACCTTGTACCGCTCGCCTCCATTTTGCAGCAGCGCTGTCGCCAGAGCGAGGCCGATGCCGCTCGAGCCTCCAGTGATGATGACGCCGCGCCGCGCTGGCTTCGACGCCGTCATGGCGGCTGCGAGCTTCATCGAAAGAGCTTTCCGGCACACTTGAAGCCAGCTTTCTCTTTTCCCGCGATTCAGCGCCGAGCCCTCGAGAAAAACAAAGAATTCAACCGGCGCCATACAAGCCACGCCGAACGTACTGAACGCAGAGCCGAACGGGAGGAAGCCGGGGAAGACGAACCCGAGGAGGGCGACACACCTGTGGTAATCCCGTCGGCAGCTGTCACGATGCACCCGAAAAGGGGACCCCAGCGCCAGCATCATCCGTGGAGGTACAAACAAGTGTTCGAAGAGAGAGTGGACCTGAGCAACGATACGACCTGGCGGCAAATGATCGCAGTGGGCGTCAGAAGAGTCGTCCTTGCGCGAGGAGAGCTCGATAAACTCGAGGGGCCAAAATATGCCGCGAGGAGGGCCAGAGCTGCGACGAAAGGCGAAAGAAGCAACGAGATCAAGGGAGCGGCAGGCGGCGGCGGCGTCGCAGGACGAGGCAGAGGAGGGCGACGCGACAGAGGAAGAAGCGACAAGGGAGAGAACGACGAGAGTCGAGAGTGGGACGACCGCGAGATGGCATGGAAGGTTGTTGCCGCGCGAATCGGCGAGAGACTGCGAAGAGAGATAGGAAGAGGCGGACGCCCAAGGGTGAGCGCATCACACCCCTCTCCTTAAAATCCCTGTGTGGTGGCGGCGTGCCGTCCTCCCATCCGCATCCCTCCCATGGGTTGTCCGTGCACTTGGAGTCCGTTTTCTTTCTTTCTTCTTTCTTTTACAAGGCTCAAGGGACACCCTCCCTTGGGTTCTCTGTTTTCTTTCTTTCTTTCTTTTAGGGACACCCTGAGATGTCATGAGAAAGAAACCCGCGAGGTCAACTGCGCACAGGGCGTCTGTCCTTACAAGATCCTGCTCGTGCAGGTGGGGACCCTGTCGCTGTCCTTCTCCCACCACTCGTTGTTGGTGTGTCCGTTTTTTTATTTATGTCTGTCGACGGGTTGCCGAAATTCCACCCATCACAGATTCATTCACAGTCTGAGAAGGAGCATCTAAGACTTCCCAACAACAAACCTACGATTACACAAACAACTCAACCAATTACAGTCTAGGAGAAGCAATATATTTTTTCAGGAGCCCGGTGTTCGGCTGTTGTTCGGCGATTGAGCGCCTGCCTCCCTCTCTCTCCGGCTGTGCGCATGACCGGTGCGGCCATGCGTCCTCCGAGTCGGCGTCTAGCGCGCGCGATAAGGATTTTGCTTGCCTTCCCTGGGACCCCGTGTTGCATGTCTGACTGTCACTGTGGTCTGTGCGATTTCGGGGCCCGGGGTTGTGCGTTTGTGTGAATGTCCCACCCCCCTGCGCGCGGGCCTTCTAGGCCCGCGGGCAGTCTCCCCGCATTCCCAGGGCCTCCAGGGCTCGCACCTCAACCTCTCACAGACCAGCGCACAGCGCGTTACGTCTTTTCTTTGTATTTTCTTCTCAATAACAAGGCTGTGAACAAGTCAACCCCCCAGGCTGGCTGCGTGCCGGTTGCGCCATAGAACCTCTGCGGCCCTCCGCCCAATGCCCAAATCGAAGCGCGCGCAGAAGGTGACCCTCTCGAAGACGGTGAGCAAGGGCCGGGAGCGCAAGGTCGCCATCATTGACGAGGTGCGGGACTGCGTCGACCGGTACAAGTCGGTGCTCGTGTTCGAGGCCAACAACATGCGGAACGCGGCGCTCAAGGACGTGCGCGTAAGGCTGCGGTCCAGCCGCATCTTCTTTGGCCGCAACAAGCTGATCGCCGCTGCGCTCGGCCGGACGGCTGCGGACGCGTACCGCGCCGGCCTGGACGAGGTCGCCGACGGCTTGCTCGGCGGCGAGGCTGGGCTCATCTTCACAGACGAGTCGCTCGAGGCGGTGCAGCAGGCTCTGGCCGAGTCTCGGGTGCCCGAGTACGCGCGCGCGGGCTTTGAGGCGACGGAGGACGTCGTCTTGCCGCAGGGCGTGCTCAGCCAGTTTGCGGGCTCGATGGAGCCGTACCTGCGCAAGCTGGGGCTGCCGACCAAGCTGCAGGCGGGCGCGGTGCAGCTGCTGTGCGACTACACGGTGTGCAAGGCGGGGGACGTGGTCAGCTCGGACCAGGCCAAGCTGATGCAGCTGCTCGACGTCAAGCAGGCCCTGTTTGAGCTGACGCTCACCTGCCGCTGGAGCGAGGGGCAGTTCCAAAGGCTCGCGGCCTGAACTCTTCATGGCTCAGGGCACCAGTGCGTCCGGTCCCGTGCCGCTTGCGTCCGGTGCGCCCGGGCAACTGGCCGAGAGCGGCTTATGTCTTGCCCTTGCGTGGGCTCAGCCCCTGTGTGGGGCGAGGGCCCTCTGGGGCGAGGCCTCTGCGCGCGACCGCGAGCTCCTGCACCGGCGGAGTGCACTCGACGGCGGTGCGGTGTGAGCGCCGTCGTCTCCCGGACGCGTATAAATGTGTGATATCCGTTTTAGCCTCCGTGTGGCACGTGCCACTCACTGCCACGCCTCGGCGAGAGCCGGCTAACCTCGGAATGTAAAGCCGTAACACCAGAATGGCTGTTGCGCAGTGTGCTGCGGCCCAGGCTGCTGGCTCCTTCACAGCCATCTTACCTAAGGATGGCTGAGCTAGCTGCAGTGCAGCCACATCCTTCAGCCCGATGGCTGCAACACACACACGGCAGCCATCCTTAGTAGACATGGCTGGAGACGCACTACCGCAGCCACACCGCCCGCCCGCACTAATCCCGCGCCCCGGTTTTTTCGCCAGCCTAGTGCGTTCGGTTGATTGAGGAAACCCCTCGAGTTAGCTGCTTAGTCGCGTGCGCGTATGCTCGCTGTCGTTGCAGTCTCTGGAGGCTGCGCCGCGGCTCCCGAGCGGCGCGTGACCCGTGCCAGTTTTGGTAAGGTTTTGCGCACCCTCTCAACTGACTCCCTGAGGCAGGGTGGCGCGGGTGCGGGGTGGCTCGGCAGCTCGGCGGGAGGCCTCCGACCCGGCTACCTTGTGCTGTTGAAGTTGCTGCAGGAGACGCCGATGACGATGGCGCTGTCCTCGCGGCTGGCCAGCGTCCGGGCTCGCTGGCGCGCCGCCCGGGATAGCACTGACAGTCTGCCGGCGCAGCGGGCGCATTCGAATGCGCCCGCCGCGCCGGCAGACTGTTGGACGGCCACAGTCGCGAAAGTGGGGTGAAATCCGTGCGGCGCAGTGGCAGCGGTGGCCAGGCGGCCCCTCTCGGGGCCGCGTTGCGCAGGCGCGCCGCGCCATGAGCGGCGACCGTGGTGAGAACGCGATGTGCCACTTGCTCTCACTTAGCAGCTAACTATGATAGAACAAGTTTGAAAACCTCAGCGAAAAAAACGGGGGTCGGGATTAGTGCGTCGAGGTGAGCCCTGCCCCTCTTGGCTGACCCCTGGCTACATTGCAGCCATCTTGGGAAAGATGGCTGGGGGACAGCCATTTCAGCCATTTCAGCCATCTACTATGGCTGCGTCATAGAGATTGCAGCCATCCTCCAGAGCCATGGCTGGTGGTAATTCGATGGCAGCCGATGGCAGCCGTCCCGCGAGGCCGGGGGCGACAAGCGCGCAGCTATTTGTGCGTGTGGCGGGGGCGGCGGACGGCTGCCATCGAATTATCACCAGCCATGCTCCGGAGGATGGCTGCACTGACTGTGCCCCAGCCATAGTAGATGGCTGAAATGGCTGTCCCCCAGCCATCTTACCCCAGATGGCTGCGATGTAGCCAGCTAAGCCAAGAGGGCTCACCTCGAGGCGGGCGGTATGGCTGCGGTAGTGCGTCTCCAGCCATGTCTACCAAGGATGGCTGCCGTGTGTGTATTGCAGCCATTAGACTGGAGGATGTGGCTGCACTGCAGCTAGCTCAGCCATCCTTAGGAAGATGGCTGTGAAGGAGCCAGCACAGCCATTCTGGTGTTACATTCCGAGGTTAGCCGCGAGAGCCCGTCGGTCGTCGCGGCTCGCGCTCGGGTGTCGGGAGACACGGCCCGTGTACACGGCCCGCGGGCCCCGGGCCTTCCCCGGCGCCCGCCCCCGCGCGCCGCGCCGCCGCGGTGCGGACGTGCGGTCGCGCTCGGCGCTGCCACTTGCGCTGCCGGCGCTGCCGCGCCTACCGCCTAGCCGCGCAGCGCGCTGCAGCGGCGCTGGCGCCGTCGGTCTCTGCGTGTTAGGCGCCGGCCGCGGCGCGGCGGGGTCGGTGCGTAGCAGGTCGGCGTACTGGCTAATACTGCGTTTTATGGTGCGTACTGATGCAACTGACCCTCTCGCACTCACATACTCTAGATACACACACCGCGCGCCATGCACGCAAGCTGAGCTGCTGGGTCAGCGACAGCGTGGCGCAGACGCGGGACCGCGGAGATTTCTTCGGAGGGTGATCGTGTGCCGATGGTATTACGCATTTACGCGCACTACGTATATGCGACTCGGAGAGTGACACAGTGTCCTGGCTTGGGAAGGCATACATGCGTTTTGCGTTTTTGAGACCTCTTTGTGCGTCTCATACACCCAGGGTCAGCGGCGGATCGCTCAAGCCCCGCGAGCAGTAACTGAGTTTGCAGTGTTTGCACGAGACCAGTCCGAGAGTGCGCAATTCGGCAAACCACGGACCGGATCAACGAGAAGTGTGCTCAATCGAAGAAGCAGGTCACGGTCTCTTGCCGGCGATGGGCCGCATCCGGCTGTGAGCAGAGATCACCTGGCCAATAGTCACAGGCACCCCAACCGGGAGCGCTGCACTCAGGTTGTGGCTCTGACCCAACGGCTCCGCCACCCGCGCCTCTGCATGCCGCGCAGCATGCCTGCGAGTCTGGTCGCCGAGCAGAGCACTGCGACACATGGTGACGCCCGTCGCGGCCGTGCCCAGAGCAAAGGGGAAGGCGCAGAAGAGGGCGGCGCTGCCCAGAACCTCCATTCTCGCGACCTTTCGGTCGTGCGTCCCAAAAGCGCCAAATCGTAACGAGCTTAGTTTCATTACATTCGCGTTGCTTCTTTCGGCATTTTTGCTGGCGGGCCTTGGCGCGGCGTGAGAGCTCAGATTGTTTGTAAAACGAACTCGGGGGGCACAGGACGCGGCACGGACGGGGCACACACGCCAGCCAGGCTACAAAAGCACAAACACGGAGGAGGGAGGCACGTATGGGGGAGGAGGACAGGGTCCACACCTGCACGAGCAGGATTTTGGAAGGACGATCAGGGGCACAGGTGGGGCTCTCCTGCTCCTGACAAGGGACACGACAGGCTCGCAGCGCGGTGCACGGTGGACTCCCAACTCCACTGGCGGTCTCATCTCAGGCTCAGCAGCAGGGTTTGCGTTGGGAATGACGAAAGAATTTTTAGTTAGCCGGGACAGGGTTCCGGCTCCTAGCCAGATTGGGGGTCTGTTGACCACGGTTAGACCCTATGCAAAGGTAGGTAGGTCCGGTTTTGACCGCCCCAGAGGGCCCCGCAATAGGTAGGTAGGTGGTGGTGTGTGTGTGTGGGGGGGGGGGGGGGGTGAAAAAAACCGTTTCGCGCGGGAGACGGCGCGTTTAGCCGCGAACGGGGCCATGCTCTGGGGCGGGCTCGCGAGCGGCGCGCACCGCGGTACAAGCCGGCGCGCGGCGGGTGCTGGGAGCCTATTCACAGAGGGCTAACGGGCATTTTTTCGCTTCGCTGCGCGGCCTGGGAATAGGTATGTAGGTGGGGCACGGAGCCTGGCGATTGGCGCCCGCAATAGGTAGGTAGGTAGGGCGTTTTGGTGCGAGTCATGGTCAACAGACCCCCTATCTGGCGGTGAACCTTCTTTTGTAGACCGCTAGGATTGAGAGAGCAGCCTCGCTCACAATCCTAGAAGTCGAAGGATTGTGAGCAGCACTCCTCGCAATCGTAGCATCTGGTCGTGACTCGTGTGGGTGTGTATTCCGGGATTAGTCAATGGTACCGCGTCGGCGACGCGGGCGCCTTGCGGGCAGAGCCCTTAGCCACCCTTTTTATCTTGCGCGGTCATAAAGCGCGGGAACTAGCGGAGCTGGGAATAGGACCCCCGCAAACGGCGTGGCGTGGAGCGGTTGAGCATCCCTCCGGGGCCCCCTCTGCGCCGGGGAGGCGTTGTTGGAGGCTAGGACGCAAGCGTCCGTCGCCTTTTTCAAACTCGGGGCCCACTCCGCTACTCGATACGCTCCGACCCGAATTTGGAGGGCCTAAAAGTTTAAGGTGTTGCTGCGCAAAAGGGTTTGGACACAGGGCGCAGCTCATGTATGTATGTATGTAGGAAGGCGAAGAACAGTGAGGCTCGGACTGGACACCAACGCGGTATGGGTGGACGCTGGAGCTCATGCTAAGAGTCCTAACTAAGAGCCAGAAAAGTCGAGGGAAAGTTCGCGGAACTGTGGCCTGGGTGTCGCGCCACCCGGATCGCGCGTCTTCGACCTGGTCATTCCGACGCTCCAGCCGGCTCGTCCTCGAGTAGCGAGAAGTCGGCTTTTCAGAGGAGGCGCAGCCGAGCCGCCAGTCCTCAGACATGCTACGCACGCTCGCGCGAGGCGGCGCGGCGACGGTCGGCATCGGCGGGACAGCCTTGGCGGCGTACGCCTACGGCGATCCCGGATTCGGCCGGCAAGTCTCGTTTTGGCGCGTCACTGGGCCGGCGGTGCTGAGCTACGCCGCCTGCTCTGCAAAGCACAAGAAGAGCGACGCTGACACGAAAGCGCGGGCCTTTGCTGCGCTGCACGACCACTATTCGAAGGTCTCATTGGACCTGATCCTGGAGCTTCGAGGGCTGTACATCAAATTTGGGCAAGCGGCCGCTTCAAGCCCCTTCGTGCCTCAGGCGTACCGTACGCAGTTCAAGGTGCTGCAGAATGACGTGCCGAGCGAGGATTTCGCGGCCATCAAGCAGGTGGTGGAGGAGGAGCTAGGTCCCCTCGACGAGCTCTTCGAAGAGTTCAGCGAGTCTGCGTGCGGTGCAGCTAGCATTGGCCAGGCTCACGTCGCCAAGCTGCGGACAACAGGCGAGACAGTCGTCGTGAAGGTGCAGTACCCGTCCGCCGCTCGCATATTTTTGGCCGACGCGCAGTGCCTCCGCACGCTCATTTCCCTAGCCAACCCGGAGGCGCTGCCCGCCTTTGAGGAGTTCGAGAAGCAGCTGGCCCTCGAGCTCGACTACCGCGCGGAGCTCGCCAACCTGACCGCCATCTTCGACGCCATTATGCCTACCTTTGCCGACCGCGTCGTCGTGCCGCGGGCGCACAGCACGCTCAGCACGGGCAGGGTGCTCACTTTAGAGTACCTGCCTGGGCCGAAGCTCGAGGGCGAGATGCGGCGGCAGATGGCCGAGCTGGGGATGCGCGTCGACGAATCTGAGTCGATGCGCGACTGGATCCAGCGCCTTGAGGCGCAGACGACGCAGCCGGCAACGGAGGCCGACGACGACGAACGAGAGCCGTGGCGCGCGTGGCTGGGGCGTGTCGGCGCGCGCGTGGTGGGCATCGACGCGGCGCTGTGGGTAGTTGGCAAGGTGCTTGCCACGGGCGGCGCTGCTGGCGGCGCCGGCGCGGGCGGGTGTCAGGAGGAGCTGCGCACGTGCTTGCACTCGCTCGTCGAGGTCCACGGCTTCGAGATCTTTGTGCACGGGCTCTTCAATGCGGACCCTCACCCGGGGAATCTCATCGCGATGGGCGATGGGAAGGTCGGGCTGATCGACTACGGTCAGTGCAAGCGTCTGGAGGAGGGGCCAAGACGAGCTATTGCGGAGCTCATGGTCAAGGTGGCCGACGACGCGCCGCACGCAGAGGTGGCGGCGGCGTTTCGCCGCGTGGGCGTGCGCACGGAGCATGGAGGCGACGAGTTCCTCGGCAAAATGGCGCGGCTGATGTTTGGGCGCGTCTCGGTCGAAATGCTCGAGCCCAAGTGGCACCGCGATCTGCACAAGACCGACAAGATGACGCATTACCCGCCCGACCTGCTCATGGTGCACCGCGTCGCCCTCATCCTCCGCGGCCTCAGCGTCGCGTGCCGCGAAAACGTGTCGATTGCCGAGCTTTGGCGTCCGCATGCCGCGGCCGCCTTGGACGCCGGGCCGGACTGACGTTCGGAGACGGAGCGGTTTTTACTGTGGTGGTGTCGGTTTTCATTGCTCAGTGCTTGCCTGGTTAATTGTCAAAATTCCTGTTGTGCAAGAGGGGATGGGGCTCTGACGGAGTGTGTGGCGGGAGAGGGCAGGGAGGGAATGGGCGCGGGGGAGGGGGGGGGGGGGGCTCAGCCGTGCAAAAAGCATTAATTAATAATAGTAATAAAGAAATAATGCTCGGCCGTTCATGAAGTCCGTCTCGATCTGGAGTAGACGGTTACTTCCCCCAGGATTGGTCTTCTCTGCCTGCGGGAACACCCTCGGGCGGCCGGGTGGGGCTGCGGCTGGAGCTAGCATGGCTCGATAGAGCCGAGACCCCGTGTTGAGGCGGCGCTCCTGTGGGCGGCTGTGGAATCGGGAGATTCGACCTTAGATCTCCAGTTATCTCATCCCAGTGGATGGACGTCCGGACGTCCATTTGTGTTCCTCTCGCCGTCCGCCAGCGAGACGCTCTGTCGCTGGCGGCCGCAGTTTTCTGTGAGGTGGGAGGAGAGGAGAGGACGCAGCGAAGATGGCGCAGCAGCAGGCCCCGCCAGCTGCGCAAGCGCCCATCGTCGTCGTCGTTGACGAAGTTCAGATCACCAGTGATGCAGCGCTCGTTCTCGCTCCAGGGGCTCAGCACGTAAAGGACCACACGCCTTGTCTGAGTTGGACCACGGTGTACGACAATGCAGGAGCAGTGACCAACTACACCCTGGGGCAGAGTGACGCCAAGGGCGCCTTCCTGCCGCGGTGCCGGTTCAGCGTGGACCAGCAGACAGGCACCCTCCTCGATAGGAACCACGTTCTCAATGTGCTTTTCAATGGGGCATTCTGGTCGCGGCTTCTGACCGCTCTGGACGCGGCGAACCTCTTTGCCACTTCCATGGAGAAGATCGGCGTGCTGCACCAGCGGCTCGCCGGTCTGGCAATGGCCAACCCAGGGGTCTGGGTGGTCTCGCACTCGGACATCTTTCTCGGTGAAGACTTTGACGCGCCCGCCGTCCCAGCGCCGGCCGCGGGGAGAGGCCGGGGCCGCGGTCGAGGGGGCCAAGCCGCGGCCGTGGTGCCGGTCGTGCCAGGACCACAGGACCTGCTCTTCCTTACGCAACTCCCGCTTCGCGCGCTCGAGGCGGGCGGGGAGTTGCCTTTGCTGCTGTACTCGCTGCTCTCTTTCCATTTGGGACCGATAGCTACAAGGGCGGCCCGCCTGCCCCTGGCAGCCCCCGCGAGACTCACGGCCGGCCTTCTCCAAGGAGCTATCGTGCAAAGCGTGGGGGCGGCGGCCGCCAACCCTACGATGCTCGCGCTCCAAATCCCTCGCTTGCTCAAGGGCGCTTCGCTCCCCGTCATCTTTCAGTCTACCTCCGCGGACCCACACACGAGGCTCGAGGACTTCACGGACTTGCTCCGCATGCAGGCCGGCGGGGTAGATGAGAGGCGGCGCATCGAGGAGCGGCGGATCATGCTCGCCACCTCGCTGGGCGCGCTCTACCAGCTAGTCATCCAGCCGTCGCCCTCGGTCTCGACTGCAAATACCTTGGTGAGCCGCCTGGCCGCCAAGATTCTGACCGCGCCTCAGCTTAAGCTCTCGCTGGCGGACCAGCTGGCCATCCTCGCGACGGCCGTTCATGATCGGCAGCACCTCGTCCAACCGGGGGCCTCCGCGGAGGATGCGGTGACCGCGCTGGTCGCGGAGGACCTCCTCTACGACGCGGGGCGCCCCGCGCCTAGCGTGGCAGGCGGGCCGGCGTCCTCGGGCGACCAACCGCCGCCGCCCAAGCTTTTGGAGAAGGCTCTGATGATGCCCAACTTCCAGGCTCTGGCCGCCAGCCTCGAGGGCGCGGACGCACAGTCGGACGAAGGGCGGCGCCAGATCCTGGCGGCGGCCTTCGAGTCGGGCTGCGACCTCGTCCTGCGTGTGCTGTTGGGCCCGGGGGGTCACGAGGCTTCCCGCAATCCGGTTCTTGCCAAGATTGCGCACTGCAAGGTAGAGCTCGCCAACTACCTCACGTGGTGCCTCGTCACCGACAGCTCGGGCCAGCCAAAGGAGGCGCTCGACAAGTACCGGTTCACCGGCCACGACGGCCAGAGCGACAGTCTCTGCAAGGCCTTCCTGGCGGGCAAGTTCGTGGGCGTTGATTACATGAACGGAGCCAACGGCGTGCTGGACTGGATGGGGGCCGCTCTCCATGCCCAGCGTCTCCCGAGGATCCACGTCAAGGACCTCTACATCATCCCGAGCAAGATGCGACGCTTTGGGGCCTTCCTCAACCTCCTTTTCGTGGGCATCGGCTACCCGGAGACCGTCCCGGACGGCGCCGGCTTCACCATCAAGACTTGGTTCGAGTTCTATATCGAGCACCTCGAGCTCACGAGCGGGTACAACACGTATGAGCGGAAGTGCAACCACCTCTACCAGTGCAGCCGGCAGTTCGAGGCCTTCCTGCGCATCCTCGAGACGACGCTGGCGAGCCGCCGATCTCGACCCGACCCCGGCGAGGATGGATTCGGCCCGGTGGCCTTCCTCGATTGCCAGCCTGCCGAGGAGTTGCGCATGCGCGCGAAAGTTTCCGCCCACCGGACCCGAGAGGAGAAGCTCGACGAGGCGTCCACCTCTGAGTCCGTGTGCGACACGTGCATCCTGCCGCTGCTTTCGGGGTGGGCCAACCACCCGCTCGACAAGCGGGATGCGGCGGCCCCGACCTCGAAGCGCCCCAAGATCGAGCCTGGCTCGAGCGTGGTCATCGGCGCGAACGCGCCGCTGCCCAAGGCGCACGCCCTCGCCAAATCCGCATTGTGGCTCAAGGAGGGCAAGGGTCAACCCCGTGAGGAACAGATCAGGTTCACATTGTCGTAGCCGGAGGGGATGTTGACCTTTAGCTCGTGGGGCCACCCGCGCTTTGTTTTTTTTTTCACAGACCACTCGGGCAGGGGGCAGCTTTTACCAAATGCCAAAGTTGCACTTTACCACTCGGGCAGATTCGACGATTGCATTTTACCACTCGGGCAAACTCGATGAAACGGCGGACGGAGAACGCGTTCGCGGCCGCTCGCCGGAGAGCTATGCATGAAGCGGCCGGCGCGCCACCGCAGCTCACCGATGGAGCTCGCGCCGCGGCTCAATCCACAGGCGCAGCAGCACTGCGACGCATTCTCCAAGCACAGTGCCTGACGTTGCAGGTGCTCAGAGAGCGAGCAATAGTCGACAAAAGCCCAGATCTGAGCATAGCGGATCTCCATGTTGGTCGCGCCCTGCGAGAGGACAACCGCGGGCCTCGGATGCTTGCCCGGACGCGGACCCGCCGTGCGAGTTGCAGACCCGGAGGAGGCCAACCCAGCTCACCCCCAGAGAGGCCATGCCCAGGGTCAACCATAAAAGGGGGCTCCGTCCGTCCGTCTGTCTCGTGTGCTTCCTAGTCACCGCAGGCCTTTGCCTGCTGCACTCGACGTCCGTGTCTCTGGGCATCATCCCGAGCAGCCACCCGCCAGAGGACGGCATCCTCGGACACGGCTTTGGCGAGAAGCCCAAGAATGTGGACCCTTGGGACGCGGCTCACCGCTGGAAGGCGGTCGCCGAGAACCAGAAGGAGAACTTCCCGATTGTGCTGGCAATCTACTGGGCCACAGTCCTCGTCGGCGAGGCGGCGCCCGTGGAGGCGGTGAAGGGAAGCAAAGCGCCCTACTTCATGGTTGCGTACCTCCTCCTCCGCGTCGTCTACGCCGCATGCTACATCGTCGCCCTGGCGCCGTGGCGCTCACTGGCGTTCGCAGCCTCCAATTTCGGTGGGATGTACACCGTCTTTGTCATCGGTGTCTACCGCGCCTGCAAAGTCAGCACGCCAGCCCCGGCCGATGACTATGCCATCATGCCACCGACGGTGTGAACGAGCACTTGGAGAGTCGTAATCGAATCTAAAGGGTGTGGACTGCGGTGAGTTGACGGAAGTCGAGGGCGACGCGCGACCACTTCGCCACAGACGGTCCCGCGCCTCGCCGCTAAGTTTGCGGCACGCCCCGCACCGTCCGCTGTGCCGCATTTTTTGCCCGGAGTGAAAGGTCCAACGCGCTCGTCGGTGGCGGTGTCCCTCAACCTGCGCCGCGCTCGGCGAACCTCGACAGCGCCTTCGGTGGCATGCAGCTCTTTGCGCCTGAAGCCTGGAGTGAAGCTCCTCTGCTGCTCACACGCTCTGCACAGTTGGCACAGCCCACTGTGCGGCTGCCACAGCTGTGACAGCGATGGGCTCGCCCTCACTGGCCCTCAGTCACTTGTGCTGCGGCTTGTGTGAGCGACACTGCTCGGCGACTGCCGGCACACTGTGAGACCATGGGTGTGAGGTTAAACCACGCTCTACCAGCGCTTGGTCACATCGGCCCCGAGGCCAGATCCTTCTACTCTGTTGATGACAAGACTTGTCTACTGGCTGGAGCTGAGCAGGGAGGGCCCGGCGCACAACCCCTGTGGTCAACTCGCTCACGGGGTCCAGGCTGCGGTGGAGTCCAGGCTCCAGCACACCCCGTAGAGAATCATCGTACTTCGTACGAATGGAGGTGTGATCGATGCACCGTTCACAGTCCGTTGACCGTTGCAAAAGGAAACGGGGACAATGCGATGCAGTCTTCTCCGGCACAGGCGCACTCTCTCTCGCTCTCGAGCGCGAGAGCAACGAAAGACGTTGCCCGAGCGCGCACACACCCTTGTACAGATGTGTACACCACGAAACCATAGTCACAGCTCCTCTCGGTCTGGGAAGGCGGGCGAAGCAGGCGCGGTCGGGTAGTCCCCGACCATCTCCTTCGCCGCCTCCCCCTCAGCGGCGATCCAGTGGCGGCAGGAGAAGCCGGGGTGCATCACGGAACGCACCTCGTGCTCGAGCGTGTAGAGGAGCTCGCCCGTGTCCTTGTCAATGTCGCAGAACGAGTGAGGGGAGGTGCGGTGGGCGTGTGGGACGGGGATTGAGTACGCGCCGGGTCGGTGAGGTCCTTGAGCCGAAACTCGCTGTGCCGCAGCGCGTGTGCCAGCGAGTCGTACCGCAGGTGCGGGAAGCGAGGGTTGTTCCACACCAGGCCCGCCTCGCGGCTGCGCTCGTACACGGCGGCGAAGTCGTTTGTGTAGAGCGCGACGTGGTGGCCGTCGTACCGGCGGACGGGCGGCTCGCCTGGCAGCGCCTCCGCGAACTGCAGCGACTGGTGGTGCCCGAGCCGCACCACGCAGACGGGCCGCCTCCCCTCTCGGCCAACCTGAGAGGCGGAGGCGGCGGGGGCGGAGGAGGTGACGGTGGGGGCAGCGAAGGCCCGAGTGCGCGCGGTGGCGATCTCGCGTGCTCTCGGGCCACCTCGGCGGTGGCGCCAAAGAGCCGCAAATAGAAGCGGCAGATGCCGGCGGCGGCGCCTTCTGGGACGTCGAAGCGCACGTACTGGATGCCCAGCCCTCGCGACGGACCGCCGGGCAGCGGCCTCTCCTCGCGCGGGTCGAGAAGCAGCTTCGGACCAAACCAGGTCTCTGCGCCCGCCCACTCGACCGCACGCAGACGGTTGCCAACCGGGCAGGTGATGCGGAGGCTGCCGTCGGCGCCAACCGCGTGCGTAGCGCTGGCGTCCTCCAGCCGCCGCTGCAGCGCTGCCAGCTCCTCAGTGGTGTACGCCAGCCCCACCTCGCCTCGCACGACCTGCGGACGTGGCGTGGTGTGGCGTGCGGTGTGTGGACTTGCGGAGGCAGCCTGGAGCTAGATGAGAGCGCGAAGTGTGAAATAGAGCACGCGAGCATGTGTCTCAGAACCTGCACGGAGTCCTCCGGCTCTCCGACGGGCAAGTGGAACTGCTGGAGGCCAAAGTTCGCCCAGTGGAGGCCCTGCATCGGCCCGCCGGCGGCCTGCACCTGCGAGCAGACGACCGCGCCTCGCGGGTCGTCGGCGCCGCCCATCACGCTGAACCAGAAGCGCGAGAGCTGCTCCGTCCACGTGCCGCCGGCGTTGATGTTGACGTGCTCCAGCGAGATGAGCGGCTCGTACCGGACCGGCAGATGCGGAATCGTGGTGGTCGAGGAGGAGGGCGCAGCAGCCGCGGACGCGACACGAAACAGCAACATGGGGCTGCTTGTGAAGGTAGGCGTGCGTATGAGCTCACTAGCTAGAGCTCACAGAGGAGGCCGTCATCGCATTCCGCTCTGGCTTCTTCTGTCGTTTCTCCCTTCTCGTCCGGGGTGTGTTTTTGTGTGAAGGTACAGTAGGCACACTGGCACCTGGGTTCCGGCTCCTACCCAGATAGGGGGTCTACCCGCCCGGTTAGACCCTATGCAATAGGTAGGCAGGTCCGGTTTTGACCGCCCCAGAGGGCCTACAACAGGTAGGATTTTTCTCTTTTTCGCTTCGCTGCGCGGCCTGGGAGCTGGCCCTGGGTAGGTAGATAGGTAGGGCGTTTTTGGTGCGAGTCAGGGTGAACAGACCCCCTATCTGTGCGTATTCTCGTATCAATCACTGGCTCCGAGTAGAAAAAGAAAGAAAAAAAACATGTCGATAGCTCCGAGTAGAGGGGGCGTCCTGCAGTTAAGGGGAAACCCGGTACGCGGGGCCAACCCTCGGAGACCCGTGTTTACTTTACGGCCCTTTCCCTGCGAATGCGCACCCCCCCTAGCTAGGGGTCAGGGCCTCTCTAGCCCGTAACCCGATGCCGATCATCTCCGGCTCGCTGGGTGCGCTTCTTAGCTCCCCGGCCCTGGATGTGAGCAGTGAGGTTGCCGACTGCACTCCAAGTGCCCCCTATCTGGGTAGGAGCCGGAACCCGGCTGTGCGACTTACACGGACGGCACACTTGAATTCCCCGAGCTAAGTAAGCCTAAGGAACGGCCCTGGATGTGCGGTTACTCGGACTGGTCTGCACTCCAAGTGCTCGCCAAGTGTAAGCTGAGTGTAAGAGGAGTGCCGCACCGTGGTCCGTGGCTGCGTCTGCGGCGTGTTGCGGAGGTGGCTCCCGGCAGTCTCCCGGCTCCCGCGTCCCGGGGCCAATGGTTGGGTAGTAGGGCTAGAGGGTCGCTCTACACTTAGCCTCTGCAGCGAGCGAGCGCTCAACTTAGCCCCCGCACGGAGCCAGGCTCGGACTTAGACGCTGTATGGTCGGGGGCCATGAACTTAGACGACACAAGGCCAACTCCGGGTAAAACCCGGGTATACCTGCAAAAGTCCAGGTTTACCCGAAAAATACCTGGTCCTGGACGCGTCCCGACCAACGTATGCCGCGCGCACGACGCCATATCGCCTTGTCCCAGGGCCAGTGCGCTACTTGCGGCGCGCAACTCCTGCTCAAGTACGCGCACCGTACCATGTGCTGCCGCTATGCGTGTCTTAAGGCGGCTGCGGCGAAGCGGCGGGCGCGGCATGCCGATGGCAGTGCGGACGATGCGGTTGCGATGTGTGGTCTGCTTCAAGATCGTGGCGGTGCTTGGCATGCACTTCTGCGATCCCAATCAGCTCATCGCAACGAAGCAGCGCAACAAGCTGGCTGCTGCCAACAAGGCCCTACTACCTCACGCGCGGATCGTTCAAAGAGGACCAGCATACACAGGCTTCTATGCGTTTGTTTGAGCTTGAGGCTATTTGTGAGAACTGTTTGGCTTGAAGATTGCGCTCAAGAAGAGCAACGAGAATCGGAAGAGGAGGATGCTGAGGCGGCGATTGCTGAGCATGAGAAGGATCGACCCGGATTAGAAGGCGCCCGCCGCAGTCGAAGAAAATTTGGGGGCTGCGCGCGCCGTATTGCGTATATCGTGTTGATCACGGTGCTCGGTGGGAGCCTCTTGGCCCCAGGCCGTGCCACGGCAGCCTTAGCCCGCATAAGAGGCTGCCGCCGATCTTAGACCGCGTAAGCACCCCAGTGTGCACGTGCACACTTAGACCCGCTCAGCCTCGAGGCTCAGAACTTAGTAACGTACTTAGTCTACTGACTACTCTACGTTCTCTATCTACCCCCGCAAACCACCGCGAGGGTCCCCGCGGGCCCCCCCGGGCGGCGCCGGGGGAATTCAAGGGGACAGGGTAGAGACGAGAGGTAGAGACTCTGTCCTGTCTTCTCCGATGCACCGTTTTGGCGTGTTCATTTTGTTCAACCCATGAGTATCAGAGGATAATTGCATTCTAGGGTTCCAGAGGCAGAGCGGGGTCCGCCGCTTGGGCGGCTCGCTCTCACTCGTAGACCCACGCCTTGGAGTGGTCCTCCCACGAGACGACCTGAAGCAAGTCGATGGCCCGGGGAGGTCAGGGGAGTGGGAGAGGGTACCGGGCGCGGGAGGTCTCAACTCGGTGGGCGCGCGGGAATCAAAGGACTCGAGCTGCTGCAGCCAGCCTAGGGATCTCGGCGGATCTCGGCGGATCTCGACACGCACCTCGCCGTCCTTGAACCAGAGCGCAATCTCCTTTTCGGCGTTCTCGGCCGAGTCGGAGCCGTGGCAGATGTTGCGGCCGACGACGATGGAGAAGTCTCCGCGGATGGTGCCGGGCAGCGACTCCTGCGGGTTTGTCGCCCCGAGCATCTGCCGGCCCATCTTGACCGCATTCTCGCCCTGCCAAACCATGCAGCAGACGGGCCCGGAAAGCATGTATGAGAGCAGGTCCTGCGGGCGAGGCGCGGGTGATCGCAGTGTTCGCAGGTGGTCTCGGGTGATCTCGGGTGATCTCGAGTGATCTCGGAGGTCCACGACGAGGCGCAGAAAGAGTCTCAGGGAGCGTACGGCATGTCCGCACCGGGAAGAACTTCTTCTCGACGAGGTCGCAGTAGTGCTGGCGCAGCAGCGCCTCGTCCGCCTGGAAGAGCTTGAGCGCCTGCAGCTGGTAGCCGCGCTGCTCGAACCGCTGCACGATGTTGCCGACCAGGCCACGCTGCACCCCGTCCGGCTTAATCATGATGTACGTGCGCTCCATCTCCATCGCGGGCGAAGCGGCGCGCGGCGCGGCGTGGCGCAGCGGCGCGGTGCTGACACTGAGCGCCACGCAGAGCTGGGAGAGAGCGAGCATGGTCAGGGAAGTGGCTCGAAGGAGAAAAAAAATCGGGAGTAGTGCGCGGGAGCGGCGGGTGTGCGGGATGTCTGTGGGACCGAGAGAGCGATGTGCTTGTGTCCGCCTTGCGTTTGTTTTCATAACATCGAAGGCTAGCTCAAAAAAAATGGCCGCAATACGATAACGGGCCCGCCGACGAGCCGGAAGGCCGAGGCCGGCGTGCGGCGGGCCCCAGGGGGGGCTTGGGGTCAGTTGTCGGAGGAGGCGAGAGGTGAGCTTACGCGGCCTCTGCGAGTGGAATCGGGACGTACGAGCTCTCCGAGGGGAGGCCCGTCGCAGTGGCAGCCGGACCACCGTGATCTTCGACAGGGAGGGCCACGCCTCCCCGAGCTTGCAGAGGAGCCGGCGGTGGGGGGGGGGGCGAGCCGAGGACGATAGAGAGGCCGCGAGTGCGGGCGCGACTCGTCGACCAGGGAGAGCGGGCCCGTCCTCCCTGGGAGGGGCGGAGGCGACACGACCCAATGCCGCCATCCTCGCCCGGGGAGACCCCGGCCGGGCCGTCGACGCTCTCGGAGGCTGCGGTACCAGTCGAGGCGAAGCGGAGTCGAGGCCACAGCCGAGGAAGAGGCATCACCATCAGAAACGACTGCAGAGGCAGTCTGGTAACGCCCGGAAGGCGAGCAAGGGACCGGGACGAGCCGAGGGCTCGCCCCGACAGGCGAAGGAAGGGACTCTGGGACCGGAGTCGGGCGGGCGCACATGAGGCGTATCCGTGTACGTACGTGGAGTACAGTGTTGTGTGTCCGTTAGCTCCGAGTAGAGGGGGCGTTCTGCAGTTAAGGGGAAACCCGGTACACGGAACTAACCCTCGGGCACCCGTGTTTACTTTACGGCACAAGGGTGGCATGCTCTCCGGCGAGCCGTCGCAAACGCGTTTCCGTCCGCCCGTTTCATCGAGTTTGCCCGAGTGGTAAAATGCAATCGAATCTGCCCGAGTGGTCAAGTAAAACGTTGCCTGTCGTGAAAGTTGCCCGAGTGGTCTGTGGGGAAAAAACGAAAATCGAGACGGACTTCTTGAACGGCCAGGCAACATGTCTTCCTTACTATCATTAATTGATGCTTTTTGCACGGCTGAGCCCCCCCACCCCCCCCCCCTCCCCCGCGCCCACTCCCTGCCCTCTCCCGCCACGCACTCCGTCAGAGCCCCCTCCCCTCTTGCACAACAGGAATTTTGACAATTAACAAGGTGATGCGCGGCGCTGTCTCTCAAGATGGAAGCAGGAAGCTTCCATCCCGGCGGTGGTTCGAATCCACACGAGCCGAAGGGTGAAGGGGGAGGCAGGCCCGAGGTCTGAAGCTCACCCATTGTGGAAGTGAGAACTGCTCGACCCACCCCTGATCCTGCTGAACAAGCTCCTCTTGTAGCTCGATCGGTCACACCGCCATCGCCGTCGGGGAGAGGGGGGACGACACTGCCTCGGCAGCGTGCACCTCGATCCTGTACCGTGTTTGTTATGACCCCCCCCAATGAACACACCAGTGAGGGTGGGCGAGACGATCGAGGGGTCCCGTACCATGCGGAACCGACCCTATCCAGTGCTCAAGTGCTCAAGGGTGGTTGCCGGTAGATAGGACTGGGAATTGAAGTAGATAGCGCGGCGCGGCGGTGGGTGAGGTGGGGTGGGGGGTGGGGGGGGGGGGGCGGCGTGGCGTGGAGCTCCGAGATAGCGCGAGATCGCCCGAGATCGCGCGGCGCGGCCCGAGATCGCCCGAGATCGCGCGGTTCTGCGGTCGGCGAGGTGGGTGGGTTGGGAGCGAGGGGGCGGAAGTGTTCAGTGCGGTAGATGGCGAGCTCGAGGCGCGTGAGCCGGACTTGTGAGCCGGACCACCCCCTCTTGTTCTCTGCGTTGTTGAGCCAGGACTCAACATACTCGGGCTCGTAATCCCAAACTGTCACTCCCCTTTCTCCCGGCCGCGGGGTGGGGCGCGCGCGGGGGCGGCGGGTGTGCGGCGGGTGTGAGGGATGTCTGTGAGCCCGAGAGCGATATGCCATGTCCGCCTTGCGTTTGTTTTCATAACATCGAAGGCTAAGCTCAAAGTAAACGCAACTCGCTGAGATGTTCGCCTCGCGTTTTGTCTGGGCGACCCTGCCTGATCAGTCGGGGCACGCGCATTCCGCCCAATCGGCTTCGATGAATGCGACTGCGCACACGTACAACGCGAGCGCACCACAGGTCTTTCCCTACGGCTACGAGCACACCCAGACCGGCTCGCCGCTCATCATCCTCATCATTGGCGGCGTGGCGCGTCTCCTCCTCTTCATTTGCTGTGGGCTATTCGTCCGACAACGCATGCTGCCGGAGCAGAGCGAGATGCGCAGGTCGGCGCTTTGCTCCGCAATAGCCACGCTGCCAACCCGGAAGGCCGCCAATGAGGTCCACGAGTGCTCAATTTGCCTCTGCCCGGCGGTCGAGGGCGAAGAGTTAACGACGATGCCGTGCCAGCACGAGTTCCACACAACCTGTATAAACGAATGGCTGGTCCGTACGGCAGACGGCACCCCTGCCTCGTGTCCACTGTGCAAGTGCCCCGCCTTCGAGCCGCAGTTGAGCACGGAAGACCAGGTCTATCCCCACGGCTCATTGACCCGTTACATGATCATGAGGTGACAGGGCGTGTCGTTGCGAGGCGACGTTTGTCTGCCTCTCACTCAAGACGACAGGCGGCGCGTCCACGTGCAAAGTTCTACGGCTTGTGGCACAGTGCAGGAGGATGGGGAAGGTTGCGCAAATCGCAGCCCGGTCCTCGTGTGGGGATAGGTGAGTGTGCAAGTCACACAACATTGCATTGTGCAGCGTTCACAGTGGCGCCGCCTGCCACATGTTCTCGCTGGCGGTCGAGATGGAATGGCTCGCAATGATCGCAATCGTAACACGCGTCGTGCATAAATGCACGACGCGATGGCGAGCGAGCCGTGTGATCGGAAAATCCGTGTGTGACCGGCGCGTCTCGAGTTGCGGGTGTGAGCGTAACCGTGTGTGAGCGTGCGTGCGTGTGCACCCGTTTCAATGTAATACACACAGCTCCACGATGATCTCTCGGCGCGGGGAGTGAAACGCGCTCGTTCTCGCGAAAAGACCTCTCCGGACAGCGCCGCGTACCGCTTTTTTGCCTGCTTGCGGTCTCTCGAGAGACGAGAGTCGCCGCGCGTCAAGTTGGTGCCTAGGCTAGAGGCCGGTTGGAGAGTGGCCGAGAGGTGTGGGTGAGCGCGATAGAGATCAAGGGATCCCACGTTGATGCCTGGTGTATCAGCCTCCTCTCAAGCAAGCTCCATCAAACCGCCACGCTCTTGGGGACAGGCTGCGGCTCGGGTTGCGGGACCGCGTACACAGCGACGGCCGCGGGCGCTACTACCCTCATCGCGGTGGGTTGGAAAGGCGACAGGGGCGCGGAGGCGATGGCACGAGCTGCCTGCAGCGAAAAGACCGTCAGCAGGCCAAAGAGGACACAGGCCACGGAGTCAAAGAGGATGATTGGCCAGATGAGCCACGCGAACAATCCAGTCAGGTGCTCGCAATCCTCGCTGCTGCTGTCGTGGTTGCCCGAGGCGTATTCGTCGCAGTCGACACTGTCACTGGATACCACGGCCCAGAGCCAGACGTAGATGACCACGGCAGTGAGCTGCATGGCGGAAGCAAAGGCGCAAAGCCAGGCGGCGCCAACGTGTGCTCCATGCGATGGCGCGTCTGGTGTGCCAGAGCAACACAGGATTATCGAGGCGCCGGCTATGGCCAAGAGGCCGCTGAGCCCGGGCCACCAGTAGGTGGCGACGCCAAAGTTAAGAAAGGTGATTACCGCAAACACGAGAACGGCTGCTGCGAGGCTGCGTGCTTTGTTCACCTGGAGGAGAAGCCGCGGTTCAGCGTGGTGCGCAACGTGTGTGGGGCGCTGCTGGAGCGTGCCTCTGGCAGTGACATCGTTCTTGCCGAAGGCGAGCCGGGCGTGGCGAAGGCGAGCCGGATGTGGCAGGGAGCCGGACGAATGCGAGCGGGTCACAATCGCGGGCACGGCGGGCGGCGCCAAAGGAAGTGTCCATGTTTTCTTTTTACTAGTGTAATGTAAAGCTCTTCCGATATTCCATTCCTTGGAGTTAGGCTCGAGTCCCAGGCACCGCCCACAGTCTCACAGGGAGTCGGTGCTTGATCCGGCGCCCGACGCCCGGCGTTGCGAGGCACGCGGTGTGCCCGACGGTTCGCGCGGTCGCGGTGAAGGCTAAAGAGGCGGTCCTTCAAACGCTGGAATGCCTCGTTCTGCTTTCGCATCGAGCCCTCCAGCTCGCCTCCACTGCCGTGGTGCGTGGTCGCGGAACCACCGCGCACGCTCCTGCAGGAACTCGTCCTCAATGTCAAAGTCCGTGGCTACCGGTGCGGGCGAGAGCGGGCGTTGCATTTGCTGCTGTCGGCTGAATGATGCGATGGTCCACTCGCAAGTCACTGGCACCGTCGCGCCTCTCGGCACCTCGTCCCAAGGCCGGCCGTAAAATAAGGAGATGCGCCCCTGCAGCTCCTGGTCGAGCTCATATGCGTCGCTGTCGTCAGGCGCCTCCTCGCGTGGCCGCCTCACTGGCGAGTCCGGGTAGGAGAAGTAACAGTCATCCCCGTAGGCGGGCGAGCCAGGAGGTGTCGGACCTCCACCGCCTGGAGCAAGCTGCGCCTCGAGCCATGCCTGTGACGCCTCTGAACCCGGGTCGCGCAGGTATGCATCGGCCTCAGCAGCATCGCCCGTGTAAGCTTCATACGCGCAAAAGAAGGGGTTTACACGGCGGTTGCGAAAGTTGGCAATGCTGCCACGGGTGGAGAGGCCCCAAGCACCAGTCTCAAAATAACCCAAATTTTCTCTGAAGCGTGTGCGAGGTCGTCTTGCTTCTCTCGCTCAATCCGCTCACGCTCGAGTTTAGCCCGCTCCTCATGCCGATCGGCCTCAACGCCATCCCAGCCCTCCGGCACCCGATCCCCACCTGACGGCTGCCCGTCGTTGGCGCGCGGCTCCAAAAGCGCCTCGTCGAAGTAGTCACAGGTGACTCCAGGCACGTCTGGGGCGATGCCTACGCCATCGTAGGTGCACGTGAACGCACCCTCGCACATGCAACCGTCCATGCACTCGAGCCGGGCGCGCTCGTACGCTTCGGAGGCGCGCCACTCGGTGATGCGTTCACCGTCGATCGGCTGTCCAGGTTGCTGTGGGTCGAGCAGCCAGTCACGGAAATCCTCAACCTCCGCCACGCCGAGAGCTGCCTCCGACGCGACCTTTGCCACCGCAGCGTCAAAGGCGAGGCTGTGATTCCTTGCTCTCACGCTGCTCACGGCGGCGTCGCTGCTGGTTGGCCACTCATTTCGTCGCCCGCTCCCCTTGCGACATGGCGGCGGCCCTTCGCTTTGCGCCGCTTGCGAGCCCAGCGGTGAGCTGGTGATGCTGTGCTGTCGGCTGCGCTTGCCGGATGACTCCCCCACGACGCCAGCAGCCTTCCTGCGTGGTCGCCTGCGTCGCATCCTGCGTGGTCGCCTGCGTCGCATCCTGCGTGGTCGGTGGCCGGTGGCGGTTCGCGCTCTCGCTCCTTGCCCCCCATGCGCGCCGGCTGTTGGCTCCCGAGCTGAGGCCGACGATTTGCGGCGGGACGGCCGAGTTTGAATGAGCTGGTTCGCGGCTTCAAGAGCGGTCGGCGCTCCGGCACAAGAGCTCGACGAGCTAGATACTTGAGCTCAACCGCCGCCGCCTGCGCAAGAGCTCTCGACCGGAGTCGGACTTCAGACCCAACGCGGCCGTCAGAAATCACGCCTGCGTGGATCGCGTCACACCATTCCTCGCTACCCAACATACATATCCCCCTCGAGAACCTCGAGAGAGACCCTTCGCCGTGCAAAAAAATCCCTGCCCTGCCTTCCACGTCACGCCGCGCCGCGCAAGTCAGCCTCGGATTTTGATGTCGTCGCGTCTGTCGCCGTGCCTGGCCGTGGTCGCGCTGCTCGCGATCGCAGCGTACACCTTGTACCGCACCCGAGCGGAGCACCGCGTCGAGATCCCTCCCGTGCGAGAGCTCGCGGTGGCGGTGCAGGCTGCCAACGGGCTCTACCTGGCTGTCGGCGAGGACGGGCTGGTGCGGGCAGGCAGCAGGTCGCCCACCGCGCAGCAGGCGGCGCGCTTCCGGTTGCTTCCAGTGTCGCAGTCGTCCGCACACGAGCTGCAGCGCCTCTCCGCCGCCCACGAGCTCCGCTCCACCGCCACCAAGCGGCGGACGCGATCGGGATGTGAGTGCTCCGGCTTTTCGTCAGACTACGGATTCGGGCGGTACTGCCACGAGTGGGAGAGCTCCTTCGAAGACCCGTGGTGCTATGTCGACGACGCATGTGCCGGCGGACGCTCCAAACGGGGCTCCTTTGGCCGCAGGCATGAGACGTGCGCACTCGCGCCGCCGCCCTCGCCGCCGCCCTCGCCGCCGTTCCCGCCTCCGCCGCCGTACGTGGAGCCAAAGTGGCAGCCTCCGCCGGGGTGCAACTGCTCGGGCTACAGCAACGAGCACGGGTATGGCGCGCACTGCGCCGCGTGGGAGAAGCAGCACGACGAGTGGCAGACGCCGTGGTGCTATGTGGACGCCGCCTGCCCGTCCGGGCGCTCGGGCTCGTTCGGGCGCAAGCACGCGGACTGCGTGCAGCCGGTGGAGTCGTTTGGGGCGAGTCCGTTTGGAGGGGACGCCGGGCCGCGCAGCCTCGGCGAATCTCGGGGCGCGGGCGGGGCGCGGCGGCTCGAGGAGATCACGGTGCGCAGGTCTCGGTCGGAGGAGGTCATGATGTACTCTCGCTCGCGTCGCGAGCGCAAGTTTGCCCGGCGGGAGGCGGCCGAGAGGCAGGCGCAGGAGGTCGCCAGGCAGGCGTCTGACTTCTTTATGCTCGTCTCCGAGCGGACCGGCGCCTTCCTCGCCGTCGACCTGCCGCCGCACGACAGGGCGCCAAAGCTCCGCTCGACAGACGCGGCGGCCTGTGGGAGGTTGCCCGAGACCAACCCGAGATCGCCCGAGATTAGGCGCTGATGCTCCGCTCGACGGACGCGAAGCTGAGCGACGCCGCCGTCCTCGCGCGCATGCCAGACGGACGCATCCTCGCCGCCGCCGCACGGTCAGGCCCCTTCTCTCGTCGGCCACCTTCGCCGCAACACTCTCTCTCTGCGGCCCGCCCCCTCTCTCTGCCGCTCCCTCCCTCTCCGCTGCCATCGCCACCGCTTCCCTCGCCACCGCTCCCGCCGCAGCTGCTCCCGCCGCAGCTGCTCCCGCCGCCGCGCCCCCAGGTCCTTCCTCAATCTGTGCGGCCCCTTCTCCTCCCTCTCGTCCGGCGAGGCCGAGACGGGGCAGGCTGTCTGCGCGGGCGAGTCCGCCCATGGGCCGATCCGAGCTGTCTGCAACCAGCGTCTTCACGCGTCTGGCCGTGCGCAGGCACGCGCGAGTCGGCCGACGAGCCGCACTTCAAGCTGCTGCGCGGCAACCACGCCATGCAGATCAACACGACTGTGCTCCGCATTCAGCCACTGTGAGGGAAGAGCTGCGGGGCGCAGCGCCGCCAGCGCATGGCTTCCCCTCGGGCTCGTGTGCAGAATGGAGACAAGTGTGTAGCTGCGTGTGTCTCTGAGAGAGAGTCTCCGAGATAGCGTGGCGCGTACACGTATATGGCTTTGTGCGTGGTGATGGACCGAATTTGCGTTTTGCGCTGCCTCTTGCGCGCGTGTGTCTTGAGTGTAATTCACGATCAGGTTTTATATACGCGGCCCAGCGGGCGATGCGGCGGGGCTTCCTTTGGTGTGCTGGCTCCAGCTCAGGTCAGAGGGCCCAGCCACTCGTCGGTTGGGTGTAAACAAGCATCCCCGAGTGGCTTCAAACCAAACAGGGTGTGAATAGAGCTGTCTTGATGGTGCTGAGGACGAAGCCACCTCAAACGTTGATGAAGCCGCGAGTTTTTATGTATGTACAAAGAGAGACGATTTAGGTTTGGGGCAGCGCGAGTGGGCGAACTTTTCGGCGGTCGTGCTTTTCGGCGGTCGTGGAGGTCGTGGAGGTCGTGGAGTGGCGAGTCACGCTCGTGCGGACAGCATCGATGCCGTCGCCGGACGCGGCGGCGAGGCACACGGGCGCAGCGTGGCGCGTCGGCAGGCCCATCACGAGCGGATGCGCGACGAGCGCGCTCGGGAAGCGGCCGCGGGCGACGCGGAGCTTCCGCCGGAGGACGACGTGGTCGAGATGGCGAGCGCCGTCCACGTGCTGGACAGCGTGGCGGAGGTGGGCCCGAACTACACCCTGCTGCGCAGCAAGGAGACGAAGGCGAAGCGGCGGAAGCGACAGCGCGAGGATGCCAGGGCGGCGCTCGACGGCCACACTGTCCTGTCCACCGGATTGCGCCTCGAGATATTCTGCGACAGCGAGCGGTGGTACCCTGCGACCGTCATGGCGCGGGAGGAGGACGGGGACGGACGGATCGTGCACGAGGTCGAGTACGACGGCTACTCGGATCGGCGGTGGTGGCACATGCTGGACGACGAGCGGTGGCGAGCCGTCCCAGAGCAGGCCGGCGCGGGCGCAGGCGGCGCTGCCGGAGACGGGGATGGGTTGCGGCGATGGACCGCTAGTATATCCTGTTTTCGAAAGAAAGAAAGTGCCCCGTTTGTGCCGCGTCCCGTGCCCCCCGAGTTCATTTTAAAAAGAAAGAAAGAAAGAGACAACGCAAGGGAGGGATGGGAGGACGGCACGCCGCCACCACACAGGGATTTTAAGGAGAGGGGTGTGATGCGCTAGCCGTCGCCCTCCCTAACACTTCCTCTAGTTTTCATTAGCTGTGAATGTTTATGCCCGCCGCAGGACCGCCCTATTCCACTCGGCACGCGCCACGGGCCACGAGAGGCCTGGTAGAGCCCAGCTGGCATGTTCTATCGCCCGGGTGTCGGGCTGTCTGCATACAGACGTCTCGTCGCCGTGGCCGACGCGTGGTCCGACGTGTGGAGGAGTTTGACCTCAGCCAGGCCGTCGGTGTCGGCTGGCTGACGGCGGCCGCCGGAATCGCGATTCGCTCTGCCAGCTGCCAGCAGCCTCGTGTCGCCGCTCTCGTTGGCGCAGCAGCAGCGATTGGCCTTTGCGCCGTCGCTCGACGGCGTCACCGCCCATCTGACCTGCGCAGCTCCTGCAGCTCCTGCAGCTCCTGCTGTCAGTCTTCTGCTCTCAGACACGCACCTCACTCGCCGCACGCGGATTGTGCGCCGCGCCAAGCAGGACACGTGCTCATGCAAACAATGCGAGAACTTGGTTGCGCCGCTTAGTGGCGGCGCTGCTAGGAAGTGGCAGCGTGGGAAGCAAAGCAGATGGAGGCGGCGCGGCATGCCAAGGAGCTGCTGCTGGCGGAGGTTGAGCGGCTAAGTGCAGCAAGGGCCAAGGGCAAGAAGGGCAAGAAGAAGAAGAAGAATGTGGGCGTGGGCGATACGGGCGCCGCTAGGCTCAACGAGGAGATGCTGTGCATTACAGAGCTCGTAGCGAGCTCGATTTTGATGAGAATTTGATGAGAAATATCTCAATTTTGAGCAAAAAACGCCAAAAAAATCGGCGCCTGCGGCGGGCCAGCCTCCGGCGGCGCCTGCGGCGGGCCGCTGGGGCCTCCGCCCCAGACCCTGTTTACACCCGAGCTATGCCCCACGACCTGAGCCGGAGCCGCTATAACACGTTGCTGAGCCCTGGTATGCACCGCAGCAGCGCCCCGAGGGCCCAGCAGCCAATCACGGACAACGTCGACGTCGCCAGCCAGCCCAGCACGAGCGCCGCTTCGGGAAGCCGCGTCGCCGACGCCCAGCTGCCCGGCCGAAAGTAGGTTGGATGGCCGAGGGCAGCGAGAGCCTCCGCATAGCCGTACACGATCAGCGGTAGCACCAGGCCCTGGACGAGGTAAGCCGAGTAGGCCACCTCGCATAGCCGGCGGGACGAGGCCGTCTGCCAGTTGGCGTGAAGGCGGGACCAGTCGAGGAGCGCGACCGTGAAGGCCATGCAAAACACGCCGACGCACGTGCCGACGCCGAGCATGCAGAGCACGAAGCCGAGAGATATGGTGTCCACGTCACGGCCGTCAAAGTTGTCCTCCTTCGGGAGGGGCCCCGCTGCAGGATCCTCACCGGGCACGGCTGGCATAAATTTGAGGCCGCCACCACTGATGTAGAGCGTTGCGGTGAAGGCGAAGCCACCGGCGCCGACGATGGCGGAGACAATCCGTGCGGCTGTGCGCTCTGCGGCGCTCAGCTCTGGCAAGTGGACGTCGAGCCATCCGTTGCGACGGGCGCGGATGCCGCCTGCGAGAGAAATAAGCGTGTTGGGAGGAGGCTAGAGGGCAAGGGTTGCGTGTGGTAGAAGAGCAGTAGCAGGTTCCTCGCGGTCAGTTCCGGTCGAATCTCAGGTGTTCTCACCTTCGAAGAAGATGATGTAGAAGGGAAAGGTGCCAAATGTGAAGGGCAACGTTGCCAGGTTGGACACGAACGGCATCATAGCCGCGTTGAGCGCGCCGCAGCACGCGCCGAGCAGACACAGCGCGGCGAGCGAGGGCGGGGCCGAGGGGGTGAGAGACGCCGCCTCAGCGGCCCGCATGCGGAAAGAGTAGCCGGCGTTGAATATGCAGAGCCAGGCGAGGAACCACGTCGGCCCCGGGTCGGGCGCGTAGCCGGGCGACTGCCCGCGCAGGAGGGCCAAGAGGACGTTGATGGCCGGGCCAATGACCAGCACGTAGCAGACGAATGGGATGCCGAGACGGGTGAACTTGTCCTGCATGAAGGCAAACTCACCCTTGCGCTGGTGCGATGAGGGCGTAAAGTATGCCGAGATGAAGAAGAAGAGGCTCATGAAGTAGGATGCGTTGAGCGCCATGAAGGCAACACCAAAGGCCTGGAAGGGATGGAGGTAGTCGCCAAGCATGTAAGCAAAGCCGCCCGTACCGAGGAAGCTGGCGGTGCAGTGGTGCACTATCACGAGCACTGTGAGCCCCAGCTTGAGGATGTCCAGCCACAGGAGGCGTGTCTTGACCGGCTTGGTGGACTTGGTGGATTCCGTTGCAGTTGGGGTGTCATTGGCCACCCGCGGTGCTTCCTTCTGGACGTCAGCTGGCTTAATGGCCCTTTTTACACAGAGAGGCAGGAGCCGACCGACAACGATGCAGACCGCAATCAGCGCAGTGAGGGCCTCGTTGCCGAATGGCACAAAGGCGCACACGGGAATCGCCAGCAGCTGCACCGTCCAGAGCACAACTACGCGGCACGTACGCGACGCGCAGCACGGTGCCTTCTCCGAGGTGGACTGCATCGCCCAGTGAACGTAATTTAGTGCGATGCTTACGAGTACGATGGAGAGAGAGAGACGCGATGGGCATTTCGTTGTCGATGGTTGGCAACAGAGAGACGCACACACTAGTCCCAGCCGCCTTGTTTATTGGCAGGCCTCTTCTCCCTACCCCCCTTTCCGTGATCTCGCTCCCTGCGGGCTCCGCGTACATGCATCTAGATATTTTTTTGCGTCCAGCAGTATGCATGTGTGTATGTAGGTGAGAGAGCGACATAAATAATTAAATAGAGCAGGCATCTCCAGGAGAGATGGGCAAAGAGACGCTGGCCATCTTTGTTTTTTTTCGTTCAATTCGTCGTCGGCGCGTCGGGCGATTTTGCCAGAACCGCCCGCGTCGCAAAAGTTGCGAGCGCACGCGCGCCTTTCGTGCGAGTCATGACAAGTCCTGTCGCGGCGGGTCAAGGCTTACCAGTGGTGACCGTGACCAAGATCATCGACCACTCGCATTTGAATGCGGACGGAATGCTCTCCCTCTCCACCCTGCTGAAGGCGAGCCACACCACACGCAACCGCCCCTGCCCAAGCACTCTCGTCAGCGCCTCGTTGGCACCATAATAACATCTTTCCCGGCGCGCTCTCAAAAACCTCTCCCCTCCGCTTCAGTGGATGGACATCACCGCCTGCCTCGCCGCCGAACTGCACTGTGCGCCGGACGAAGCCTACGCGGGATGAGGCTGGCACAGCAAAGCCAGCGAGGCTCACTCTATCCGTTGACCCTCCTTACCGCAGGCCGCAAGATGAGCGTCACAATCTCGATGGACGAGGTCTCGTTCCCCGCAGAGGAGTATGGCAAGGTGGCAGTCGGGCAGGCCCTGTCGCTCCGCGGCCAGGTCAATAACGCCTTCAACACCTCGATGGAGGTCGGTGTTCTCGTCACCTCCGAGGCGCCACTTCCGAGCCACTTCTCACGTCACCCCAAGCGAATAGCACACCCTCACCTTATGAGGTGCATACAGGCGCTCGGCACGGGCGCCACGGCCACCGTCTGCCTCGCCTTCTTCATCTTCGTGGCGATTGACGAGTCGGGCGGCAAGGAGAGCGTCGAGCCCGGCGCCAGTTCAAGGGGATCCCTCCAGCTAGACTTCAGCCAAGCCTATTCGTAGGCGCGCGTCGAACCGGTCGTGCCGGTCACCTTTGAGGAGCAGCACGAGTTTGCCCTCGCCGCCGAGCGCCGCAAAGTACGCATCAAGCGGCGGCAGGTGAGAGATACTCTCTGTAGAGCCTTCACTGAAGCTCCAACGCACGCACCACAAGCTCGTTCACCTCACCGCAGGTCGAGAAGACAATGGCCAGCCGGCTGCTGCCGAGCCCGCCCGTCTCGCCCGTGACGCTCCGCAGCTCCGCCGTGCGCAGCTCTCAGTTCGGGTCCACCTCCGCCGCGCGGACTTCGCGCCGGTCGTGGGTCGGCGCGCGGGCGCAGGAAACGCTGCAGTCGATGGACACGACTCAGCTGGTCCTCCCGCACCATGCGAACCACCACGGAAACACATTCGGTGCGGGACACTTCCGAGACTTCCGCCGCCACCGCGCCACCGCGCTCCACCGTTTTGCACATTAGGAATACCCAGCTCTAGACAATGGCGCCACGATAACGCATCAGCGTGTCCGTGATTTGACCTATCAGGTGGACAAATCATGGCCTGGATGGCCGAATTTGCGAGTATTCTCAGCAGCCGGCAGGCGAAAGCGTCTCTCGCGGGAGGGCGACCGGCGGGCGCTGTGCAGGTGCACATCGAGGCGATCGACGCGCTCCACTTTATCTCGCCCTCCAAGACGGGCGACCGCATCTCGCTGCACGGGCACGTCACGCGCGTTTTCGGCACCTCGATGGAGGCAACATGTCCAAACAGATAGCACTCATGGACATCAAAGAGGGAGTGGCCACGGCTGGCGCAGCGTCAGCCCGTCACAGTCCGTCTTATCCACCATTGCTTGCGCTCCGGCTGCCCCTTTCGCAGGTGGAGATCTCAGTCCGCGCCTATGACGTGGCCGGCGGGCAGGAGAGCGCGCGGCACATCAACAACGGCTTCCTAGTCGTGCAGGTCTTGGGCGGCGACGGCCAGCCCCTCGCCCTTCGGCCGAGCCGCGCAGACATGACTGGTGACGACCCCGAGTCGCGGCCTCGGCACGAGGCGGCCGCGTCGCGAGAGGCCGTGCGCGCGCTGCGCAGGCAGATGGGGTCGCTGCAGGTGCACACTTCTGCGATACTTCCGTCCTATTTGCACTGTGGCCAGAGAGCGGTTGCTCTTTTGCTGAGACACGTCCGAGGTTGTGGGAGTCGCGGTTTGCCCTGCAGGCGGGCGCCATGACATGGTCCGAGGACCTCAAGGAAGAGATGTGCATCTGCAACCTCTGGGGCGAGCTCCACATCAAGTTGCTATAATTCATCTTCGCCACATCTGACTCTTGCGATTTCTCCATAGGCGTGCTCCGCATCAGCCATGTCGACGAGTGGCACGAGCTCGCGGCCATGCCAAGGGGCAGCCCGCTCCCGGCGCCACTCGCCGCTTTGAACGCCGGCTCTGACGTAAGCCCGGCCGACATTGCCCTCTCCGCGAATCTTTGCACGTGGGGCTTGCCGCTCCTCTCAATCCGCGGGTGTTTGTCCGTCGACACCCCGCCGCCGCTCGTCTTTGAGTTGCTTAAGTCGCCGGAGAGGCGCGCCGCGTGGGACGTCCTCCTCAAAGAGGGACGGCTCGTTCGTCAGATTGGGCCGGACAACGCGATCGTCCACGAGGTGTCACTGAGCTTTATTCTCGTCTACTGTACTTCTGGATGAGCTCATACACCATGAGCTCACCCCCTAGGTCTTTGAGCCGCTTAGTGGCGATTTGGGCCGGCCGCACGACTACGCACTGATCAGCTCCTGGCGGTGCGCGCGGCCGACGGGCCCGCCTTGCCTGGCCGCTCCGAGATTGGCCAAAAGTCACCTGAGATTGTTCACGGTCAGGTGTGAGAGCGACGGGTCATACGTGATCGCTTCGCGCTCGATTGTCGTGGAGGAAGTGCCGCCCTCGCCGCAATACCAGAGGGGCGAGGTGTTGCCTTCTGGCTGGTGGATACAACCGCAGACAGACGGGTCTGGCAGCGAGCTAACGTATGCCATCTAGGGGGGCGAAGGCTGCTGGGCCATACGATTGGCCAGGCTCGGCGATCGGTTGTAGGTACGTCATTCAGATGAGGGCCGAGCTTCTTGGCGTTGGCACAGATATTGCGTCGGCGCGCAAGGTTGCGTTCTCGCTTATGCCCAGCCTACTTGGCCTCGTGCGATTGTTGCAGTGCGGGGCGGGGGCGGGGGCAGAGGGCCAGGAGGGGCTCGGCTCGGACTTGCGTCAGGTTTTGCTCGCCATGACGTTGGCCCTATCTGTACTTGTACCTCCGCGATGTATCGGCCATCTCTTGGCTCTATAGGACCTTCTCACCAAGATGCGCACCCTCTTCCACCGCGGCAGCAGCGAAACCAAAAAGAACGAGCAGGTGGTGGAAGGGGCAACGACGGGCCCTTTTGTGAGCCTCCTCTCAGGCAGCCGCGGCTGATGCTTTGCATCTAGCGCTCTTTTTGATTGTGTGTGTTTTGAGAGTTGTGTGTGCGAGCCCTGGGACCACTGTTACCGCCCACAGCTGCCAGCCGATGTATTTTTTGTCCCCGCGAGATCTATTGTTCTTTGTTGTATACAGAAGCTGGGATCTCTGCTGAGGGCCGGTGTGACTGAGGGAGAGTCGGCCCGTCGCAGCTCCCTTGGCTGTTGGCTCGTGTACACGACTTTACATCTGCACCTCATCGCCCAAGCAGCCGCGGTGCGCATCTCTCTCTTGTGTCGCTCATTTGGTGCTTCCCTCCTGCACTCCCGTCGGCGCCTCGAAGGCACTCGCGTTGGAGAGTAGTCTCGCCTCACTGTCCTCGCCCTCTCCCTCCTCGCTGGCTAGCAGGCGCAGCGCCACCTACGGGACGTGCTCCGGACACTTCAAAGATGCCCGTCCCGGCCCTGCTCGCTAGCTGACGCACACCACAGATGCGGTGGCGCTGCGCACGTCGTCGTTGGCCGCTGCCGCACCAATGGCGGGCAGCCGCAGCAGCGAGAAGCCGGTGATGGCCAATAGTGCGAGAGCTGCCCCCGCCATGCCCTGCGAGCACAGAGACGATCCGAAGGAGGTATGGGCAATGGGGCAGCCTGCTTTCCCAATGCGAGCCAGTGTTGCTACAGTGCTGACTGCAGAGTCCTGCGGCGTCGGAGGAGCGTCGTAGAAGAGCGCGCCCACGACGATGACGGAGCAGGTTTTGACCTACGATAGCAAGGAGATGGGCTGGCCAGAAGACAGCCGAGAGATAGCCGAGAAACAGCCGTACGGCCTGACCTGCCCAAGCAGCACGTGTGCCAGCGCGCTAATCAGCCCGAAGATGGCCGTCGCCGACGTGGTCGCCTAATCTCGTAGGAGAAGGTGATCTCGGTGGCTGTCACCTGTCAGCGAGGTAGCCATCGTGATGTGGTCGCCGCTAGCGCAGCGAGCGCACTCGCCAGGATGAAGCCGAAGGTCCTTACGCTTGCCTAGGAAGAGGCAAGTGCGACGGGTGGTGGAGAGTGGCGAGGGAGGAGCGGTGAGGCGCGTGCAAGCTGTACCGCTGTACGTCGACCGAGCTCGTTTGTATCTCGACTGTATGTCGGCCGCATCTCGAAATCCCGATTTTCATCTCGGTTTGCCGGCTGAATCTCACCCAATCGCAGGTGGCGAGGTGCGGCAGGTCCCGGTCCAGCAGCGGCACGTAGGCGAGGGAGAGGAGCGTCATGGCGGGGAGCGCGTTGCTCAGCACCTGCAGCGCACTGAGCCCACCGACCTGTTGCACGTGCATGTTGAGCACCTTTTGTGCCGCCGCGGTGATGACTGCCGAGCACGCGATGAGCGCACCATAGGCGTTGACCTGCACGTCGTCGACGCTTGCCACGCCCACACCGAGGCAGGCGAGTACCAGCGCGACGCCTTGCAGCAGCGTCGTGCGCCGCCCGTACACCACAAAGTCAAATGCGACCAGCGATGGTGTCACAAGGATCTTAACGAGCTGGTAGAAGCCGACGGAGTTTCGGTCGAGCGAGACGTTGGAGAGAGCGTTGCACGCGCTCCAGCAGCACACGAGGAGGTAGAAATTATGGCGCTGCGTCAGCGGGACTGGCCGCTTCTCAAATCCGCCCGCCACATGCACGAACTCGATTGCTCGCCGCGACAGCGTAGTGCAGCGTCGTGAGCGCTGCAGGGAACGGGAAGGACTTGAAGGTCTCGCGGTTCAGCGAGATGCACATGATGGCGGCGACAAAGTTCGCTGAGAGCAGTGCGGCGTTGCGGGCGATGGACATAACGCACGATGGTGCGCAGCACGCGCGCGGCGGCAGACCGGCAGTGCGGTATCAATACAGCAGGGATGGTCCCCGAGGGCAAGCGTGAGCGGGGGCTTCGCCGGCCGAACGAGACACGTGTCGGACGTTCTGCGCGCGGGAAGTGCAGGATTCTGTGATCTGTGATCTGTAAGGGTCCGCTGACAGGCGCATTTTGTATACCGAGGCGGTGCCCGGTGCCGAACCTGTCGGACCTTAAGACAGCGTTGTAGATCCCTGGGCGAGGGTGGTGGCGTCCCCGTCGGGTCAGGGCTGAGGGCGGGGGAGACCAACCCGATCTCTCCGGCGTCCCGGGAGCGTGATTGCCACCTCCCCCTCTGCTCCCCCTGTGCCAACAGCCCCGTGGGGGTAGACCGCTCGTCTAGCCAATCAGCCTTAAGCGAGCGGTCTGGCCTTTGGAATGGCCGAGTTTGGTGTGGACTTGCGTCCTCGCATCGATCGTGGTTGTAGGGATATCGTTATGAACAACAATCACCACTCAGGGAGGCGGCTGTCCCTGAAGGCGAACCTCAGTTACGAGCCACCCCCCCTACTTGCCTCCTCTTTGTTCCCTGGCTTTCTGTCTCTTGCGCGCCTGCCGTCCAAGCTGTGCCCCCCGCATCTCGCCTCCTCGCACCCACCCCGGTGGGGGGGCGCCTTCGTGCCTTTCGTCCCCTGCAGTGCGTGCGCGCTCCTCCCCGTACGTCACCGGCCCCCCGTCCTCTGAGTGCTGTTGGCTCGCTCCCTCTCCCTGATTCATCGAGTCGCTACGTTCATTCTCAAATCGCCCCCGCTTCCTCGGCGGCTGGGACGTCTCGTGCTCTGGCTGTTCCTCGTCTACGTCCATCACTGTGAATTCGTCGTCTGCCTGGCTGCCTTCGTTTGGGCGGCCCGTTTCGGGTGGTTGCTCGCTCGGTCCTGGCTCTGCTGCGCGGTCGCCGCTGTCTCCTCGTCGTCGCTTCTTGCGCCAACGTCGCTGTCGTCGTTGGCTTGGCCGGCGCGGGCTTGCCTAGTTTCGCCCCCCCTGTGCCCGAGCCGCAGTTCGAATCGTATCTCTGGGCCGGCGCGGGGGCCCCAGAGGGTGTCCATGCGGGGGGGAGATGGGGTCCCCCAGCCCGCCGCAGGCGCCGATTTTTCCGCGCTTTTTTTCTTTTTTGGCGATTTTTTACTTGTTTTCATGGGAATTCGGGCGTCCTTGCGGGGCCATGCTATCACGCCTTGCGACAGCCTGTCGGCGCTGCTGACCGTGCCATGATGCACAATTGATCACCTGCATAGCTCGCGGCCTTAGTATCAAGCATTCAGTGACGACCTGATCGTACGGCCAGTAGGAAGGTGTCCTTCCATCGTGTGCACGCTTCTGACGCAATGCGCGTCACCTCGGATTGGCTGCTGGCACTCTCGAGGCTATGCCTACACAGCCTCGCGCGCATGGGCAGTCAAAAGGGACCACGCACCTTCTCAGGACAGCGCCGGTGCCTCTCTCTTGGACCGGCAAACTTGGTGGTATCGTGTCACCAATGTGGGACCAGTGCGGCATCGCGCCATCGACAGCTCTGAACTGCGCCTCACCACTGACCGGGAAGGCCGCCAAGTGGGCCAGCACAGGTCGCACATGTGGCAGCAGTCAGCAGTGCATGGCTGATAGCTAGAGCAGCAGCGTCAGGGTCGCAGGGTCGGATCGTGTCAAGCCTCTCGCCCGGCCGGCCGCGTGCAGACGTTGGCCTGTCTGCTGTCTGCAGTGATCTGTCGGCGGTCAGTACGACCGATCAGGTTGGAGGTTTCTCATGATTGGAGGGTCTATCTGTGTGTACTCCTTGAGATCTCTCCAAATCTGCCCTCTAATCAACCGTAATCATTCGGGAAGTTGGTGCTCTGAGCGACTCTGTCTCTGAGCGCCGGAGCCCCGGTTTTCCGCACTGCGGCGCGGGGCGCACGGTGTGGGCCGGGGCCCCCGCGCCGGCCCAGAGAATGGTATTCGATCCATGAACCGTTGCGCCGCGAGCTGGTTCCGCCGTTCTCTCCTCGCGCGCGTCCGTTGGCTGCCCTGGCTGCTCTGGCTTCTAGACACATATGGACCTTCAAACTTTGACACACCACACACGTTTCTTAGTCATAGATAGTCTCCAGAGTCCCGCGAGAGAGACTCTCCGCAAACGCGCACCCATGCCACATCATCTCCCGCCCGCACGTCACACACCGGCCAGCAGCTCCGTAAACCGGCTGAGCACGATCTCGTTCTCGCACGAGACCGCCCTCGCATTGTAGGGCGGGACGCAGCGCAGGCAACCGAGCACCTGAGCATTTGGGGTTGGGGGTCTCGCCGTGATGAAAAATAGTCGGGGTCTAAAAGCGCTGCGGCGCACCAGCAAGTCTTCCCCTCCGCACCCCTCCAGCTGGAAGGGGATGCGCTGCCGCCGGAGCGCCTGACGGAGTGTGTGGTGATGGTGGTGTGGGAGGGAGGGCGGAGGCGGCGTGCTTGGCGGAGATATGGGGAGATGCGGCGAGATGTGGGCGAGATGTGGGGGAGATTGGGCCGAGTTGGATTTGTGCTACTGGGAGGCGTGCGGCGGATCTGCGTCGATCTACGGGAGAAGAGACGTGGTGACGTTCAAGGGACCACACGCCATTGGCACGGCGAACCGAGCTCGTGTGAATATGAGTGTGCGTGTGCGTGTGTGCAGTCTGCGTGTGCGTGCGTGTGTCTGTTGAGATGTGCCCCTCTCCGGGACGCCTCGCAGATGGCGTCTCTTCGCCCCTCGATCTCCGCGGGCGTGGCGGTCGAGTCGCTCTGCCTCGACGCGGGCGCCAGGGCGGGCGGGCGGCCGCAGTCCGGCGGCGAGCGAGGAGTGCCTACGCGGGAGGATGCGGACCACGTGGCACGTGGCGGCCGGCGCAGCGGAAATGTTGAGGACCAGTCTCGCCGTGTGTGGAGACCTCCGCGATGGCGTCATGCAGCAGTACCATTGGCAGCACGGCGCCGGGCGGGCCGGCCTGCGAGGGAGCGAGAGTGCCATGAGTCGAGCTGCAAGTCGAGGCGCTGTCTGGGAGCGCGCGGATGGACATCTGGCACTGTGGTGTGGCCGAGGACAGGCGGACGCCAGCCATAAGCAGTGGCCGGTGGCGCTTTGCACCGGTTCGGGCCGGAGGAGCACGACGTTGCCCGTCTCGGGGTCCACAGCGTGCACAAAGCCGAGGTGCACGCTGCCGTCGATGAGGTGCGCGGTGATCCAGGCGCCTGGGGCAGAGGTGGTCGGGCTCGCTGGTAGCGGCGCTAGAGCAGCGGCGCCACACCGGACCTGTCAGGCCGAGCAGCCCCTGGCGGCTGCTGCTGGGCGACTGCATCCGCTGCGTCTTGGCCTCTGCCCTCTAACGACACGGCGCGCTCTGGTGAATTGAGAAAATCAGGCACACCGCCCCCGGGAAGCCTGCGGGCGAAGTTCTTTCGAGGTCTTGAGGCGAGCCGAGTTCTGCTGCGAGAACACGCTGATCGCCCTGCGCTCCGCCATCGCTCAGGTCCCAAACCGAGCATGAAACCGCGCGTAAGCGTCGCCCTCCTCTCCTCCCTCGCCATCGGCGCACGGGCACTGTCATTAGCAGCGCCGCATGCCGCGGCCGGCTGCTCGCGCACGCCCGTGCTCAGCATGGGTCTCTTCCCGAGCGAGGAGGGTGCGGCGACGGTTGAGCCACGCAACGTGCGCCTCGCTCGGCTGCTCGGCGCGCTGGTCGGCGCGAGCGAGGCGGACGCGGCGTCGCTCCTCGATTCACACACGGAGCTGCTGCTCGAGCCGTTTTCGGCAGGCTCGCACGTGTCTGGCTCCGTCTTTCGCGACGGCATGACGCTCGACGACAAGCTAGCGGAATATGAGCGCTCGCTGGCCGAGCGCATCTCCGCTGCCTCGTCTGAGCCGGTCGCCTCTGCGCTGACGGCCATGCGCGACCACACCATTGCCGCTGCTGCGAGGCTACGAGGCGGTGCGGTCAGCCGCGCTTGCGCAGTCCGCACGGCGACCGCAGCGGCGGCGGCGATGGTGCGGCTGCCCGCTTCCGCTGCCGACCCGGCCACGGAGACGCGCGCATTGCTCGCGGAGGCGCGGCGCCAGCTCGATCCGTGCCAGGCGCAGATTGCCGACGGGAGCTGGGACGCCGTCCGCACGGTGGTCAAGACTGCGCCGCTGGCGAGCGTGCCCAAGCTCGTCACGAGGTATATCGCCGAGCAAGGCGCCGCCGCCGCCGAGGGAGGCTCGTCGGCCGGCTCGGCGGCACCCTGACCTCCACCCTCGGCTGCACCCTCGGCTGTAGGCGAAGCCGCCGAGGAGCTCGTCGTGCCTCGGCAAGACTTTGTGCAGGCACTGCAGCTCCTCGACATGGGCGTGTACAACAACAACTTTGTGTCGGAGCAGAACTCCCCCGGCGCGCGTGGCAAGGGCGTGCAGGTGTGGGAGAGAGGGAGAGGGAGGGAGACAGAGAGAGCTCTCTCGGCCAACCTCAGACATCTCGTAAACTCTGGCTAGCCCTGCCTCTCCGCCTCGCCTCGCCTCGAGCTGTGCCGGCGCACGACTCCTCCTCCTCTCCGCTCAACGTGGCCAGCCTGTGCGTGCAGGTGGACCGAGAGACGCCGTTGCGCCACCTCGCCGAAGCCAAAGCAGCGCTCGACGAGATTCTCGCTTTCTCGGCTGCCGGTGGCGTCCCGTAGCGGTGGTAGCACTTGGAGTGCAGTCATTAGCCTCACACCCCAGGGCCGGGGAGCTAAGTCCTAAGAAGCGCACCCAGCGGGCCGGATGATCGACGGGATCGGGCTACGAGCAAGAAAGCCCCGACGGTGACACTGGGGGGTGCGCCGTGCGCTTTCGCAGCAGGGGGGCAAACGTAGACAGGAGAGCACTTGGAGTGCAAAAGAAAGAAAGAAAACAGACAACCCAAGGGAGGGATGGGAGGACGGCACGCCGCCACCACACAGGGATTTTAAGGAGAGGAGTGTGATGCGCTAGCCGTCGCCCACCCTAGGGAGTCTGCCTCTTCCTATCTCTTTTCGCAGTCTCTCGCCGATTCTCGCTGCAACCTTCATGCCACCTCGCGGCCGTCCCACTCTCGTCGTTCTCTCCCTTGTCACTTCCTCCTCTGTCGCGTCATTCTCTTCTGCCTCGTCCTGCGCCGCCGCCGCCTGCCGTTCCCTTGTTCTCTCGGCTTCTTTCGCCTTTCGGCGCAGCTCCGCCCTCCTTGCTGCATATCCTGGCCCCTCGAGTCTATCGAGCTCCCCTCGCGCAAGGACCACATTTCTGACTCCCACTCCGATCATTTGCCTCCAGGTCATGTTGTTGCTCAGGTCCACTCTCTCTTCGAACACTCGTGCCTCTACGGATGATGCCGGCGCTGGGGTCCCCTTCGGATGCATCGTGACATCTGACAACTGAATTTCCACTGGTTCGTCCTCCTCGGAGTCATCTTACTTGGAGTGCAGTTGGGAACGCCATTATTCATTCTTCATCTTCGATCAAACCTGCTCACTTTGCAGGCAGGGACACGCAGCGCTTCTGCCACCCGCCTCCGAGATGCCCCCGTCCGGGCCCCACCGACCGCCGCGTGGCTCCCCGCCGCTCATCGATGACGCCGGCGAGGCAGAGCCCGACTGGCTCCGCGAGGCGGAAGCTGCAGTCTCTCCGCCCAAAGCCGCTTCCAAGATTGAGCGCCGTGGCTCCTTCACGAGGATCGTCAGCCGGCTTCGCGCCGCTTCGCCAGGCGAGGAGGAGCCGCTGTGGTTGCAGAGCGCCGCCGAGCTCGTATCTCTGCATGACGACGCGCCGAGCGATGCGGCGCCTAGGCCGAGCAGGCCCGGGTGGCGCGGCGGCGCTCAGCCAAAGGCGGGTCTGGTCTGGGTGTGCTTCACGTTGCTTGGCGCAGCCTGCGGCGCCGCGGCCATGTGCGGCGGCGCGTCGCTGGCCGTCCAGCTCTGCGCCGGCGTCGCACGCGCCACCGGCCGGTGCCCGGCACGCCTTGACCGCAATGGCGCTCTTGAGGCTGCGCTGGCAGAGGTCGCGATGCTGCGGAGCGAGCTGGCACGGAGCGAGCGAGCGCTGGCTGAGGCGACCCGAATGCAAGACACGGCAGGTGTGTGGGGTTGGTGGCTCTGCGCTGCGGCTCTCGTGGGCTTCACCCTCGCCATGGCAGCCATTGGAACGAGGGAGCTGGTGGCGAGCCATGTGTCACAATCGCACACTCACCGCGTCAACACACCGAGCTGAGTGAGGGGGCGGGTTCGTTTACGTGGACAAATAATATTACGACCAAGACAGAGCTCACATACATCACACACACACCGCCGTCGCAAGCGCGGAAGCACGACGCGCGCGTCATGTGCGATGTGGCGGCTGGCGCGCGCGTGTCGTGCTGCTGAGGTGTATTTTTTGCGTGCTGGTGGTGTATTTCTGTATTCGTGTGTATATCCTGTCCGCGCACGGAGTGCTGCTGCCCCGGACGTTCCGCTCACGCGCGACGCGGCACCGCACACGCGCGATTTCCTGTGCTCCGACGCATCACGAAAGGTTCAGATCGAGAAGCCGCGCAGCGAAGCGCCCATGGCGTGGAACCAAATCTGCTCGCTCCGCACTGCGGCGGCGGCGGCGGCGGAGGTGGGCGGGGAGGCGGGGTCGATGCCGTCCACTGGCGCGTCGCACCAGCCCAAAGCCTCGTCGAGGGAGGCTGAGCCGGCCTCCGCAGGCGGCGCGCCGAGCTCGATAAAGCAGGCGTGAGCGCGGCGCAGCTTGAGCCGCAACGCAGGCCGTGGGCGGAACGGGCTCGGCAGCGGTGCGGCACGAGGCGCCTGCAGCAGCAGATGCAGCCGGCAGAGGCCGAGTCGGAGGCTGGCGAGATCGCCGCACACCTGGCGCCGAGTGAGGGGCGGCGGGCGGTGAGAGCGCGGACAGGGCGGAGAGATTGAGGGACGGGGAGGCGTGGCGGGTGGGCCTCACCCGGACGAGCTCTCTCACGAGACGGCGCTGCAAGCCGCGCAGCTCTGCAGCGGAAGGCGCGGCGGCGGTCGGGCCCGCGTGGCCTCGGACCAGGAAGACGGCTCGCGGCGACGCCAGCGAGCCGCCGAGGACGAGCGCAGCCACCAGCGGCGGGCTGCCGCCGTGTGCGCTGCCGGGAGGCTGGACGGCGGCGAGGGCGCGAGGCAGGGCGCCAAAGAGGAGGTTAAAGGAGGCGACCAGCTTACGCGTTCGGCGAAGCATTGTCCGCCGGCGCGAGGCCTTGCGGCAGCGGCCCGGTGCCGGCCCGGATGGGCCGAGCGCCTCTGCCGCGAGGGCGTCGTACGGCCCTGGGATCTGGCCGTGGATATACAGCACGTGCTTGGCGAGCGCCTCGAGCAGCGCGCCCGCCGCAGCCGGCGACGCCGCTTCGGCGAGGGCCACGGGCGCGTGGAGGCGCAGCAACTGCTTCGCTGCGCGCGGCGCCATGCTCGGAAGCCCTTCGTCCGAGCCTTTCGAAAAAACCGCGGTGAAGGGTACTTGAGCACTTGAGCACTGGATAGGGTCGGTTCCGCATGGTACGGGACCCCTCGATCGTCTCGCCCACCCTCACTGGTGTGTTCATCGGGTGGGGTCATAACAAACACGGTACTGTGATCTGTGATCTGTGAGGGTCCGTCCGCCCGCAGGCGCATTTTGTATACCGAGGCGGTGCCCGGTGCCGAACCTGTCGGACCTTAAGACAGCATTGTAGATCCCTGGGCGAGGGTGATGGCGTCCCCGTCGGGAGGGGCTGTGCGGCTGTCTGGGGGGGTGCCCTCCCACCGTCACCTCACCAGCGTCCCGGTGAGTACGGCGATCAGAGCTCCCCCGGTCGTCGCGCTAAACCGTAACCCGCCGAGGCGGGCCGGATCCACGCGTTGCCAGACCGCCCCGTTGGAGGTAGACCGCTCGTCTAGCCAATCAGCCTTAAGCGAGCGGCCTGGCCGTTGGAATGGCCTAAGACCAGTCCCCGTCGGGAGAGATCGTCTGGCGGAGGTGATCCTCAAGAGGTGATCTACCGTCACCTCGCCGGCGTGCCCGGCGAGTTCGGCTTAGATCTCCCCTCCCGCGCCAGACAGTCCCTGTGGTGGTCACGCGGCCTCTGGCTGGAACGGGATCTACCTCGCAAGCGAGTCACCCGGGCCGGCGCGCGTCTTCCGGGAGAGGGGCGGGAGCGAGGGACCTTGTCATGCGACGCGGGGCCGTCCGTCGACGGGGCGGCGTCGGCCTCCGACTCGCGACGGCGGTGCGTGGGTGGCGCCGCTCAGGCGACTGCGCGCGCGCCAAACCGGGAGGTGCACTCCACCATCACCCAATTTGATCGGGGGGATCGCCCGTTCGGGCTGGTTGTCCTCGGCGCCGGGCGCCTACGCGAGGGGAGCATGGACGACTTCATTCCCTCTGGCGAGCTCGCGTACCTTGCGGTGGACCTGCGGCGGGGCAGCGGTATGGACGTGCAGCAGCGGGCTGTGGCCGACGCCATCGGCGGGCGGATCTCATCCGGGCAGCTCACCGGCGTGCACATCTCGCTCAACTGTAGCACGTGGTCGCCGGCGCTGTGCCTGTCGCAGGACGGCGGCCCCCCCATCGGCCAGTATCGTGGACCCGACGCCCCGAGGGGGAAGCCCTCGCTGAGCCCGGAGAAGCTACAGCGCTGTGAAGCCGATAGCCAGGCGAGGGACAACTCGCTTGCGCTAGCGTTGCAGATCCATCGCCGCGGCGGCTCCGTCTCGATCGAGAGCTCGCCCGACTGTAAGGACTCGAGCAAGCCGTGGTTCCGATCAGGAAACGGCTACAGCACGGCAGATCACTACTCTTACTGGGACGGAGAGGACATGCAGACGTACATCCGGGAGACCGAGTCGGTCTTTGTGACCCTGCCGCGCTGCGCGGCGGCCGAGGACGACTCTAACCCGGGCTACCAGAAGTACATGACCTTTCTGCTCAACCCAGCCGCGGCACGGCGAGCGCAGCTGCTGCGGCAGCTCTCGGACAAGGGCTGCACTCACCGACGAGGAGAGCACGTCCGGCTTCGGGGCAACGACGTCGACGGCGTGTCCCACAGCCGCAAGGCGGAGGAGTACCCTCCAGCTCTCTCTCGGGCGGTCGTGGCGCTGCATTACGACCCGGAACCACCCCCCGCGGCGACGGCTGATCAAGCTGTCGTGGTCGCACCACCTGATGCCGCGTGGGGCGGCGCCGTGCAGCCGCCTTCGGAGGATCCACCCACAGACGGGCGCGCAAGCGGCAAGCGAGCGCCGAGCGGGGCGCCACCTCAGTCAGGCGGCCGTGGCGGCGGCATTGCGCGGTGCGCAGCCAGGCCAGCGGCACCGCCGTGTGCCTCCTCCTGTCGACGCTCCTCCTGCTGCCTCTTTTGCGCGCGGGCCTCGGAAAGCTGAGCCTTGTTCCACACGGCATAGGAATTGCCGTGGCACGAGTTGTACCGAGCAGGCGGCATGGCGAGCACCTCTTCCGCCGCGAGGCCGAACTCGGCGCAGGCGCGGCTGAGCGCGAGCACCTGCTTCTCGTATGAGGTCTCGACGGCAGGGCGGCCGTACGAGTAGCCGCGTCGCATCGCACCTCAAAAGGCAACGCAGGACGCGCCCGTCGCCACCGAAATGGGCGCGAAAGCCGAAAGCGAAAAAGCTTCTGAGACACCCCGTCAGCAGTTCACCCTCGGTATGTAATCCCTGTGTGGTGGCGGCGTGCCGTCCTCCCATCCCTCCCTTGGGTTGTCTGTGTTCTTTCTTTCTTTCTTTTACCCTCGGTATGTTCGTAAGAAAGAACCACATACGACCAAAAAGACAAAACAACACGGGGGTGAACACAGCTAGGAACACTGCTACGTGGGACTAGCACACCTCTGTCAAGAGTCCCCAGAAACGAGGAGTCACACAGTCCACCTGTGTGTGTGATGCACGCCCTGTGTGATGCACGCCCTGCGAGCGGGGCGGGGTGCGCAGGTGCGCACTGTGACTCTGTGCCTCTGTGTTCGTGCGTCGCCCATCTCTCCTGGAGGTGACTGATCTATTTATTTACTGCTACGAGGGAAGAAAGAAAGAATTGACGGGGGAACGGGGGTGGGAGAACGGAACACAAACGCGGGCACAAAGCTCAAAGGAAATCGGCTGTGATGGCGAAACGCGGATCCTCTTATCTAGCCGTCGGAGGGACTCCGTTTGCCGCGAGGGGTCTCCCTGAGGGGTCTCCCTGGGTGGTCTCTCTGGGGGGACTCCCTAGGGGGACTCGCTGGGGGGGGTCCCTGGGGGATCTCCATGGATGCTTGGGGGCTTCCATCAATCGCTGGGGGGCTGCCCATGAATCGCTGGGGGGTGGGGGGAAGGGGGCAACGAGGCGCAGCCCCGCCCGAAGGCCGCGCAACGATTGGGACGCCAGTTGCGGAGAGTTTTTCTCCGAACTCGCACTGCCCCGCGTCGAGAGAGAACGCCACCATCTGAGATATGACGAGGCTCTTGCTGCTGCTGTGCGCCTGCCTCGCAGCGATCTGCGAGGCGGCGCTGCTCGCGCCGCCGGCATTCTCCTCGCGCCAAAGCCTCGCGGGGCGCGCGCCCAGCACGCGTGCGTCGCTCGTCGAGCGGTTGAGAGGCGGCGCTGCAGACGAGGACGAGGACGAGGACGAGGATGGGGACGAGCTGGACGAGGAGCTGGAGGGCGGCGGCGAGGAGGTGGCGGTGGACGACGACGGGCCGAGTCTTGCCAACCCTTTCCTGGGCGGCGGCGGCGGCGCCGGTGAGCCGCCTGCCCGCGCCGGTCGCATTGGAAGAGGCCTCTGTGGGTGGCCTAAACTGACGCACGCACGCTGTGCAGGAGGGCTGGGCGGCCTGTCGGAGATCACCAAGTCGCTGCAGGACCCGGCCACCCTGCAGAAGGCTCTCAAGGAGCTGCAGGACCCAGCCACCCAGGCGCTATGCCAGCCAGTCGCTGTGGTGGCGAGGGAGGCTGAGCCACCCTCACACCTCGGCCCCTTCGCGGCGGCAGGAGCGGTTCAAGCAGATGATGGAGGACCCGGCCTTCCTCGAGTCGATGAAGGCCTACGCCGAGCAACTCACCAAGGACCCCATGTTTGATCAGCTCAAGGAGCAAGCCGAAAAGATGATGTGCGCCCGACCCAGACTATCCGAGAATCGCCGAGCTTGGACGAGATTGGTCGAGATTGGCAGAGGATGAGGGCGCGCCGCCGCGCCGCCGCCGCCCCCAGCTGCCGTGGTGCCCCCGCCAGGTCGGACCCGGCCTTCATGGAGGAGATGCAAAAGGCGATGGCGGACCCGAGTCTGATGGGTGCGCTCGCCGGCATGGGCGGGGCGCCGGGTGGCGCCGGATCGGACGAGGAGGACGGCGATGAGTGAGGGCGCCGGCACCAAACCCGGGCCACCGGCCGCTCGTGCGCGTCGGGCGGGGAGAGAGGAACAGGCGCAGCCGCAGGCGGGTCGAGGGTTGGGCGGTATCTGCATCGAGGCCAAAAGTAAACGTTTCCCGCACACCGGTCTCCGGCGCGCACTCCGGTGAGCGCGGTCACCGTGTGTGCGCAACCGGCCACCAACAGGCAAAACGCGGGGACCCCGACCGCGAGACCTTTACCGACCTAGCACCAACGCAGGCTCAACCGCCTTCGCCAAAAGGTTACGAAAAGATGAGGTTATAATCGCGGTGCGCATCTCCGAGGCCGGCGTCTGTGTACATTGTGAGCAGCAGGCTCTTTGTCACGCCGCGATGTGGCGCAGCGCCAAGCTCCTCGCAAATCGCGACGAACGCTGGGTGAGGCAGCTCACCGCCAGTGGCCAGCCCGAGCGCGCGCAGCTCGTCAAAGTTGAGATAGCCGTCACCGTCCGCATCAAAGCGGTCAAAGATGGCGTCGCTTTTGCGCTTCGTCTCTGCCGCGTCTCGGCGCCGTGCGACTTCAGCGATGACCTGCTGCTCTCGCGTCACCTCCGGCTCCACGAACTGAGCTCCCTCCGACTCGCTGATCGCTGCAGCGAGAGCGTCCATCGCTCGGTCCTCCGACTCCATGTCGTCATCGGAGCCGGAGGCTTCATGCTGGTGCGACATCCCTCGTTCAAGGCTGCCGTCGACGACACCACCGCGTATGGCAAAAAGAATTTTGGCCGGCGCGGGACTGCGCCGTCCTCCCATCCCTCCCTTCTTGTCTGTTTTCTTTCTTTCTTTACTCTGCGAGGAGGGCGACACACCTGTGGTAATCCCGTCGGCAGCTGTCACGATACACCCGAAGGGGACCCCAGCGCCAACATCATCTGTGGAAGTACAAGTAAGTGTTCGAAGAGAGAGTGGACCTGAGCAACGATACGACCTGGCGGCAAATGATCGCAGTGGGCGTCAGAACACAGAAGAGTCGTCCTTGCCGCTTGCGCGAGGAGAGCTCGATAAACTCGAGGGAGGGGCCAAAATATGCCGCGAGCAGGGCAGAGCTGCGCCGAAAGGCGAGAGAAGAAGCGAGAGCAAGGGAGCGGCAGGCAGCGGCGGCGTCGCAGAACGAGGCAGAGGAGAGCGACGCGACAGAGGAAGAAGCGACAAGGGAGAGAACGAAGAGAGTGGGACGACCGCGAGGTGGCATGATCCATGAAGGTTGCAGCGAGAATCGGCGGAGAGACTGCGAAGAGAGATAGGAAGAGGCGGACGCCCAAGGGTGGGCGACGGCTAGCGCATCACACCCCTCTCCTTAAAATCCCTGTGTGGTGGCGGCGTGTCGTCCTCCCATCCCCTACCTTGGGTTGTCCGTTTTCTTTCTTTCTTTTACTCTGCGAGGTCGGAACACACGAGCTCGTCAATGTCTCCGCCGCCTCGTCTTCGTCAGGTCCTCGTCCATGACTAGCGTCGCCGGCGACTCACACGATGCACCCGCTCGCGGCCCGCGGCCCTCGGCCCTCGGCCCGCGGCCCTCGCCCCTCGCCCTCGGCCCTCGCCCCGCGGCCCTCGGCCCTCGCCCCGCGGCCCTCGGCCCTCGCCCTGCGGCCCTCGGCCCTCGCCCCGCGGCCCTCGGCCCTCGCCCCGCGGCCCTCGCCCCTCGCCCCGCCGCCCTCGCCCCTCGCCCTCGCGCCCTCGCCCCTCGCCCTCGCGCCCTCGCCCTCGTTTGCGTTGAGGGGGCTCTCATGGCAACGACCCGGGGGGGGGGGGGGGGGGGGGGAAAACCGCCCCCACACCCGGAAGCAAACAAACCGAAGGGGGGGGCCGGCCACCCCGGGGGGAAAAAAACAAACAAACGGGGGAAGGGTTTGGCCTTTCCGAGGGTTTCCGGCAACCCAGAGGGAAACCAGAGGGTCCCCACAGCACTTTGCGTTTCCGGAAGTTTCCAGGGAAACCAGAGGGTGTTTGGTGCTCCATTCTGTTTCTCTCGAGTTTCCCTCGGGAAACTCGCGAGTTTCCCTGAGTCTGAGAGCTGGTCTGGGGCAAAATCTGAAAATTGAGGAAATCGGCACGATACCCAGGTATTTTCCAGGTATACCGGGGTTTTCCAGGTATACCCGCAAAATACCCGGTATTTTGCCGATTTTGGCCCCAAAACAGCCTCAGACACGGCTCAGAGCCCCCCCAAAATGACGAATTCCACGGAGTTTCCCCGGGGTTTCCCGAGGAAACTAGAGGGTGTTGTAGGGAAACGAGCAGGAAACACGGAAAGGAAACCAGGTAGGGTGCGAGAGGAAACCCTCGGAAAGGCCAAGGAGGGGTCCCCACGGACTGGGTGGGTGGGGGGGGGTTGGGGTTCAGGCTCGGTCTCGAGGGCTCGGTGCACAGCGCGCACGCCGAAGGAGTCCGCAGCGAAGCTCGTGTTGCGCCCTGTCTCTCTCGTGGCAATGTAATCGGAAAACTGCTACGCGATCGTGCGTCCCTATCCACAGCGCCGAGTTCGCGCCCGAGCTCATCGCCCGGATTAAGCGTGGAACGCTCCATCAAGCCAGCATCATTCTGGCCCCTGAGGCGCTCGTGCTGCCACGCAGGGCTTGATGTGCGCTGCGAGCGCCGAGCCTAGCGCAGAAGAGCTGCAGCTGCATAGGAGACACGACCACGGCGCAGATGTCTGGGAGGGGGTGCACGTGTGCGTGGAGAGGAGCTCTTCTCGGCTGACCTTCGAGGAGGAGAGGCGAGAAGTTTATCGCTGCGCTCTCGCGTGGCTCAAGGCGCAATGGCTCTCAAAGGTCAACCCCCCACAACCACACAAGCACGACACAGAAGGCTCACGTGTCTAGGCGAGTCTCGAGGCGGTCTTGGACGAGGACAGCGAGCCTGATTCGGAGCTGACAGCGTCGGCGCAACGCGAGTGGGAGGGCGAAGGCAGCGCGGCAGCGCCGCGGTACGACGACATAGGGAGCGACGTAGAAGAGTGGGATGGGGGCCGAGGATGCTTTGCGGCTGCGCCACCGCGGAAGGTGGTGCCCATATCGCCTGAGGACCTGGCGAACGCGCCGTCCAAGCGCCAGGTGGAGCCCTCGGTCTCAGCGAGCGGTGGAAGGCGGCTCACCGCCAAGAGCAGACCGTTCTGGGCGCTTGAACTCGAGCGGAAGGCTAACGCGGCGCAAGGAGAGGATCCGCAGCCGCTTCAGCCACCCGTACATCCTCCCATTCCCCACGCCTCTCCGGGAAGCGGCATCCAGTCTCGCATAGCAGCGGGCGCATGCATCTCAGAGGAAGAGGCGTATCGGCTAATCTTCTACGCGACAGACGAGGAGTATTGCGCAATATTCGGCGAGCGTGAGCCGCCACTGGCGGCGGCCGTGATGCCGCATCGGCCTGCATCCCACCGAACGACGCACGCTGGCCGAACGGTGCACAATCCCTATGATAGGCGGGACGCGAGCTGCGCTTGCACCGAGACACTCGCACGCGCCACCGCCGCAGGTGTCAGGCCGATCGCTCGCGCCGTTCATGGAGCCGGAGGAGGGGCACGTGGTCCGACGCAAATGGTGGTCACGGGCGAAGCTGGGCAACGTAGAGGTGGTCACGGGGAGGCGAAGGTCGCAGGACCCGCACCAGCCGTGGTACGTGGGCGAGGAGTAGAGCTCAGCTAGTTAGTGGCGCAGTGCAGTGGCCGGGTTGCCCCACCACAGCCGCAACCGCCGGCGCCGGGCGGGGGGCCGAGGAGTGGGAGCTGGGAGAGACCTCGTATTAGTTCTCATGTTCTCTGTGGACTCTGCTCTCTGGTCTGTGCGGCTCTCTATCGCATCGACTTTTCACGAACTTGAACTTGACGATACCAAAACTTCGTGTGGTTATTATTGTTCTCATTCAGATTTGCCTTTCAATATACATCTCCACCCGGAATCCCGCTCTACGCGGACTATACGCGCTATATGGTCTATGCCGCGGATAACCCCGGCGCCCCATGACGCGCCAAGGGTGTGCGGAGCTGCGGCGTCGCCGCGCCATGCGCCACATGGGGGGTTGGGTTGGCTCGATGGGCGGGACGACGCCAGCTCCCGTTGTGCGTTGAGCGATGAGAGCGTTGACCGCGTCCCGCGCGTTGTGTCGGCGTTGACCGTTGTCGTAAAAAAAATGTATATGTGCAGAGAGATCTCACAAGATCTCTTTCGCGGGGAGACGGAGACTGACAACCGCTATCCGGACTGGCGGCCAGGCGCCAGCGTGGGCCGGGCAACGACAGGCACATGCCTACCCTGCGCGTCGGTGTGACGCACTCATTCATCGCCGGTGCGCAACGACTGCGAGACTACTCCGCTGGCCGAATCCCCTTGACGCAAGCTACCCGCAGGCGGTCAGGCGCGCGAAGGTCCGCCCACCCTGCCGCGCCCACCCCCCCCCACCCCCCCCACCCGTCCCGCCGCTCGGGTTGGGGTTGGCGCGCAGCGTCGGGTCGCGGCATCACGTGTTGGTCTTTTCGATGCGGATCTGCTTGTCAAAGAGCACCTGCTGGTTGAGCTGCGCCATCGCCATGTCGGCCGAGGCGGGGTCCGAGAACGAGACAAAGCCGTACCCCTTTGGCATGCCCGTGTCCTTGTCGATGGTCATCTCCGCGCGCAACAGCTCGCCGAACGGCTGGAAGGTCTGGCGCAGCAGGTCGTCGGAGAATGGCGGGCCCTGCCCCTTTGCGGCGACGAAAAGGTTGGCGCCGGGAGGGCCCTTGGTCTTACCACCCACGCGCGGGGCCATCCCCATGCCGCCGCCGGGCATGCCCATGCCGCCGCCCATCCGCCCCATCTCTGCCGGCTTCTCCCACGAGGAGGCGCCGGTGGACGCATTGTAGTAGTACAAGTGGCCGTCCGGCGAGTAGTGCTCGCTCCACGCGCCGCCGCCGCCGGGCGCGCCGCCCGGGCCTGGGTTCGGGTGGCCGTAGCCGTACCCCCCTCCCCCCCCGTGCCCTCCTCCGCCGTACGGGGGCGGGTAGCCCCCCCCCGGGTGGCCGTAGCCGGCGGGGGCGGCGTGCGGCGGCCGCTGCTGGAGCGCGCTGACGGCTTGCTGCCACTGCTGGCAGAGGGAGGAGAGCTCTGCGTGCTGCGCGCGGAGCTGCTGCACCTCGGCGCGCATCGCCTCAAGCTCCGAGTTGCCGCCGCCCTCCGCCGAGGCCTCCGCCGGGGCCGCAGCTGCAGCGCCGCCCTCCGAGCCAGCCTCTGCCGCAGCCCCAGCCTCGCCGGTGGCGCCATTCTCCGCCCCGTCGCCCCCCGCCGGCGGCGCCGCCGGCTCCTCCGAAGCAGGCTCCGACTCCGGCGCCGCCGCCTCCCCTCCAACTTCCGCCCCCGCCCCTGCCTCCGCCGCCGCCTCCGGCTCCGCAGCAGCCTCCGGCTCCGCAGCAGCCTCCGGCTCCGCCGCGGCCTCTGGCTCCAGTCTCGGCTTCTTGGCCGCGGGCTCAGGCGACGCCTCGGGCTCTGGCTCCGCAGCAGCCTCCGGCTCCGCCGCCGCCGCCTCCGGCTCCGCCACCGCCGCCTCTGGCTCCGCCACCGCCGCCTCTGGCTCCGCCGCCGCCGCCTCTGGCTCCGCCGCCGCCTCCGGTTCCGCCGCCATCGGCTCGGGCTCGGCGACCGGTTCTGGCGTGGGCTCGGCGACAGGCGCGGCCTCCTCGGCGGGCGGCTTGACGGGCGCCTCGGCCTCGGCCGCTGGGGCCTCCGCCCCAGCTGTCAGCGCCTCGTGTAGCCGCGCCGCCAGCTCCTTCTTGAGGCCGTTTGTTGGCAGCCCGCGGGCTCCGAGCGCCTCTTTGAGCTCAGCGACCTATCGGCGCGCGGCGGAGGCGGGTGGCCGGGAGGTGGCCGGCGGCCGACCGGGCGCGGGCGTCGGGGCGGCTGCTCGCGCTCAGTCCTGTTGAGCTTGATCTTTGGAGGCCCACCGAAGTGTCGCCACAAAGGTGTGTTTTGACATCCTCGCGAGAGCCGGCACGCGCGGGGGAGGGCGCGCGGCGGCGCGCGGCGCGGCGGGGGCGAGCGCGGGCGCAGCTCACCTTGAGCCCGTTCACATCCTCCGGCGTGAGCTCCGTCGCCACCATATCTCTGCCCACTCACAGCAGGCAGCACACGATCGAGGAGGCCTCGGGAAAGAAGAACTCACTAGGAGAAGGTGCTCTGCGAACTGCCTCGCGCGAGGGGCGTGTGGCATCTCTCGCGAGTCTTGGAATAGTCTTCCCTGACCCCGCCCCCGCCGGCCCGCCTGCCCTGCCCGCCTGGCCGACAAGATCTCTTCACCTTCTCATTGGTGGAGTATAGGTACGAGAGGGGTGTGGCATCTCTTGCGGGTCTCGCCAGGGGCGCCTACTAACCTCGCTTGCGAGGGGCGTGTGGCATGTCTGAACGGACTCGTGAGGGGTGCCTGCCTACCTCGCTTCGTCGAAGCGGCGCTTCATACCCACACCCACCCCGCCGCATTCGTCGCCGGCGCGCGATACGTTCCCGTCGGCCGGACTGTCCTCGCCGAGTGCGTGCCGCTGAGGCGGGACGCACTCAGGGACAGTGCCGGCGGGACGCGGCTCGAGAGGCGGCTCCCGCGGAGGCACGGCTGGCACCCGTGGCGCGGGGCTCGTCTTCGGAAAGACCAGGATCGCTCTACTGGCAAACTTCTGGCTGACACGCGCGCCCGGTCGAGCCTTCGGTGGGCGCGCTGCGGTCGCACGCCTACCCAAGTCATATGCCACGGCGTGCGATCTAGATTCAGCACACGCGCCTCTCTGCTCGCATCCACTCATCCAATGAACTGTCGTCACCCATGAGTGCGAGATAGGGCTAGCGGCTGGCCAATAGCCTGTGAGGAGGGCGTCCATAGACACCTCACAAGACCCCACACACGGTCTCGTCCGTGCCTTGTGGCCGGCGACGAGATTGCTAGAGGCGGAGCAAGCCTGCTCTAGTCTCACACGTTCGCCCTGTCGCCTGTCTGTGTTGTTGTGCTGTTGTTTGTCTCTTGGCACCTTGGAGTGCTGGGGGGGGCGACAGGGGGGACGTGGCCTGAGTGATGTGTACGCCCACTCAGGATGTGTGGCAGCCCGCTGGCTGTGTGTCTCGTGAGCTTGTTTGTGTCTGTGTGTCGCTCGTGCGTGTCGTCATCATCTGTCTTGCGTCCACCCATACCGCGTTGGTGTCCAGTCCGAGCCTGACTGTTCTTCACCTTCCTACATACATACATACATAGCTCCCTCCGATCCTCTTCCCTGGGTTGTCGCTTTTCTTTCTTTCTTTCGGCGGCAAGGGCAAGGCCGCCAAGAAGGACTGGGCGAGCGTCGCGCGCGGACTCGCTGCCCGCTCCCCGTACGACGGCGGCCCCCGCCTCGAGTCCAACGAGGCCTCCCTCTACGAGGGGAGCGACGACGAGCTCTAGAAGCGGCCGCCGAGCCCTCCCCGCGGCGCAACTCTAGCAGCGCCGCGGGCAGGGCGGCTCGCACATCGCCCGCGCGCGCATCCGAGCGAGCGAGCGAGCGAGCGAGCACCACACATCACACACACAACACACACACACACACACACACACACACACACACAAAACACACACACACACACACACACACAAAACACACACACAAACACACACCACCCCAGAAAGCCTGAGGAGCTGTGCAGCGGCTAGATATGTCATATGTGTCTGTGTGCTGTTGTTATGACCCCCCCGATGAGCACACCAGCGAGGGAGGGCGAGACGATCGAGGGGTCCCGTACACCATGCGGAATCGACCCTATCCAGTGCTCAAGTGCTCAAGTCTCTGTGTGCTGTGTGGTGCGCCCTCCGAGCGGGGCGGGGTCTGCCCGTCGGGTTGTCGCCCATCTCTCGGGAGATGTCTGCTCTATTTATTTATTTAGCGCAACCAGTGGGAGGCCCGCGCCTGCCCCCGTGGGCCGGGTGCAACCCCTGTCCTATACGAGAGAGGAATCCCTGGGACCCTTGTCGTGTGCCCCTGCTCTACGGGAAATCTTCTGTATATCGTGAATGAATCGCCGAGTATCGCCTAATATCGCCTATATCGCGCTTCTGGCGACTGCACAGGGGGCGACAAGGGGTCGATGCGGCTCAGCGTGGAGCTTCCGAAGCAGCGCCGCAGAGTGCGCAAGGCGGTGTCTCGACTGCGAACGGTGCCGCTACATCTCGTTCTCCGTCGGCTTCCGCGACTGCTCTTGGTACGCTCTTCGGCCGAAGGCGGTCCAAATGTGGCGCGCCTCTCGACTCGCCGCGTGAGCGCCCCATTCGCCATGCATGTAGGTTCCATGCCTGCGACTTGGAGGCGCTCAACCAGCCGGCTAACCACTTCACAGCGCGGGTCACCGCCTCGTGGCTGATGGGCGCCTGAGGGGCCAGGAGTAACCAGGACGACACACCTGTGTACTCACAGAGAAGGTGGTACATTTTAGAGAGACAGAGTAGTAATCGCGAGCGCATCGATTACCCTCTTGCTGCCCAGGTTCCGACCCTCTGCGTGGCCGACTCACACAGCGAGCCTTCCTGTCTCCCTGCTGCTGATTCATCGGTCGTGCTCAGTCAAGATATTGTAGAGACCGACCATATGCACAATATCTTGACTGAGAGCTAAGCCCAGTTCGACGATCGGCAGCCTCACCGCGGGTCGCGCCGCTGTGCAGCGAGAGCCAGGCTCGCCCGGCGAAGGTGACCAGAGAGTGCTCAACAAATACCAGAAAAAATCAGGGAGCCTCAGAGAGTGCCACTGCCATCACCCAGGCCGCGGGAGCCGATCGGCTGCGCCGAGGACAGCTCCCTCAGTGTGCTCCGCGGCTCACCAGTGTGCGCCGCGGCGCCGTCCAGCCACTTTGGCGGCCAGCCACCGGTCGAGTTCTTCGACTCTGGAGGACAGAAAGGTACCGTCTGAAAGGTATTTTCATGCTCTATTGACTGGCGAAAAAATCCCCCGCAAAATGTTTTCACAGCGGGCGTGATTCACACCGAAGCATGAGCAAAGCATCGGGCAGCAAGAGGTTACTCGTGCACGATCCGTCCGTCCCGGTCCTCCTCCCGCGCCATGACGGTCGCAGGGTACCAGCGCTCGCTGTCGCAGAAGATCTCGAGGCGCGATCCGGTGGGCAGGACAGTGTGGCCGTCGAGCGCCGCCCTGGCATCCTCGCGCTGTCGCTTCCGCCGCTTCGCCTTCGTCTCCTTGCTGCGCAGCAGGGTGTAGTTCGGGCCCACCTCCGCCATGCTGTCCAGCACGTGGACGGCGCTCGCCATCTCGACCGCGTCGTCCTCCGGCGGAAGCTCCGCGTCGCTCGCGGCCGCTTCCCGAGCGCGCGCTCGTCGCGCATCCGCTCGTGGTCCGACGCGCCACGCCGGCGCCCGTGTGCCTCGCCGCCGCGTCCGGCGACGGCATCGATGCTGTCCGCACGAGCGTGACTCGCCACTCCACGACCTCCACGACCTCCACGGCCCTGACTGTCAATCGCACAACAGCGTGACTCCACGACCGCCGAAAAGTCGAGCGCCCTCCCCAAATCTCGAACACATCTCGAACCGTCGCACATTGTACATACATACATATTGAATAGGAATATCGCGCAGTATCGCGTAACATCGCGCAATTATCACGCAATATCGCTGCCCCCAACCCACCCCCTTCCGTCCGTGTCGCTCCCCGCTCCCCGCTCCCGTTCCCCTGTGTCCCTAATCGTCCTTCCAAGATCCTGTGCTCGTGGGGACCCTGTCCTTACCCCATCTCTCGTTCGGCGCGTCCGTTTTGTTTACGAGGTGGCATGAAGGTCGCTGCGACGGTGGGCGAGAGACTGGGACGAGCGATATGCAGATGGGGAGAGGCTGGCGCCCGAGCCGACAAACCGGAGACGGATTTTGTGTTTTGTTTGTTGAGACGGCCGTCAACACTTCTCGGCTTGGGTGACTCGTGAAATCGGTCGGTGGCACGTCTGACGTCTGCGGGTCAGTCTGTGCCCGTTTGCTTCATCTTCTCCCCCCTCTCGCTCTCCGGCGCGGGCGCGCGGCGGCGGTTGTTTCTTAATCTTATTGAGTTATTCTTTACTTTCTTTCCTTTCCGTTTATGGATTATGCAGACAACGCACAATATCATATATCAATAATGAATAAATAAACAAAGCCTCCTCCGTGAAAGATCAGTACGATGTGCTCACGAAAGTTTTCAAAAAAGCGAGCGGCCCTGCGAACGTCTCGGGGGCGGCGGTGGCGGGGTTGCGCAGGCCTCCGCTCCCACACGCCCGTTCGGATAGGCTGCGCGCAGGGGCCGCGCCGCCTCGATTTCGCATCTCCGCTCCGCGGCCGACTGAGGGGCCAGCTCGCCCGGCGACAAGCCCAGCCATCGCCCAGCGCCCCGTATTGACGGAGGGCACGCAAAAAACCCGCACCTACGACTAGGGTGAGCCCGTGAGGGCGTCGGTGTCGGCCGCGGGCGGGCTGCGAGGAGGGCGCGGGTGGGAGCATGGGAGATGCACCACCGCTCGACGAAGACGCGCCCGACGAAGCCCTGCTTGCGGAGGATGGTCGATCCTCACCTACTAGCGTCGGGCGTGTGCGAAAAAGAGCGCAAATCGGAGCTCAACTCGCGCGCGGCTGGGAAAGGGGTGTGGCACCCCTCCGAAGGCGCCTCGCGAGGAGCTGCTGCTGCCTCCAAACGCGCTCGGGCAGCACGTCGGCGCGCCTGCGGGGTTGGGGAGGTGAAACTATGCTTGCTGGCACGCGCATCCCGCACCACCCCCACGTCCGCGCGCACCATGCCGCCATCCCACCTCACAGCCAAGCGCCATCGCCGTCGGACGCGGCGACGCCGAGCGGTGGCCTCGCAGACGACGAGCGCGATGAGGCCGCCGCGCCGCCGGAGTGGCCGGCGCGTGCCAGCCGCTGGCCCGCCCAGCGTGGCGGGACCGGCTCGCCCATCCTGGCCCGCGCGCTTGCCGACGCGAGAAGATCGCGCGGGAGGGCAAATCTTGGGCAAAATGCCCTGTTTGCCAATCCTTCACGGCGACTTCACGTCGGAACGAGTCGGATCGACGACTCGCCGCCTGCACCAGCGTGTGCGCCTTGCAATTCTATACAGAATCGACACGTGGTACGTCTTCTCAATCGCTCGTGGAGAGGAGCTACGGCCATTCCTAAGTAGTGTTCAACGACGTTGAACAATGTTCAACGTCGTTGAACACGGTCCAGTAACCGAATGGCGCGGTTCACGCCTCGGCCCTCGCACAACAGAGAGAGAGATGCACTCTGCATGGTGGGACATAAAAGAGAGCGAGTACTTGGGCGAGTAGGCCGTGCGGTCGACGCTGCCGCGCGCGACTTTGCGCGCGAGGCGGCGCAGCTTGAGAACGGCGGTGGCGAGAAGCCGCCGCCAAACGTCTCGTGGAGCAGCAGGTTGAAGTTGTTGCGCTTGACAAAGATCGCGTCGTGGTAGAAACCGCGATGCGTTGACGTAGCCATGGCCGGTCTTGTGGGAGAAGGGTTGGCCGGGCTGCCCGCGCGCCTTGCAGCCCATGTTTAGGCGGCGGGCCTTCTATTCGGTGTGTTGCCAAAGGCGTAGGGGAGTGGCCAACGGAGGCGGGCGTGCCCGCGCCACTCGAGGCGTTGCCAACACCCGTTGTTGTTGTTTGGTTTTCAAAAAATCTCCTAAAAATCTCTCTGTGTGGCAATGACATGTCACATGAGAGAGAGCGCGCGCGGGCCGCGGGCGCGGCGGCGCGCGCATGGGGGCATACAAGATACATGCGTGTCCGTGATTCGGTCCGTGCGTGTGGAGTGCAACCTGCGCAGGCGCGCCTCGCAAGAATGAAGAAACACCTTTCCATATCTGACTCAGATGCCAGTACTGTTTCGAAACGACCAAAATGCCCCGGTCCCTTTCGCCTTTGAAGCGCGACGACCCCTGCTAGCTTGTAACTACTGCAGGAGGAGGGACTCGCCTAACGGGACATGCCCCGTGACGTGTCGTGGACATGCACATTTGCCTGACTGGGGAGCGTGCCCATGACTGGGGAGCCTCCGGCGGGAGCGGCAGGGAGGTGCGTGGTCACACGCCTCCGCCCTGGCTCTCCCTCTCCCTCTTCTCCTGCAGCACCGCCCGCAGCGTGGCGCGCGGCAGGCTCGCCGGGTCCGCAAAGGCCGCGTGCCAGAGCGCGTTAAGCCGCTCGAAGCCGGCGTGGCAGGGGTGGCGCAGGTCCCACGGCTTGGCCATCGTGAAGTGAAGAATGCGGACCTCCCCCAGCCGGCAGAGGCCGCGGTGCCTCGCGTACAGCCCCTTGGTCGCGTTGAAGCACCATGGCAGCGCCCTCCACGAGCACGGCGGCCCCGCGCCGGCCGCCCCTCGGTCGTGCGCAAAGTAGCGGTTGAGGAAATCCTGCTCGGCAAAGGCGAACGAGGCCAGGTCCGAGGCGGCGAGGGCGGCCCGCATCGCCTCCGCCGTCGCGCGGCACGGCGAGAGGACCAGCAGCCCTGCGTTGAAGTAGTGGGCAGGTGGCGCTCCCGCTGGCGGCGACAAGTAGGGGCAGCCGCCGCTGCGCCCTGAGACGCAGCTGCACTCGGGAACGGCGTGCAGCGCTGCGCCGCCGCAGAGCCGGTCGCCAAGCAGCTCGTCGCAGTTTTTGAGCAGCAGCATGTCCGCGTCGAGATAGCACAGCCGCGAAAACTCGTCCTCCCACTCCCACATCCGGAGCTTGGTCCAGCAGTGCGCAAAGTGAGCACAGGCATAGTGGGCTGCGCCAGCTGGCAAGTCGGGCGGCGCCACCTCGCGCACCTCGCAGCGGGCCAGCGCTTCGAGGCGGCCTCGCACTGCCGGCGGCACCGCCGCAGTCACGATCACGACGAGCGGGTAAGCGCTCTCGCTCGCAGTCAGAGAGCTGTGCAGCGCAATCACACCAGGGAGGTAGCTCGTGTCTGACAGTAGCGTGACGAACGCCCGCCGGGGAGTAGCGGGCGGCGTGATGGCGAGTGCGGCGTGGCTTTTCTTTTTCAGCGATTGTCGTGAGTATTGGGGGGGGGGGGGCACGAGTCGCTTTGAAGCGACTCCTGTCCGTGTACCTGTGTTTCAGTGCCAGTGCGCACTCCTCCTCCTCTCTTCCTTGCTTTCGTCTGGAATCGTCTCGGCCTATCGACCTCGGCCGCGCTTCGCCGTAATAAATAAATACAACGGACATCCCAAGCTAGGGCTGGGTCGAGGACAGACACGTCCCCACCTTTGCAGGATTTTGCAAAAGCGAGGGGGGAGCGCGCTTCGCCGCCCTCGGCGCTTCTGCCCAGCGCGATTTCTTTTGGTCTTTGTGCTCTTGCTTCCACCGCTAGTCGAGCCTGGCACACGTACGGGCAGCGAATGCCGCTCGCAGCGCTCACGCCCCTCGCTATCATCAGCGGCTGCCTGACGGTAGCCGGCGTGGGGATGCACCTGAACCACTGGCTCTTCACCGGCGAGGTGTGCGGCGCCCCCGCTGGCGCTGGCGCGCGCGCAGCTTCCGCACCCCGCCGCCGCCCCGCCGCACGCACCTGCTCAGCCCGCCCCACGCTGCGCCGCACTCACCCCTCCGTCCGCGCGTTGCCCACTCCAGTGGAACAGGTCCGACACGGACCGCTGGAAGGAGGGCCTCTGGTCGCGGGACCGCCTCATCAAAAAGGGCTACATTAAGCAGTGATCCCCGCCCCCCCGCCACCTCGCTGTGTACATTAACGTTGCACACCCAGCAGTGAGATTTGGTGTGGCGCATTCTGAATCTACTAGGCCCATATTTAGACGCGCATAAGCGCCGCACGGTTGCGTCTGCGCCGGCGCGCGCCGCTTCGCTGGGGCGCGCCGTTCTCTCTCGTTACGGGCTGTGTCTTGCGCGCGTGGCCGCGCGACGAAATACATGCTGCCGAGTGCCACGGAAAAATCAAGGAGACGCCACACGGATCCGCGGACCGCGCGCCACCACCCCACACCCGCCTGCACCCTGACCCTCGACCCCACATATTACGCAGTCAAAAACGCAACAAGCATCACGCCGTGCCCTCATCGCACCTCGCCGGCTGCCTTTTTCTTCGCGTACTGCGCCGGGGTCCACGCCTTCACCTGGCGAGAGCCGGGCCGGGCGGCGGTGATGGTGGAGGCGGCGTGGGCGGCGGCGGCGGCGAAGGGTGGCGTTGCACGCACAGGCGGAGAGGGCGGCGGCGGTGAGGGAGGAGGCGGTGGATGCGGGCGTGCTCGCCTGAAAAGCGTGGATCTCTTTTATCTCTTCCGCCAGCAGGTCCTGCACCGCCCGATGGCGCTCGAGCAGAGCCACGCCATCAAACGCGCCGGCAACAACGACGCACTGAACCTTCTGGCCGCAGCCATCCCCGTGTGCCTCGACGGAGACGTAGCTCGGCGCGAGCTCCGATTCATACAGCTTGGCCTTCATCTGGCCAGCGATGCCGCTCGTTGCGGTGTCGCTGCCGCCGTGCGCGTGCTCGCCCGCACCGTGCAATTCATGGCTGTCGTGGCTGTGACCGGCGGTGCACGGCCTTCCAGCGTGATCGTGCTCGTGCGCGTCCTCGACGTGCCCGTGCGTCGCCATAAGAATTGATTTAGAAACGCAAGATGCGGCACGCCACACGACCGGATCGGATTCTTGCCGAGTACCGGTAGGGAGATTCACGCGATCTGTCTCGCGTTCCTCAACGCTTGCGATTCAGCTGTCGCGCCGCTGGATGATCTTGCTCAGCTCGCCGAGCTCGACCTGAACGCTCAGCGGCGCGACCGCTGAATCGCAGCCGTTCGTGCTGGCACGCATGCATCGTTGCAGTTTCAGATTACTTCCCCCCCTCCCTACTCGAGTACCAACGGGAGAGGTTTAAAACCCCCCTCCCCACCCCCTTTGCCCCCCCCCCCCCCCGCCGCCTTCCTGCTAGCTCCAGGAGGCTGCAGACACCGACACGCACACTAGATACGCGCGGATGGCCGCCGTCTTCCACGCCAGCACCGGCCGGTGCTCTATACGCGGCAGCGAAGTTGGCAATCGCCTGGCGAGCGGCGGCGCGGACACCCGCGCCGGTCGCCGGCCGTCCCCGCCGGCGGGCGGCTCCGGTGGCCGCCGCGCCGCCCGCCCCGCAGGCCACCGCACCGGCGAGGTCCTCCATCGGCATCGCCGTGCCGGCGGGTGCCCCTCCGGCGGGTGCCCCCGCCTAGGGCCCCCGCTCCGGTGGTCGCCTCGAGCGGGTTGGCCGGCCTGCGCCAGCGGCGCAATCTCGGGGGACTTGTAGTACATCCCGAACTCGGCGACGAGGGAGTGCTCCTCGGGCTCGTCCACGGTGATGCCCCCGGGGCAGCCCTACTGCCCTAGAGCCTAGTAGGGCTCGTCGAGCACCTTGCGCGTGTCGCCGGAGAGCAGCTTGAAGAGAGCAGCTTGAAGTGCGCCGCGGCACAGAGTCGGTCGCTGGGCAGCTTAGGGTACCCCTAGGCTTAAAAGGGTGGGCCCTGGGGCGCCTGCGGCTTAAACGGCTTAAAACCGGCCTAGGCCGGTTTTAAGAGCTGCTGGGCCTCCGATTCCTTAAACGGTCTTAAACGCTTAAACGCTGCGGGAGAGCTCCCGAGGTCGATGGTCCGGGAGGCTCCCCACAGACGCCGGAGGCCGGGAAGCTGGCTACAGTCAGCTGGCACGCGTCCCCTATGCGAGTATGGCTCCTGCCAGTGCACCAGACTTACAGATGTGTCTTCAGAGGCGGGTTTGTGCCTAATAACGGCAGTATTGGAGAAAACGGCGCCGAACGCAGCGACGCGTGCCGGTGAGGCCGATTTTCTTAAACGGTCTTAAAAGAGGGACCCCCCGTGCCTGCAATCTCTTAAATGACAATTTGAGCCCCCAAACCTCCTCATTTCTTAAAAGGTCTTAAAAAAATCCGGCCCTCAGAACCCTAGGGGTACCCTAAGCTGGGCAGCGCTCACCCGCATGGCGATGCGGGCTCGGCGGCGGCAGTAGAGGGAAGAGGGGCCGAGCGGGGACCATACCTGTCACCATACCCCCCCACCCTTTGGGCCGGGATGGCACCATACCATACCCCGCAAAAAGTTGGAATACTGCTGCTATTGCCCGCCGCAGAGCCGCTTTTCACAGCTGCTCCTGTGGCGAACACATCTCGGGGGGGAGGGAGCGTGAGCAACTCGAGATCCCTCGAGAGTTCACGCGGAGTATAGGCTGGGGCTATCCAGATAGCAAGACGACTGTGATGAGGCGAGAAAGAAGCCAAACTCGTACACCGCCCCTGAGATGCCTGCTCTGTTTGTGTCACTGGGCACGTGGGCACGGGACTGGCAGTCTGGCACACACACACACGCACACTGGCACACTAACACAGGTACACAAAGAGAAACGTCTTTTTCTTTTAGGACACAGTCGGGAACATGTCCTCCACAGACGCCAGCAGGGTCCGGTAGCTGTGACGCGCGTCCCCCGTGTGTTCCGCAGCGGCCTGGGACTGCTGTGGCTGCTGCGCAACCGCCAGTCGCGTCTCCTTGTCCACAATGAAGATCCGTTCACGCGGGATGCCGGCCGCCTCGTAGGCGCCGAGGTCTGTTGGCCGGTTTCCAAACGCAGCGTGAAGGGAGCCGGCGTAAAACATGCCAGCCACCTGCGCGGAGCGAGACGAGCTTGGATTGGGCGGGATGCGCGGGAGGGACCTGCTCGCGCCTGCTCGAGGATGTCAATCTTGAAGAGATGCGCCGTGTGGTCGAACTGGGCGCGGGAGAGGCCGGGAGTGGGCAGAGGTGAAGAGTGGGGAGGGTAGCTCTCCACGCCAAGGGTTCGCACCTCCCGGATGAGCGCATCGGCCATCCGGCTCGGAGAGGTGATCACAGGCCCCTCGGGCAGTGAGTCGACCGTCTCGCCGCCAGCGCGATGCTGCCGCAAGCCGGAGATGTACTGCTTGGTGCGGTCTGCGAGGCCAATGTTGCGACTCGACAAGTAGACCACGCAAAATCCGCGAGCTGCGATGGCGGTGTACAACTGCGCAACACCCTCGTGCGCGTAGTCGTCCCACCCTGAGGGGGAGGGGGGGGGCGTGCCGACCCGTGTACGAAGGATTCGGTTGAGACCGGCCTCGTTCACCGATCGCGGGCAGGATGTTGCCACGCACGTCGGAGCGCGTTACGGTGCCGTCGATGTCGCTGATGACCAGTCTCGAGCTTGGCTCCCAGCTGAAGGAGAGGGACGAGGCGAGTGAGAGATGGCCTTCGGTCTGCTACTAGCCAGCTGGAGGAGAGGGACGAGGTGAGTGAGTGGTGGCCTTCGGTCTGCTACTAGCCAGCTGGAGGAGAGGGACGAGGCGAGTGAGTGGTGGCCTTTGGTCTGCTACTAGCACTACGCCTCTCCATCTCCGTACTCCTCTCTCCACCTCCACCTCCGCTACCTGCCATGCAATGACCAATGTCTCCCGGCGCATCTAAGAGCCCGTGACAGGAAGAGGTTCGTCGTGACCTCAGTTTCGCCGTGCAGGCGCGATCGGACGGAGAAGCACACCTCGTTCCGCCCGCCCTGGAGCCTGAGGCACCTCAGCCAGTCAGGCGGAGGGTGCGCAGCCAGAGCCTGCTCGTCGCTGCCGCCCGCCACCCCTGGCGCCTTTTGCGCACTGCCGGCGACGAATCGACCCTCTCCTGCAGCGCTCAACACCATGCGACAGCTTTTCTCATCGGCCTCAACTCCATTGACGCGGATCGTGACGGGACGCTCTCGGCTCTGAACGACCTTGAGCAACCCAAAGCGGACATGCCACGCGGTGGTTGCGAGGGTGCCGTCGGCAGAGCGCACGGCGATAATGTCGACAGCGCCCGAGAGTGTGGCTGTGTTCGTGTCAGGGAGAATCGCCGAGAGGGCTTGACGCATGCCTGAACGAGCGAGTGTCGGCAACCACGAAGTTGTGGATTGGAGGACGCACGTTCCGGTGTTATCTTTTTCACTGTACGTGTCTCACTTGAGCTTTTGAGCACTTGATAGGGTCGATTCCGCATGGTACGGGACCCCTCCGATCGTCTCGCCCTCCCTCACTGGTGTGTTCATTGGGGGGGGTCATAACAAACACGGTACAGGATCGAGGTGCACGCTGCCGAGGCAGTGTCGTCCCCCCTCTCCCCGACGGCGATGGCGGTGTGACCGATCGAGCTACAAGAAGAGCTTGTTCAGCAGGATCCGGGCCGTCGGATGCACTACCTCACTGGGCCTGAGACCACCGCACGGCCAGCCCTTCACCACTCCGGGTTTGCGTGGAGTCGAACCACTCCGGTATGGGCGAGCCCATTGTTTTGAGTTGAGTCCCTTCGCACCATTGCTTGAGCACTTGAGCACTGGATAGGGTCGGTTCCGCATGGTACGGGACCCCTCGATCGTCTCGCCCACCCTCACTGGTGTGTTCATTGGGGGGGGTCATAACACAAACACGGTACAGGATTGAGGTGCACGCTGCAGAAGCAGTGCCGTCCCCCCTCTCCCCGACGGCGATGGCGGTGTGACCGATCGAGCTACAAGAGGAGCTGGTGCTGGTTAATTGTCGAAATTCCTGTTGTGCAAGAGGGGAGGGGGCTCTGACGGAGTGTGTGGCGGGAGAGGGCATGGAATGGGCGCGGGGGAGGGGGGGGGGGGGGGGGGAAGGCTCACCCCTGCCAAAAGCCTCAATTAATAGTAATGAAGAAATATTGCTCGGCCGTTCCTGAAATCCGTCTCCATCTGGAGGAAAAGG